AGGAGAACGTGTTCATGGCACATCTGAATACAAACTTGACGACATGCGAACGATCTACCACCCGTCCAGTGGGCGACTAACACGGATCGATCATTTTGATGACTATCGCTCGCGTCCTGCATTCCAACATGCGGAACCGCCTATTGACCCACATCCATGGCGACCATTTGCATCACGTTATGACTTTGAGCTTGCTGAATTCATTCTTGATGCGGCTCTTACTGAGAAGCAGATGAAGACTATGTTCAGACTACTGAACCCGGAGGCAGAAAGCAACCAAGGCATTAAATCCAGCATCCGTAGCCCGAAGGAGTTCAAAGATCATTGGGATCGTGCAGCCAATTTGATTACACCAGTGAGTTGTCATGTTCTTGCGATATTAAGAATATAATATCTGACAAGGTTTTTTTCAGTTTGAGAAGTCGACGGTTACTGTACCACTCCGGGGTAAAGACTATACCTTTGATGTTTACCGGCGAGATCTCTGGACCTGGGCATTGGATTTGATTCAGGATCCACTTCTGGAGCCACACTTTGTTTGGGATGCTGTTCAGCTTTCAAAGTGGAATGGACAGGCTTTCGAGCGGTTCATCGATGAACCGTGGACAGCGCAAGCTTTTTGGGATCTACAGGTGTGCTTTAGTAGAGCTTCTCTCGAGAATCATACAACTTACGCATTTGTTCGCTACAGACAGCGCTCCCAAAAGGCGCAAAAGTTCTTTGTTACATTATATATGCTGATAAAACACGTCTTTCTTCTTTCGGTACAGCTCAAGGTTATCCTGTCATTGCCCGTTGTGGAAATCTGAAGATTGACATACGAAATGGGAATGGTGTTGGCGGTGGACGTGTCGTTGGGTGGCTACCATTGGTCCGTGTCTTCCAGTGATCTGATTTTTCTAATACTTGGACTGAATCATCTATACTTAGATAAAGGAGGAAGCAAAGTTCAAGAGGAAGGTTTATTATGTAGACTTCAAGCGCCACGTGTGGCATGCTGCCTTCAGATTTATCCTCGAACCGCTAGTTGCACCAAGCAAAGTAGGAGGTTGGGTTCATCTTGCCTTAGCGAACGTAGATCTCCAGGTTTTTCCCCGATTGCCAATCAAAAGCTGTGATTATGAAGAGGCGTCAGTCATCAGTCTCATTTTATCACAGCGCGAGCTCACCAAATAGTATGTGATAATAGGAATTTGTTGTCCTTATTCGAGGTTCCGGTGGTCTGAAACCATGCGTCGTCTGTATGGTACCTAAGGCAGAACAGTATTGTCTAGATATCAAATACGAGCTACGGACATCAAAGCAAACTCAAGAAATACTTGCAGATGCTGCTGCCATTCCAAGGAAGGACGCTCGGAACAAGTTTCTGTCTAGCTTTGGCTTGAGAAATATTGAGGTCACCTGAATCTTTAGTTTGCGTTGTCTTCTTTGAACTGACCAACTTGAATAGAATGCCTTTTGGGACATCAAAGACTGCGATCCGTTCCGCACACTTTCCTTTGATCGTCTTCATGCTTATGATAATGGCCTTTTCGGAGAACATCTCAGACGTGAAATCGTTTCCCGGATTGAAGCCTTAGGCGTGGAATCTATAGGTCAGGCAGACGATCAGTAAGTGTTTCCCGTTCTCATGTTTTATGTACATTCTGATTTTCCTTGATATAGAATTAAACGCTTTCCACGCTGGAGGAATCTATATCACTTTGAAAGCGGTTTTATGGCGGTCCATTTCGCTGATGGCGGAAAGTATGAAGATCTGTCTAAAGTAAGTCCAAGGTCCAGCTTTCAAGTCATGGCAAGCAAACAATGATTTTACGTTTAGCACATCCTTTTTGTCACCCATAATCTCCTCACTGAGACCAAGGACAAGCATGGATATCATTTGCTGAAATGTGTCCGAAGCTATATAGAGCTTCATATGTACACGGGCTTCAACCTCCATACTGAGCGTAGCATACAAGCCATTCAGAATGAGCTTCTCAGGTTTTCAGCACTCATAAGGGTGGGTCATCTCCTAATATTCATGAATGACAGGCTGATCAAATGTAGGAGTACGAACAACTCACACGGTCGATTAATCCGGGCGCGAAATCATGGAACTTCCCCAAAGTCCACTCTCACCAGCATGTCGTTGACGATATCTTGCAAAAGGGTGTCACGCTGAACTACAATACGAAGCCCAACGAGAAAATGCATGGCCCTCTAAAAGACGCATATCAGTTGCGAACCAACTTCAAAGATGTAGCGGAGCAGGTACTTCCGATTTCAGCAGGTACCAATATAGCAACTGAACCTATCTTGATTTAGATTCTACGTGTCGATTCGTGGTGTAATGCTGCATCATTTATACGACAGCAAATCGACTTACACGATGAGCAACTGCAGATGTCCGAAAACGACGACTCCGAGCTAAAAGATCAGGATAAATCAGCTTCCGAATACTCCGGGAAAGTGACTTTACATGGGCACCGTGGTAAAGGGGGTGGGGTCTTCAAAATCGGAGAAATCAGGGCTTTGAAGGCAGGCGACCCGGCGTTCAAGGGTTTTCAAACACGTCTATCATCCTTCATGGTGGGACAGTTTGCGAAATACCCTGATATTGTCCCTGAAGTCGATGGAGAAAAGGTAGTATTCAAGACATTCAAGCAACACGAAGAGGTAAGCAATATGTGGTTGTTAGAGCTTTATTTTCATGATTGATATACCACTTACAGATTCAGCTATACGGCCTTTTGAAAGTCAATTATGAAAACACCATTGATTGGACCACATCCACCGACTATTTGCGATGCAGCCCTGATTTCTATAATCATCCACGATACGATTTCCTCCTCATTGACAGCACCGAGCGTCCATTCTTCGCGCAGCTTATAATGGTCTTCACTTGTGTTATTGCAGGAAAAACGTTTCCTCTCGCCCTTGTCCGTCCTCTTGATGAACCCGTAGGCACAACAACTGCAAAGCTAGACAAGGACCTTGGCTTTTATCGAGTCCGTGCACGAAAGAAAGAAAAATCAGTATTTGTATCCGTCTACATGATTATTCGAGGGGCGCTCTTGGTTGAAGATTTCGGGGCCAAGCCAGGCGATGGATTCAAGGAGTATTTGATTGTTGATAGCATTGACAGCGATATGTTTCTCAGGATGAAATCCCTCAAGTATACTGGCGGCCGTGATTGAAGGAAATAGACATTGTAGTACGGCATAGCTGAAAACATATAAACGGATACTATACTATAAAAACTTTTAACAGTGAGAGGATAATGCGAAAGGACACCAGAGAACACACCTAACTCAACAAGTTATACTCCAGCTTCAAAAGGTATTACTGCTCATGGAACTGCGCAATATCAAACACAAGACCCGATCTTTCTGTATACATTTCCTCACATGTCTCGGGCACAAACGAAGTCTGCGGAGAATGGGGGAGATGACGCGGAATGACTGGTGCACGACCGAAGAAGCGAAAGAACGACTCCACATAGAAAAGAGCAACACATTTTTCGATCTCATCAAATTGTGCTTCCGTATAATTGGTCCTCTTCTGTTGGATCAAATGCGGGCAAGCCTTCCAAGAGCGCATCGCATTCATCAATGGAAACACGTATGGAGCTCTCTGCCGCCAAGTCGGATGTCCTAGCCCATGATTAGCACTGCCGACGTCGACTGCGACAAATGCCGTGGTAAGGCCGTTGGGTAGACAGCGCAGGAGTAAATCGTGGTTTCCTCCGTTAGTCGCTGCTCGTGCATCCAATGCTAGCAACTCGAACCTGAAGTTGAGTTCTGCAAGCTCCCAGGCGATTTCCCGATGATGATCATTTGTTAACATCTCGAGCTCTATGCCTCTCCAAACTGCAGGACCAACATTGAATTTAGTATCAATCTGCAGCTCGCCCTGCGCAACCTTGCAAAAAAGCGACAGGCTTGTTCTCTACGTCTCTCGGCTTTCGTCGGTGTGCTTCTGGATGAGCTGGCGCCATCTGATCTCGCATTCTTCATCAAATGGTCCAAGTTTAGAATAACGCGCCAGGATTGATGAGCTACCGGCTGTGCTGAATACGATGAACAAGAAACTCGTGCCAGTAGCAGAGGACGTAGGCATAGCCATGCTTTCACGAGTTCGAGAGCTTTGCAGTTCGTCCTGTGCACCAATGAAGATATCTGGTCGTGGAAAGATATATCCGTTTGCTTCGGCAATCCTTGCTTCTGGGTAACATCGAGAACGATCTGAGCTTGTGGACTCCACCGCAGCCTGCCATACCGGGATAGCAGGCGGTAAACGAGGGTGAACAATGACTGAAAGGAATCTCGTCTGGTTAGATTGACTCGGATGCTTTTGTTTCGCTCTTTGAGTAGAAACATCATCTATAACCAACTTTAGAAAGGGATGAAGCATGAAGAACCCCAACTTACATGGTTTTCCGCGTGTTGATGACAATGGCTCTGGTAGAGGAGGGTCCAAACGAACTTCGCCGGGGACGAGCGCAAAAGGGTTCGGCAATCTCAAGTGATTTCGAGTAAAGAGCCTGAAATGCCTTGTACTTTTCAGCTTGGTCAGAGGCCCCGATAAAGACCGATCGAAGCCGTATTCGTGGAGACTCAATATTAAGATATTGATTTGGTTCTAAAGGGGAGGTGTAGGCATCGATTCGTGTGAAAGGGAGTCGGTCCAACTTGAGCAGAAGCCATACAGGAATTCTGGCTCTGAAAAACTCTTCGATGATAATAGGGTCCGTCGTAAAGGCCCCGATGAGCTCCGTATCGGCTATATTTTTGGTAGAGGAAGGGACATTGGTTGCCAGCATACGTGGGCAGGTAAATTGTGATATAGTCCATGATAGCACGCATTTCAATTGCTACGCGCTGCGTCTCCGCCACTGCCAGACGAATTCTATCGAAAATGAACGGCAATGACTCGAGGCAATGAAGGAGCGTGCACAGTCCACGACTGAAAATCCTTAAGCAATGAGTCAGACGACCCCCAGCTCTGAGATTCGGACATGTCAATGACTTTCTGAGCGGCCGCGCGTAGACAAATGAAGGACGCGTCCGAAAACTTTCCGAGTTGACTGTCCTGTGATGCAGATCCAGATGTACTGAAATCAGAGCGAGCGACAGGATTGTAGAGTGGTAGGAAGGGGTCAAGTGGGTCCTTGGGACGCTTTCGTATGCAGCTGAGCCATGGATCCGAGCGTACGTAGAACTGCGGCCACAATAGAGGGTCGTCGGCGGCATATCTAAAGTCTGCTCGCATGTACATCTCCCGGTTGATACCAAGAGGAGGCTGGTACAATCCTAATGCATTGGGGGTCACCATGAACCACCCTTTTTCAACCAATGCACCCAGCCTTCCATCGAAAGGTCCGATAGCTGTGTTCCTATTCAATCAGATTAATTTTGAAAAGAAATAAGATGGGACGCACGAGCTGCAACATTTCTCTTGTGTAACAGGCCAGTAGGGTCGTTGGACAAGTGCTCGTAGGTAAATTGACTTTCCATGGTTCTAGTAGGATGCAGCATAATCAGTCAGCTGCTAGAAACATCTTTAAGAACCTAACCTACCTCAGGCTAATGTAGAGTGAGTATCAAAGCAGGTATTCTGGTACGTCATTAGTCCATATGTACGAGAAACATGGAAAGCACGGTAGAAAATTGTTCGAGTGAGAAATCCGGGAGTAGGTCGTCGGCGTAAACCGTGGAAAGCTCGAGCGGAATTGCCTAATCGTCTGGACACCGACCACAACACCGACGAAATCGTCTAGATGCTGGGAGAATTGGCTGAAAGGCACCGACGGAAGCGTCTAAGTGCTGCACGGACCAGAATGCACCGACGATGGCGTCTAAGTGCTCGAAACGAAAGGAAACTACTGTACAAACCCAGTTGAAGTAGATCGCGGTCCGAGGTAACACGAACTACAAATACTAGAATCAGAATAGACTATTTAGAGATTAAATGAACATGTTTGACTTACCAATATAGATGTTTACAGTCAAGCAATTGGGGACTGGCGGCACACGAAAATAAAGGTATAGACGTTTGATGGAGGTGAACTGGCAAGACGCGCAAGTCCGACTGATCGTGGTTGCCTTATTTGGATTCGTCCCTTCTCTTTCTTCCACCACCTGCACTGGGGTTAGACCTTGCGTCGCCCCATATCCTGCCTGGGTTAGACCTCGCGTCGCCCCATATCCTGCATGGGTTAGACCTCGCGTCACCGCATGCCTTTGGAGACGATATCGTTCACGACTCATGACTATAATCTTCCATTCCTTCGTCTTCGACATTGCATGTTACGATTTGGGTGATCCTGGCACTACTGCAACTCGTGGTACACTTCGCTAGATGCGGGAACGTTGGAACCTTCAAGACGTCAAAGCTTCAGATGCTAGGGCCTGCGACTGTGGTACGAATCGTCTTTAGTGGCGGAAAACCTCGCGGGCAAACAACTTTGCGGGACTGCATCTCCATCTGTGCTACCATGAGGAATCAACCTCTACTGCGACCACGATGAGCACCCGCTGGCATTTTCCACCCATGTGCTGCTAATTTCTTGGCCTCCGCTTGTTTTTAGTGAGATTCTGTTTTCTCATTGTTTGGAGCTGACTTACCCGTTCAAACGTTAGAATCTCAAGTCCGCGACAGGGCTCTTCAATTCGTTTGTCATTCTATGCCAAGGCTCAATAAATTATGGGGTGTTCAGAGGATGCACAACGATCTTGAACGATCCGGCGAGAACGACCGTCGTCGTTTGGAAAGCCAACTGCAACTCTTGGAAGCACAAGTGTATGCCTACTCTCCATCTACGCGGTTTGAGTCGCTAATGTTTCAATGTTATCTAGACAAGATTCGCGCACCCAGTTGACCGAAGAACGGGATAATGTCCGAAACATTACACTACAAAAGGATATCGAACTCAAGGATCTTCAATCCAGACTTGACAAGAATGTAAGCATGAATCCTAATGTTCACTGACTCGATCTTATACTCTATAGGCCGAAGAGCTCTCCAAGACACGGGAAGCTCTCGTCGGCGCTGAAACTAGCAAGAAGCACCTCGAGGACCGTATTGAAGACTTAACTAGACAAGTTCAGGGCAGCGAGGAAAAACTTGCGGTATATGAGCGACGCTCGGGTACTCTTGGTGTTCCTCGTAGCGGTCAGGATATGAGCAAGGAGCAGCAGCTTGAGGCGGAAGTCGCGGAACTTAGGTGCGTAATGCTCTTGGACCTACGGTCTGGATGGTATTCATTGTACCCCAGGGCCGAGTTGAAGATTGCCAAGGTGGATCTTCAAGCAGCCAGAGAACAGTGCCAACAATTCGAATCAATTAGTCAGGCTGCTGAAGCCGCACTTGAGAGCTTGCAGTCTACTCATGAACAGTACAGAACTACAACGGAAGCTCAGTTCACGAGACTCGAGGCATGTGTTCTATCTGATTGCTCTGATCTGTAGTCTGACGTGTCTTAGTCGGAGAACAAGGCCTTCCAAGAGAAGTTAGAGGCAGCTCAGCGAGGCGCCATACAGGCTACCGCCCAACTAAACGAACTTCAAAAGACATTCGAAATTGAACGAACTGCTTGGACGAACGACAAGAAAACTCTGGAAGAGACTATAATCGATTTGAGCACTTCCGAGAAACACTCCGAGAGCGACCGTACAAGTCGTGAGCAGGAAGTTCGTTTACAAGAGGAGCGTGCTAAGGTATACCTACTGGTTCCAATGATATTCTCTCGTACTTACTTCCCTCAAAGGCTGCTGAGGAGCGCTATTCGAATGAGTTGGTTGCACATGCCGAATCTAGGAAGGCTATCGAAGCTCTGAACGCACAACTAGCCACCTCCCAAGTGGCGGTTCGTGACAGCCAGGTTGCAGCTGACACAGCGACCGCTAAGCTGGCTGCCTCAGAGAGGAGCTGGAACAAGCAGAAGGAGACTTTGGATGCCGAGGTTGCAGAAGTAAGACGTCAGTAAGTTTTGAACACTGTCAATTTTATGCCTGAAATATAACCCTTCTGATAGCCATCAAGCTCTCGCTGAGCACAACAAGCTTTTGCATGGACACTTGGAAGACGTTAGCAGCCAAGCGGCACGTATCAAGCAAGCAGCGACCTCTTCCGATGCTCCTGCTGGTGGAGGTGAAGGTGCCATTGGAGATGATGCTAAGCTGTCGGAGCTCCGATCACTCGTTGGCTACTTGCGCAAGGACAAGAACATTTCTGAGCTCCAGCTCGACCTTTGCAAGCAGGAGAATCTGCGGTTGTCGAAGCAGGTTGAGCATTTGACGGAGACTTTGAACGAGACGCGGGCCACACTTTCGGAGGTAGGCTGCCCCCCATCTCTCTCTCTCTGCGCTTCCGCCTTACGTTTGCACCAGGAACGCGAACGAGCCGTGCAGACCGCAGCATCTGTACCTGAAGCGGTGTCTTACATTGTAATGAGCACCTGAACCACCCAACGAAGCCTTATCGCGATGAATCTAATGTTTGTCTCTCTTTTCTAATATATAAGTACTCGCTAACAAAGCCTAGCCATTATACTTGCGTCCGGCAGAGGCTACACTCGTTCTATTAGCGACGTACATCAATCCCAGATCTACAGTCTTGCGTCGGAATCGTTCGCATGGGAGACAGGTACACTCTACCGCTTTACTGTGCCCGCATAATGCCAAATTGACACATAGACATAGAATCACGGCCGCCGAAACCAGCCATCAAGGTCTTTAGCTCTCTGAAGGCTGTACAAGCAGAATTAGTTCCCGAAAGTCATTGAACAGATCAACATGCTATTCACATCGCCTTCGAGACCATCGAAGTGAAGCATTGTTTTCTCAGATAACCTGTTTTCAGAGCATCCACGTTCGGGGACTCCTACTTACCGATGTCAATGTCTGCGTCGACGCCAACGAAGTGCCAGAGTTGCCTCATATGGAAGCATGTTATTCGGCACCTTTTTTCTCAACTTTCACCACAATTTTCTTCTGCACACATCTCTCTCCTTCAACTATGGACATCACCCAACTATCTGCTGCACTCGAAGGAATGAGCATGGAAGACTTCGTTTTGGTATGTCAACTGAGTTCTGGTTTCGCTCGCTGGGTTTTCAATTGACGTATACGTCGCAGGCGCTGAAAGACTCGCAGCTCAAAAATCAAGCATGCCAAGAGGAAATTCGCAGACTCCGTACCGCCCCTTCCCTTCCCCAGACCGCTGAACTCCCCGTTCTACCGCAGGGTGCTGGCGGGGAAGAAAGAACCGCAAACGACTTGGCCTCGAGCACCGAAACATCATCTCTTTTTACCAATAAAGAGAGCCGAAGGGAGCTAGAGTATTGCGCTATGAAAATGGTCGTCTTCGGCCATGTTTGGTGGGAGAAAAAAGATCTATTCGGTGTTGGGCTGGACTTGGAGGCTGCTCGTCGTGAAATGAATGCCGCCACCCTCACGAATTCCTTGGATACCGGGGTAGAAAAGCCATCACAGGAGCGAGTAATGGTGCTCCGATTGATCCTGAAGCTGTACGAATTTCTCCCTAAAGCGTTTCACCCGCTTGTGGGTGCTTCTATTGCAGGCGAGTATAAAAAATTGTTCAAAATTGTAAGTGCATGACACTGTTTACAACAATTGACTGGACTGACTCTTGTGATACAGATGAAAGATGTCGGAGGAGCCCGTCGGTCAACCTTTCTCAACAGATTTAGAAATGTCGCCGGAGAGATTTTCGAGGGCCTTATTCCACAGGGCCATTTTAGGCGGGGTTTCGACCGCTATGAGGATCCGACTTGCCGGCGCCTTTTGGGCTACAAGTCAGACCGGGTTTATAGCAGACATCCCCCTTGCCTGTTTGCCGACGGGTTTACAACAGGAGCCACCGTGTTCAGGACCATCCAGGGAGTGAAGGTTTGTGTCAAGTACTTGTCTTTGATTAACAGAGGGCATGACAATGTTCTTTTTTACAGATCCTTACGTGTCTCTTATGGGGCAGCACGGCCCTTGACGACCAGCCGATTGTAACAAAAGGCACAAACGGTGATTTGTGGCATGCTAACAAGGTGAATGCTGCTGGCAATCGCATTTACCGCGATAGTGGTAAGTATCAATGATGAGGATTTTCCAAGTTCTAATAAAATATTACAGACTCGTAATCTTCTGTCTGGTGATCCTGAGTTTGCGCCAGTAGGAAAGAAATCCGGCATCAATTATCTGGCCGATTTTGAGTACTATGTCGAACGAATCGAAGACCAGCTCAAGAAAGGAACGAAATCCATGTGCGACATGGTCAAATTCTACAATGACCATGTCTTTCCTCCGACGCGAGGTCGTGCCAAGGCTCCGGCTGCTGTCCCTGTATCGCTCACGGAGGAGGAGGAAGCTTTCTGGCACGAGATTGAAGCAATCAACAACGAGCCTGACTCAGACTCTCAGGGCACCGGCCAAACCCTCACGGTGCCTGTTGTATTCATAGATGCACCTTTGGCCATTCCTAGTGGAGCCGAATCTCCTGTGCTCCCAGCACCGGTGACAAACGACGTCCTTGCGGGCGCCACAGTTAGCAGCGACAAGGTCCGATCAAAGGCAAAGGGCAAGAAAGGAAGTAAACCGGCTCCAACGATGGCCAGGGTGACCAGGGCAACACGTAGTCGGCGAGGCCAAGTGGGTGGCGGGGAAGAAGTTAGAGCCGAAGTTGCTGTTCCACCAGCCACGAGAAAGCAGAAGAAAGGCAAGAAGGGCACAGCAGAAGAACCCTCCGACGGTGTCCAGCCTCTGGCAACTACCCTGACCAAGGTGGCGACCCCTGATCAGTCACCAGCGATTGCATCTCACACGGCGATAAACCCGGGAGCGTCCATCGATACCAACATTGATGAAGGTGATGACGAAGAGAATGATGATGAGGAGGAGGAGGAGGAGGAAGAGGAGGAGTAGAATTAGTTCATTTTGTGGTCCTCTGCAGTACATTTGTTTTTTGTTGTCCCTAACAAATGTTTCTCTTGCGTGTCGCCATCATTTCTTTGAAAAGATAAGGGGAAAGCATGGGGTCAAAGATTCTGAGTAATTAGCTGATAGGGATGGTAATGTATTAACATAACCCCAGTGCACTACATATATATGTATTATATGGTGTAGTGGTTAATACTTAATGTCTTGTAAATCTCTGTAATATTTATTCTTTCTTAAACAAATTGGTTGTGTGTTCGATCTCCGGTGGACTCAGTTACTAAAAATTAATTGACTTTCAGATCCTTTCCTAGTTACAATCAAGTAAGAAAAGTACTACGGAGAAAAGAATATTCTTTTACTTGTTTTTTGCTCGACAACCATTTTTGAATCGTTATTCTGTAGTTAATTAGCGACATATATTTCACGAAATAAAGTGGCTTATTAAGTCGGTGGGGGGCTTTATTAGGCAACCGACAATGTTGATATATACGGTTGTTAGGCAGTTTGATAGGGGCATAATAAACGTGCTTATCAAGATTGATGGGGGTCTTTATTAGGGTCCATTTTACTTATCTTATCGCAAAGAACTTTCGTCTCGTTAGGCCAAATATGCGGCCCGGCCGCATAATGGCCTAATATAGCATAATTGCGGCTAAATACCCCTTAAATGGCAATTGCAAAATGTCGGACATGATGTCATATGACATACTAGGTCATAGAAAGCATGGGGCATGGTCGTTTTGGTGCCGTTGTCTCCGATAGCACTGGAAATACAACACTGGCTCGCAAACTCCTTGTTGAACATGTACCCACAATCATAGCTCTAGCCGATCTGTGTCACCACATCAGCAATCTTATCAAAGATGTGGTCAAACTGCCTTATTTCTCTTTGGTACGTTAACTGGTTCATGTTCAATGTACTTAGCGTGAATGATTTTATAGGCAATCAAAGTTGTCCGTGGAATTATTAAGTACTTCCACATGTCACACATTGGAATCGCCGATTTCGCAAAAGCAAGACAGCAACTGAACATCGGCCATGGCCTTGAATCTATTGGGAAGACTCGTTTTGGAACTGTGGTCCACTCGTCAGTGTCAGTTCAACGTTGCATCCCTGCAATACAGAAAACGATTTCATTTGGTCGTGTCAAGTCTGATGTAAGTCGTACTGTAACTTGTTCAAATGAAAACACAGCTAATTTTCCTCGGTTATAGGACTTTCGTGACTATTATCGATCTGAGACAACGTCTCAGAAGGCATTCAACTTTCGATATGGACTAGAACAGCTCATAAAGATTGGTTCACCTCCTGCAAACACATTAACGTGTCTGGAAGCAGTTGAAGTCATGGCAGCTGATGCGTATTTCTTTTGGCATGCCATGATTGCCAAAATGACCGAGGTTCTGCTTGATCCAGGCAATGAATTTCCTGTGGAAGTCCAGGAAGATATTCTCGGTATCCTGGAGCATTGACACGATCAACTCTTTAGTATAAACGGTAATTTGGCTAGTACAGCATATCTTGCCACTGCATACCTTAATCCCAGTACGTGTTCTTTTACCGCCGAGTGCTGACATTATTTCTTAACTTACACAATCCACAGATAACCTTCAATCTGATGTTTTCAAGATCGAAAAAGCGAGTCCTGAATATGTTGGCATCCGTCACCCTAGCATCTTCAAGACCGTAGCGACATATGTAGCTCAACTGGCTGCAGCTGAGGTCAAGCATGGCCATCATGAACATTTTACCGCATGGAAGGGACGCGGCAAGCCATTCACAACACAATTTCGGAAGGAGATCCTACTCTATGCTCGTCATCAGTACCCTTATAATCTCCGAGTCCAGGATGAGAATCACCCCCATGCAGTTCGAAACTGGTGGAGTGCTATTGTGAACACTGATGAATTGCTTCCTCCTGGCAGCCGATGTGCGCAAATACTTCCGGTATGTAGTATGGGTGCTATCGGTGATTCCGCAGTGACGTCTGATGCTAACAAACCCTTCTCCAGCATGTCGCCATCAAACTATACTCAATTCATGTTAACTCAATGTCTGAAGAACGCACGGTTTCTAAATTTACGTGGCTTACTCCTCCCGAGCGAAGTCTCCTTTCCGTTGAATCTTTGACTGCTCGAGTTCAAGTAGCCCAGTACTATCAAACCAACTCAAAGGTTTGAATGTATTCAATTGATAAATTACTCTGTTGATGGACAATTATATAGCCACGGCCGCATAGTCATCGCAACCCGACAATCAAGTTCTATGATATCAAGAAGTCAAACCCCGGAGAAAGCGATGCCCTATATGATGATGAAGATGATTCTTGGCTCGACATCAAGCTTGGCGAAGATGGAACCATGCCAAAATCAATACAGGAATTCACATCCCTGGATACCCCAGTAAATCTCAAGTCCTCGCGCATCACTGATTTGCTCTGTAGCGAGTCTAAGGTACTTCAAGTGGGGAAAGGCGTCCAAGATATTTCAGCCAGCAACGAAACTGATTTCGTTGTTAGCGACACAGAAGGCAATGATGATGATTTTAGTATGGTATTCTAGTAGTGATGTAATAGAGAGAACTCGCTAAATCTGAGGTGCATGTACTACTATGTGATTCCCATCGTGAGTGTATGCAGGTATCCCAGCCGCTTGTAACACCTGCCGTCCTGCTGCCACGTTCGAGGCGTTGTCTGAACAAAGAAGATCGGGTGATAGGTCTTCTAATAGTGCTTTAAAAGTCTAATAGAGATCAGTGTATGGCAAGTGAGAGAGAACATCCTGACCATGTACCTGGATAATGATTGCTACAGTATCTTCAGAGTTGGGTCCAACAAATAAGTCAGGCTGAAATGACAATCAGCAGGAGTATGACAGTCCGGGAGATGTCGCACCTTGAGCGGAAATACTGTATCCCCTTCTTCTTCGCAGCCTTTCGTAATAAGATCAAGCCACCGTAACAAGACGGTGTTGTGGGGGTGATGGCAGAGAAGCCCGTCCAAGAGATCAATGATGTTCCTCAATTCCCCAGGCTGGACGTGATCCTTCACATTAATCTTCAATGCCGTGGATCCAGCTCCAAACACCCGAGACAATTCAATATCGAGCGATTGGATCCTATCTCCATTTGTGTCGAAAGATAGATGATGCAATGCAGAAGGGAACGGCATTGGCTTTGCCTGTACAAGAAGCCGTAGCCATAGAATTTTGATAGAGATAGGGATGTGCTCCATTGTGAGATCGACGGGCTACAATACAGACCGCTGGCGGCAGTGCAGAAGTCAAAAAAAAGCTAGCGCGAAATGGTCATGTGAGAGATCATGTGACTGGTAAGTAACGGTAACTTACCGTAGCAAAACCAACCCCCCCAGGGAGGGGTCAGTAACTAACGGTTACTTACCCCCCCTGGAGGTTTCGTGCGCAACCCTAGTGCTGGCAACACAAGGGCCAAGGCCAGTCGCAAAAAAAAATCAGGATTATATGATACTCAGAGTAGGAGGCACTACCAGGGTTCAAACCTGGGTTATTGGAAATTTTGGATTCAAAATCCAATGTGCTACCACTACACCATAGCGCCACAAATGCAGCTCCATTTCTCTGTAGGGTCCAAGTAGTAGAATAACTTAACTGGTATTGCTTCCCAGACCTTAGATTTATCACATCTAACTGTGTTGTGCTGTAACTGCAATTAGAGGTTCTGAAACTGTTCTTCGATTTTTACTGCTCTCTTCAAGTTGGTACATCACACATCCTAGCTGCTGGTCACAAATGGTGCTTACCGCCGCTGTTACAACTTCATTTGAGGCCGCTCTGTACTATCTGTTTGCTGTTCTTATCATCTTGTTGTGGTTTACAGCTTCAAGGAAAGTAGCATACATATGTCTTCTTTTCGCTGTATTCACAGTCTTCCGCGGGTTCACTACGCGGCCTGTCCGTTATCAATCAATATCCGGACTTTATCGATTAACTTACTGTTGTCGACATAAGGCTCCCGGGTTATATTGATGAATCGGCGCCTTCTTCTGTTACACCAATATTCGGTATTCTTTGTCTTCTTCTATACTTCCGTCTCCCGACCCGTATCGCACAGCTCCTATGAAAGGGCTACCAGTTGTGGCGTCCACTTACAAGGCATATGCGTGATCCGGCTTGCTTCATTTACATTGGGAGCGTTGGCACGGTCCGGTTTCTCCGCGATCATGTGTACGATATCCGTAGTTTCCCGCATCCGTAGCTACACCCGCGACTATCACCAGCGATTCCTCATTCTCTCTATCGGACCTAGCGATACGGTTCCAACATCTGACCGATGACCTTCCAAGCGCGATTGGACGGTTCGCCGAAACTGCCGACCCAAACCGATATCACCGGACTGTTAAACAGTGATCTTATGCGCGTCTCTGATACCCAGGTTCTCCGTGGCTGCTATGATTCCTTCAGCATACCTATCGCCTGCTGAAAACTCGGTCAAATGAAGCCGATAATCTCAACAGCTCTCTTTCCAGCTCAATTAGGTGCGGTGACTCAGAAGTGCAGGCAATCTCCATCTCCCATCCCGATGATAGAAGACCAGTTAGGCGGTGGACGAAACTGCACTCATAGCAGATGACTCCTGCGATTCCGAAGAACTGCTGTGAAATACGGCCTCCGGATGACTCGCTGTCTCGTTCACAGTAGGTGTTCTTTTAAGAAGTCAATCGACGACTGAAACTGTGGCCACCTTCCTCATTTCCGTGTTATCGCAAAACTACTCACTATGCCTGTTCATGGGTCTTTTATATCAAAGAACACTTGGGTCCATGGACATTCATGGCGCGTAGATGACATATGCTTCGTTAAGTCGAACAATGTTGTCATGGTATACAAATGTAAACGTGCGCGTAAGTTTTTCCTGCACATTGCGATCTTCATATGAAACTAATCGATTCCCGTAGACACTAGTAATAGTGATAACACTGTAAGCATTCACCCGAGCGAACCCTTCTCCGATGATGAACCGAAGCATATTTCTATAGCCTCCCAACGACGAGTTCTGGGAACTCTGTTCTCCTTGAATGTATGACAAGGCATGTCTCTTCTGAAATAGTGAGGCCCGTTCCCCTTATGGCCTTGTTATACTGAATACGGTACCGCAGATCATAAGAACAATACTTAAAACGGACATATAAAATAAGGGACTACACTCCTCTATATCACATTTCCATCCCTAATGCTACTCATTTGTATCAATACGCAAGAAGCGGATCAGAACAAAGATCATGATCGCTAAGGATCAAAAGTTCATTATTGGAAGCATTCTATCAAAGCGGACGCTGCAATCCTCCGAATGATTTTAATTGGTTCAAGCGACGTGGCTTGTCGCTTCCCGAAACTCAAGGGACGTCAAGTCAATGTCGAATGCAAACAGATTTTTTCGTCATAGCTTGAATCAAGCCATGTTACTCAGATCTAAGTTGACCGTTATGGCTGCCTCAGTTTGGCACTGCCATCTCGTCATGCAGTCCAATTGCATCTTTGGATCGTTTTTTCTGACCTGAGAAAGCCACTGGAGTCTATCCCTGTAACAAATCGGAACCGCAACTGTCCGACCATCAACAGAGAATCGACTCTTATTGGTGAATGCCGAAGACCAGGGCGCTTCAGCTCTTTCTGTTTTTAGTCTCACCCTGATTGTTCTGATTGCCAGAAACACGCTGGTCCGCTTCTTTCTACAAGTGATTCGTTGCCATGCCAAACGCGTACCTCACGCAAAATGCTGGGAAATGGTGCCCTACCCATTCCAGACCCGATCTTCAGTTCATAAATCGGAACATCCTGGCTATTCAAGGCAACGGTTCTGATTGACCTTAGTTCATGCTGGTGGGGCGGAGACGGTGATAAATATAAGATCGTGTGCGCATACGAATCGCCGATTCAGCTGCACTTCTTAAAGCGTGGAAGGATATAGCGGAGAGGGACTCGGTGGCGTACGGTTTAGATCTGACGCCTTAGACTGTTCTCCCTTTCAAAATAATTGAGTCGTAATCCTAAAATAAAGCGGAAGATCTTTTCCCGTTCCCATCAGCCCACAGATTATGGCCAAATGACGGGCCCGTTTGCATAACACTGGCACTTTTTGGACCTCAAGATCCTAACGCATACCAACCGCGTAGAAAGTGGTGTTTCCTGGTAGATAATCTACAGACTGTGGCGTCAAATAAAATGAATGAAGATTGATTTCAGTATCGTTCTAATGTCTAGAAATCTAGCAAATGGCTGTCAGATCGACATCTGGTGTGAAACTGAGTGACTTGCCTACTCGTAGGAGATGACGACTCATTAATAATTGGCAATTTCCCTCTATGATACCCTTCAACCGAGCGAAGAGGGTCACCCATTGAGGATCATATCCAAACCCCGAGTCGGCGGTGAGGTTCAAGTTGACCCTGCAAAGATTCTCCATCTGGGAGCGACAAAGGGCGGCTTCCAGTGCTGACCACTGCGCTGCCAAGGGAAAAGACGCAGAGAAAGCGGAATCTGATTGCTCAACGTGAACCTTCAAATTGATTGTGAGCTCCCTGAGCTTAAAGTCTTCGTCATCCGTTGCGAAGTTCTCGGTCCAGTATTTGAGTGGAGAGGTGTGTGGATCGGTTTCATCGAGGACGATCGTCAGATATTCGATATGACTAAGAGATAGAAGAAGTATAGGATCATTGGCTGAGTAGTAGGATAATAAGTACCGAGACTTATACGTGACCGGTCAGCAGACTTACCATGTTGCTGTGATTCAGCATTGCCAAGAATCATAGGACCAATGTACATGGTAATGAGGGACCCACGGGTTTGAGAAAGAATGAGTCTGACGAGCTGAAGCTCATGGCTCGTCATGTATGTGACGCGTAGATGCTTCAAGGCCGAGAGAATGTCAGCGAAATGCTCTCGCAGGAACAACATCGCGGAATGATTGATATTATAGGAGAACTGGAGCTCCAATGTTTCCAGACGTAATTCTGGTGGCGGGGAAGGAAAAGTAGCCATTGTCGATTGCGGATTTTGGAAGAGAACGAAACCGAAATTTAGATATTTCACAGAAGGAAAAGCGCATAGTAATGTGAAGAGATCGTCGCCATTTTCCAGAATCAGGTCGTCAAGGCCGAGGCGTCTTATATGCTTTTGGAATGGGAAAATGGAGGAAGGGGAAACAATGTCTGACAGCCGCGGAATCCTAACATTCTCGATGAAGACCTCCTCGACATTGGAGAGGGCTTGAAAGACGATCCGAATTGTATTGTCGGTGAATATCCAGTCTGCAGGGTCAATGAACGTCCGACCGCTAAATTTGATTGTATGGATTGTAGATGGAAGGCTGGGGGATACTCCGAACAACACGAGGAGCGTTTTTAGGCGCCGATGGGAGGAAATGACGATATCGTGAAATATATGTATTCGCGCACGCTCGACAAAACAGCGAGCGGAAAGAAAACAAGAACGAAGGGATTCCTTGTCATCTTTTAAGAAGTCAATGATGACTTCGACAAGCTCTTCCGGTAGCACAGACATGGGAGCTAAACCGTAGGCTATATGCAAAGGTTAGACAAACTGAGATAGTAAAATGCACGTACGGAAAGACTTACCAAATGCCAAGGAACCAGCTAAGAGATTGTGTGCAGGTTGAGAGTAAGCCTCGAAGCCGCGGTACGGGCCGGAGGCACTGATCCCGTGATCCAATGGATCAAATCTGGAACACTCCGGTCCGGAGAAGGACAGCCGCTTTTTTCCTGGTCCAACGCGTCTTGATATAGGTCAGGGTACATATCCGTTAAAATTGCTTCACTTACTTTGTAAAAATTTCACTTAGCAGGTCTTGTATGAGAGCTCTTATTCACGCTAAATTTGCATTTTTTACCTCTTCCTTGGCTATCAACTTCGACAAAGGTAATCTTGAGGAGCCGGTGCCGTTACTGGGATCCCAACGTCTTCAATTTGCTATATATAAACAAGATGGAAACCAGTGAAGAGAAGGGAGTCCTACTGTTCTCGTCTGATGCACACCCCTGCATGTGTGCTCTCAGGAATACTTGGGTGGTCGGTATTCCATTCATAATCGAGTTCGAATCTGACACCGGGTGGACAGGATCCAGCGTCATTGGAATTGACTATTTTTCGACTACTTTCTTGGAAATCTTGCCTAAAACTTGCGCGGGAAGTCCGACATCAATACGTAGCTGAAGTAAGTCGAACTCCAGGGCAAACGAACTCGTTCCGAGATGGTTGGTTGCGGTATACGGGGAATGTGGTTCGTTTAGCATAATGCACGGCATCCTTTACTCATTATCATTGTGTAGATAAAGACGCAAAATGTGTGCTGTGTGCCTTTCATTCTCGAGGTAGTAACAAAGGGTGTCGCCGTCCGTGAGCAAACTAATCGTCGGGATTATGTTCCTAGCTTACATGTTGGCTAGGCTACCACGCATCCTACTTTGGACCGAGGACCAGTTTCTGAATCTCAAGAGTAAGTATTTCGCTTTTCTAATGTCAATAAATCACGTTAACGTATTTCTACGCCCCTTTGTTTTCCCTTGCGCAGGCCTACGTTCGTTTCGCCTTCCATATAACTGCATCTCTGAAATCTTGTTGATCGTATGAAAGTCAAGGCAAGCTATGGTTTCCAAAATATCTATTAAGTGCCGGGTGCATCCCACGGTTATTCTGCACCTGCAAATATCGGTGTCAATGAGAGACGTGAGTCTTTACTACGTCCACGTTTTCATGTCCCACATACTCAAGCGATTATAAAGCTGGACTCAATTTGTCCCGGTACAAGGCATTTCTAGGGTATTTACCCTTTTTTCCGCAAGAAGCGCAATGATCGACGTCATCAGCTGCATGTACTAGGTGATTACCCGACAGTCCGGCCCCATGGTCTTCATTCAAAATTGCGAATAGTATCATTCTGTCTGACTCAACAGTTCTTCCACTCGGGCCGTTATTTCTTTCTCAACCAATTGGGCCATTTCGGAATCCGTTTATTAACTACACGCATCTTGAGCTTGAACCACCTCCATGTCTTCTCCCATTCTCGCAGGAGCTCTCGGAGAATGCTGCTTTACTGCAGTAAAGCATGAAGGGACGCCCGTCGGGAGAACCGATATCATTGCTGGTGTACCGACCTACGTTTCCGAACCCCCGTCCGCCAAGACCGTCCAAAAGACGAAAGTTGTGTTGTACTTTGCTGACGTCTACGGCCCATTGCATATCAACAACCAACTTGTTCAAGACTACTTCGCCTCTCAAGGTTCGTTCTCATTGACACGGCTTCGGAATAGTATTAATCATAACGGCCATTGCTGATAGGATTCATCGTCGTCGGGATCGACTACTTCCTCGGAGATTCGTATGGTTTTCACACAGAGCCGGACTTTGATATGCATCCATGGATAGACAAGTCGACGCAACGAGCATTGGAGGTAACGCCGAGATGGTTGGACGCTGTTCGGGAAAAATACGGTAAGTGGTAGTTGTTGAGCTCTTTCAAACTTACTCAGCTGAGCAGGCAAGGATTCGCAGTACGCAGCCGTGGGATACTGCTTCGGTGCTCCATTCGTTTTGGATCTCGCGATTCGTGGAGACATCGTGGCTGGTGGGTGTTAAACATATAAAACATATACCTTTGGAGATTCCTTTGTCGACGCATCGAATACTAGGCGCCATTGCGCATCCAGCATCGCTCACTGAAGACCACTTCAGGAATATCAAGAGTAAGTCTACTTACTTATCTGTCTGATCTCTCAGGACTGATACTTCTGGGTTCAGAACCTCTATTTCTATCATGCGCGGGCACGTTCAAACTAATTTGGTTCTCATTCACTTCCGCTTATTGCTAATAACAGAATCTGACATCACCTTCCCTCTGGAGAATCGTCGACGCGCTGAAGATATCCTGGTTGAAGTAAAGGCCAGTTACTGTTTCCAGATTTTTTCCGGGGTCGAGCATGGGTTCGCTTTGAGAGGCGATCCAAATGTTGGCGATACTCGTAAGTTCATTCCTTTTTTATGATAGCCCTGTGGTCGGCTGAGATGATGAACAGGCTGGGCAAAGGAAGAGTCCGCGCGAGGGATTGCGAATTGGTTTCAGCGGTTTTGTGCTGAGGACTTGAAATCAGTCAGATAGGAGCTGTATCAGTCCTCAGAGAAGAAGTGAAGTAGTAATCATTTCTGCTACGGTTTGAAGAAGAAAGCTGTTATGGATCGAGACATGTCAAACAGCGAGATGAAATATAATAATACGGTGTATCCCAGTACGTATGATACCTCTACCTTACGTCCTTCAGAAAGCCATACAACGTGCATCAATCCACGACATTATATGTTGTATTGGTTTCCCAGTGTCATAAATAGATGAATCCGTGTCGCTGTACTCGGCACGCCTCTGCAATAGGCGGAGTGCATCGCACTCGTCTCCAGTTGCGAACTCCCATCCAGGTATCATGTTTCGTGGATCATTTCTTGAGCAGCATCCAAAAACTGTGTAAACAGACCACATGATTGGAGACTTCCCAAGGCAGGTTTCAGTCAGTAAGGCATTCCGAAGAGCGTAGTCTAAACAAACACACATGAGGCTGGGGAGTGAAGTGTAAAAGTATCATCTTGTAGGTATCCTTGAACCCTGGAATGCAAGACATCCATGCAAACTTTATGGTGGGGGAACATCGAGACTGATTCATAGCGCGTAGTATCCGGTCGGCGAGCTTGACTGAGGGAGTAGCAGGGAAGGCGCGCCAGGGTCGATTCCGCAACTGAACCGATCGGACCGGAACCGAGGATCACATCAACACATGCCCTTGAATTTCAGAGCGCTTGTACAAATCTTGAATGCAGACAAGCAGAGACAAGCTCAAATCAGATATCATGTCACGTGGGCACAATGGTATAAAATGGCAAACCTCAGTCCCTTTGTTGATCCCCAACTTGACGACCTTGAGCTGCACAATACGCACTGTTCACCATGCTCGAGTCGGATTTATTCAGCACCCCGATGTGGCTTACTCAAAACTCGTACGACCGGAATGATCATGTTCTCTGTGCTGTTGTCGTTTCCAACAATCCCACCAGGTTGTGCCTCGCGAAGTATCTTTGTATAAAGAAACGTGAGTCGTGTTTTTACTGTGAAGAAAATTACTCCTGAACATCTGCTGTATAGACAATAGCAATGAGTTCAATCAGGTACGTTTTCAAGTCCACTTCCTTGTACCGTCTTTTGCCCATCACTGGCCGCGTTTCTAGCCTAGTAGAAATGTCGGAAATTGCTGGCAATACGTTGGCTGGTACGGTCAACCGTTCGAGCCACTGAATGACCTTTCGTCGTTCTCGTCGTTCTGGTGCGTTCCATAACTTCTAGTTCTCGCCATCATATTCAATCTCCTGTAGAGTGCGCTCGAGGGCTTCTATTGAACTATATCAGTAGTATGATAGCTTAGGCTGTCAAAGTCTTTGTCAATTGTACCTGATATATCTTCTTCCGGCCTCTGGTATTGTGGTGTTATATCTAGTTCAGATCTGAGATACGCATCCGGTATCAACCATCAGGGACCCGCCTCGGAGTGTCAGCAGCTACTGATAAGACATTAGCATTAGACTCGATGCTCAGCTCGGCCTTCTAAATCTGACTTAAGTCGAGGGACAGCCTAGTAGAATGTTTGAAATACTCCCCATTCCTGATAGATCCATACTGTGCCTCCAAGTCGCATTCGTCCCTACTGATGTCTTGTCATCTCAGATGGACATTCAGCACCATGGCTATATTTACCCGCTCAAACCGCATTGGAACCCCTCGTAGAGTCAGAGAGATGGAATGGATCGATAGGGAAAACCTAGCTACGAAAACGGGAAAAGCTATGTCTACCTGCCCTAAACAGTCACGTGCACCGGTCCGAATCCGCCTTCGTCCCCTCTCGCCTACGCTCCCAGCATCCTCATAGCTTTCCATTTACAGAGAACAATGCAAGAACGGCGCTTCAGATCGTATGAAACACCCTGGTCTAACCACATTAGTCAACGATGCATGCCAATAAGATAGTAGGCAACGTACTGTAACCCCTTATAGACGGCCAGCATGCTTAATCCTTCAAGCTTCAAGCTTCATCGAGCATATTGAAGAAGTCAATCCAAATCCGTCCGTCGCGTACATTTTCTGTCACGGGCTTTAGCTATCACCATTAATTAGTGATTTACCAATCGAAAAGTGTATACCCATGCTTAACGTTGGTAACAATCTAGTGTGACTACAGCTTTACCATGAGTGTACGAAACAAATTGAATTATGATCCATGATAAGGTGATAATCAGCGTCGTCCGAAAATAGCCAGAGTGGTGGGGATTCCTCGACAGAGTGGTCCCCTTTGAATTACCTATATTAAGGGTAAATTCAGTGCACCGGACTGTTCTCCCATGTCATACTCGTATTGAGCCGAAACCCAGTGTCCAGCGTTAGGATTGAGAGGGAAGATGGTGAGCGACTGAGGGTGGAAGGAGCGAAGAATGATGAAATACCTCACAAGTAATGCCCTTATGTACTCTGCAGAAGAGGTCTGTGAACACAATGACCATCGCAGTGGGCGGGCGATGTGTCATTGATTCGTCACGTCTCGATGACTTCCGTGTCATCGTCGCATCAACCAAAGTTAAGGCCGACGGTGGCTGTGCGATACGCGCCAGGTCACGTGGATGACAAATACATCTTTTTGACACTTGGACGTCTGTAATTTTACGAGCTCCGTTTTCTCAGTCAGCTACGCAGTTCAGAGCGATACTTATATTCAGAAGTTAGCTCGATACCGGCGTTCAATGCAGCGAAGGGAGATATTTATCCTTTGGGCTCGCTTCCAACTATTTTATGTGACTTGATCAGGGATTGTTCTTCAGCTTCAATATGCTACATATTTCTCCGGAGGCCATGAACTGAACGGAACCTAGAGGAGGGCAGTATTCGCAGTCAGACAGAAGAGTGGTACGTCTATAGCTCAAGGAAATGCGAATTCTGTCCTGAATCTTATCCAGGGAAATATTCCGTAGCCTTATCGACATCGGCCGAATGTAAAACTCGCGCCGTGAATTTTTATCAGCCAGGGTTGCTCTATTTGCTGCTCTCAGCAACAGTATAATTCTCAGGCTCCGCCCCTCCTCGCTGTTCAGCCATATATTTCTGATGCTTTCGTATTTGTGCTGGCTTTCCTGTGCAGCAGGAAGCAGGGACGAGCATAGGAACTCTGAGGTTTTTGGCTGGACTGGCTCTGTCTGCGTGAGTGAGTTTCCTCTGAATCTGTAATTTTAATTATCTCATAGCTTTTGGCCAGCTTCAAAGCAGATTTCGCAGCAGCTGCAATGACGTCCAGCACGTCATATTATATGGAAGAGGTCTGTTTTAGTTGGTATGTGTCCTATGGCCTTCTGAGATTTTGGCAATCCCTAGCCTCGCTTTCGCTATTCTGTACTGACATCCTGGGCGTGAAAAAGTGCGTAATATAATTCTGGACGTCCTTTCCGCCAAATCTTACGTGTTCTCATTATCGTAGCTGCGTGATGGTTCTGTGATACCTTGTTTCTGTGTAGCTTCAGAAGATATGCAGGAAGGTAAAATAACACAGTAAATAATCTGACTCGCCGAACTTACATGTTATAGCACTTAGTCCGAGTTGACCAACGTAAGTTTGGCCCTCCGAGGATATAACGGACAACGGAGGATGTCTCCAATCGATTCGGTTTCCCTTGCTTCGGTTTCACCTACCGGCGAGACCGACTACGAGACCTCCGAAGGGGTCAGGCAAGGTACTTCTATAATCACGGTCGTCCGCTGTTGTTGACCTTACACTTTTGAAGGCGGCCATTTCTGCTCCGTTAGCGCCAAGCTCACTGATATGCTAGACTCGAACTTCGAACTTGCGCGGGCGTCAGGTGCAGACATGGACCAACAATCGTCCACGAGCCAATACAGATGTCTACGAAGTGTCTCACTGTTTCCGGAGGCAATTTCGCCGGTGTGAGACACCAGCTGCCCCTTTCATCGTATAAAATGCCCCCGCGGAACTTGATTTCCCTACAATACAAACATGAACACCAACCACAACCAACTGCGCTCTACAAACACCACCAGCACGTGCGAAGCTTCGTCTTCCACAATCACTCTTCGTCCTGAAGAGGAATTCAATCCGCAATATTGCACCCGATGCGATCAGACACTATGGTCTATCGAGCTTATGCGGAATCATCTCGACTTTTCTGGTTGACACCCGTATTGCGGTACTTGCAAACGGGGATTTTTGAACAACAACTCCTACAAGACGGTGAGCCCCTTTTTGTTGTCGTGCGTCGTCGTCTGACTGATTTCCTCCCAGCATCTGATCCTCTCGGATTACCATCACTATTGTGATGACTGCGATGAGGAGTTCAATCCTCCTCTGCTCTTAAAATCGTACGTCGCCGTTCAATTCCAGCCGCGGCTTTTGATGATGGCCACAAACAGCATTATGAGCAATCTGCTCGTCACCACCGTGATTATGAAGAAGGCGATCGCGAGAAGCGCGCTGAAGGGTGGGAAGACGAGCTAGCACGTCTACAAGAGCAAGAGGAGAACCGGGAGGATCCTGTAGCCCTCAAAAAAGTCGAGGAGCAGGCTCCTATGTCCCGGGTAGAGGTTGGCATTGTGATCTTGGTAGGCTCTTTGATCCCTCTTGTGTTGCTTAGTTGAACGCCGTCTTGTAGAATCTCAAGAAACGCCTACAACGCCAACCAACACCAAAAGCCACCGTAAAGCAAACATGCCCGGTGTGCTTGTGTCCGCCATCTAAGATGAGCGTGACGAAATGCGGGCACGTATTCTGTTCATCGTAAGTTACTCTTTTTACAGCATAGGAATATCAAGCTGACGTTCGTCGCAGATGCATCCGCCAGACTTTTGAAAAGAATCAAGGGTGCCCGTCATGCCGAAAGCCTGGTCATCTTAGCCAGCTGCGAAAGATCGATTTGCACATACATTAGTGCTATCGACGGACCCGGACGCTTTTCTTTATCTTCGTTTAACGGACATCTTCTATATATATATATATACCTCAGTGCAAATCCAATAAATTAAACAGCCAACTTCCCTCTGATGTGCGAACGGCTGTGCCAGTGGTTGTTCAGTTGCAGCGATGGTAGTATCGTTCCGCCCTGTGCTTCTCCGCCATCCCTTGTCGAGAACTTGGGTTCCCCACGTAGATTCGCTTGACCTTGTTTACTTGGGACATGGACTTGAGGACAAGAATCTTCCATTCGGCTTCCAAGTTTCTTCTGAGATAATATTGTCAATGTCCACCTGCGAGATATGACAGGCTCGTATCCAAGAAATCGTCACGCCGCAATGAACCTATTCAGATTCTTTTTGTACTTGAGCAACAGATGCCGGTGATTGACTTGTCTAGCCTTATATTCGACGACTCGTGGTAATTGTTCCGGTATTGGAAGACTCTTGAAGGAAATTGAATAAATATTCCACCTTGTCAGTAGGTTAAAATTCTGAAGAGGATTGAATATTAACGTATCTTCCAAAAGATTGGGCCCTCAATGGATGTGTATGTCGTTAATTCAGGACTGGACTTGGGAGATGGAAACGTGATGCAGCCGTCGAACCGTATCTCCCAGAGTACTCGGTTCTGCTTCCTTGAACCATAAATGGCTCTTCATTACACATAGGACCACTACCGTCCTCAAAAATTCCAAGACGTCGCACTGTGAGAATTTCGCTCTGGCCCTGCATCTTGTCTAGACATTTGCTTTAGGGACAACCGAGAAGGAAGTTGCGTGCCTATAAGTACCTGATCTCTACTTTGCTTTTGCATAACAACGGTCCTGGTCTAAAGGTCAAATCCCTGAACTCGGAGCCGACATCCAATTCTTGGTCTCAAGGTTGCCACCTGGAATCGCACTTTCCCAAATGGGCGCGTCTGAATAAATATAAGATTAATATAATATATACCAATATGCATTCTTGCACGAAAACAACAAAACCACGTCAAAAAAGCTGTTCGCTTCTGGCACGAAGTACACCCCATACAAGCACGACCTTGACACGATCATATAAATTATATAAATTTTCAAAAACGGGAATTCCACATAATTACGAGAACTGCTGTAACAAGTAGGTAGTAGTATCAAGACGGGTCTATAAACTATATGCATATATAAGTAATGATGCAGCTCCAGAGCAAAGCAACATAAATAACATTCCAAAATCTATGACACATTAGTAACGGAAACCTCTTCCACCGGTTCAGAGCTATTGTCCTTCTCCTTCCCTACATTTCTACCTTTTGGTGTGAGCTCATGGGGAAGCTTTACCGCTCGGTCAATTGCCACAGGCAGACCACGGTGTCGTCCGCGTACCCTAATGGCACAAGATGTCAGCGATTTACATCCAATATCCGAACTAGAGATACCCACATCACCACGATGATGACAAGCCTCGATAGCGGTCTCATTGCACCAACGAATGACATGTTATCCTGTATCCAACGTCAACACCGCATCACAATCGAAACTGACGACAAAAATATACCAAAGGGAATCCAAGACTCAACCCGATCCCGCTGAATGCGGCGACAACCTCGAAAAGTACTCGGAACAAATCGAACCATTTCTTATTGTCGTCCGTGATGTTGTCTCGCTCGATAATGGCGATAAGAAGGACACCCCAGACCATCCACCAGATATCTATGCATACCGTTGAGATATCCTTCTTCAGCATTAGATCCAGGCATAGACGCACCATCATACATTTGTCTGCGCAGGTGCCACCGTAGGTACCTCGCCACACGCTGGCGAGGCTCCCTGTCCTTCCGATCTCCCAGCTCCTTGTCCTTTTCTTCGAATTCTTCTTCGTACAAAGGCGGGGATTCGAATACGCCAAGCGATCCTTCTTCATACCTGATGTCGTGAAATAAGAAGTGCACTCCTTAAGCTATACTAAAACTTACGTATTGGTGGACCGAATACTCATTGCGACCTAACAGGGAAAAATCTCAGAATCTATAGCATCAAAACCGGACGGGAATCGTACAGGATATACCTAAAACGCAGTCAGGTAAGCAGAACAGGTACGAGATGGAAAAACATACCGCGATGTACATCATTACCATATACATGAACCTACAAAACCGTTCATTTCAAAATATGATCGGGTACTTCATTACAGCCAAAACGTACTGGAGGGCAGGAGCAACTGAAGCCAAAGGGACGATCGAAAATCCGGATGCACGCGTAGCCAGTCCCTGGAACAAGCCCGATACGATCTTATCCTCCGTCGGCATAGCTTCATAAAACTCCAATCCGGTGTCTGAATGGACAATCAGAACGATTGAACGGCAATATGGGACAGCCCGATCGTACTCAACACCCCGAATGCGATCCATTCCACGAAACTATTATGAAAGCAGTGTCAGAAAATGGAGCCTACGTCTGACGAAGAGAAGCGATTAACCTCATCAGAAGTAGAACGACCACCAAATACCAAGTTTGATGACTAGGGAACCTAAGCAGTGGAAATATCAGGACGACCGTTTCTGCTCAAGTACCAAGAAGCGCGTTCATACAGATAGATAAAGCACCTGTCGCCAAAGTCAGTTATGCATAACCATACCTCGAAAGACCGACTTTACCGTCGAGGATGATGAAGAAGGAAGTCCAATGCTTTGTCCAGATCTGACCCTGGTTCGGTAAATTTGGAACATATCCATCTGGAAAACCATTTTTTTACTGTCAGTGAATATAGGAATGTTTGAATACCTGCATTATGAGTCGCATACTAGTACAGCGTATGTAAGGAATCGCCAACAAGTCATTATTTCTAATGTCAGGACTTACAATATAGGCTGAAGACAAAGCTAGGAGTCAGTACATAATTAACAATGAAGGTATGCGAACGCACCAAGGCATGATTGCCTGCTATGATGAGAAGTATCAAAGAAACTAGATATTTCCTTTTCTCATAAGAGCAATTAATTGCATTAAAGTAGAAAACTCACAGACGATGAGATAGGCGGTCTGGAAAGGAAACATCCCTCTGAAACATACAGTTAGCACTCAATGTATGTTTATCTACGGTCTAACTCACAGGTCAACCAAGGATAGACCGCCCCCGGTGTAGGCCGCCATAACCTGGAAGAGCGAAAACCTAGAAAGATTCTCATCAACATCGAATGTAATTTACGCACAGTTCTATACCATGGCTTCTTGACGAGACGGGGCTGCGCCTCAAACACACTGTCATAGCTCGAAGAAGTCGATAACCAGGGTGCAAACATGAGATAAGTGATAATCTGGGTGGTCACAAAATACTAGGTAAAAGTTAAAAAAAGCTCCTTTGATGTGGGACGATGCGCGCACCATGGGCACAAGATAACTGAGAACCCTCAACGCCCGATATTCAGCGCCTCCAATTATTTTCAACTGCTCGTCCGTCAACGTCTCGGTGTAAAAGTCTGAATTCCGCCCCATGTCTAGGTCGAAGTTAAGCCACTTGGTTCTCCTGGCCTCCAAAGTAGACGTGCATGGCTCGGTCATCCCGCGTTGGAACCTTTTGTATGCGCCTGGAGCCAATCGCTTGAACAGTCTCTTGAAGATCTGTATTGGTCCGGGGACGTCATTTTCAGGCGTATTTCCGGATGTATCCCGGTTGGGTAACACTGTCATACATCTTGCCATGAGCGGGATATCAGTGCGGGCAACACTCATCCTTCTCTGGTGCATAGATGGCGTCATTGAAGTCGCGAGGTCAAAGTCTACGCTGCGTCGAGTCAAACCGTGACTCTGGACGGGCGAAAGGTGGAGGGTAGCTGTGCCGGAGGATGAAGTGAAGGTATGAATGTCGGACAACACGTTATCACCATGGCCCTCCTCGCTTCTTCGTCCATTTACGGATGTTGACGCTGTCTCGCCAGAGTTGACTGCTGGGGACATGGTTGCCGTCGGCGTAGGCTGATGGAAATTGAGCTGCGGGGCGTGATCGCCGTTTATCGGGATAATATCGTGAGGCCTAAAGGCGTTGATAGGAGAAGAAATGGATGCAAGGAAAGCATTGCGTGTTGGAAGGATCTTTGACCGGTCGGGGTGATTTTCACAGTGTGTTCGGAAATAGCGTCTGCAACGGTGTCAGGTAAATAGTACGGCGGAAGAGCGCACTCACTTCCGCACCAGCACCATGATCCACGATACCGTTGACATATCGCCCTATATCCATCAGAATGTCACTGCTACGCGCTGACGTACTCACTCACTACCATCATCAGCAAGTAGAGCACGACCTGCTGCGACACGGTTAGCGTCGACAAGTTCACCGTCGACAGACCAGTCAATGTCATTGCGGAGTAGCATAGAAAGAGCGAATCCAGGTAGCTGATATGGAACCTGCCATTGCAAGCGTAGAAAATTCCTGAGAATATGAGCGGTATGAAGACGAAGGCTACCATATGAATGCGGTAGAAGGTCAACTCGATGCTTCGGATGGACGCAACGAGGTTCTTCAGCTTGAAAGACTCTTTCATTCTCGTCCGAGTCCCATCCATGTTGATGTAGTTGAAATTACTGCCGCCGTCGGTACTTAGTTAAGTGCTACATCTTGCTCGTCAAAACAACATTCTGAGACCAAGAAGTGCTAAATACTGACCCTGGGGTTCCAATTCTCTGGTAAAGCGGGTATGTGAGTTGAAGGTGGCGGAATAAGCTTCCTCTGGAGGCGGGCTCTGCAGGTCAGAAAGAAGTCAGAAAGAGAGATGCATGGACTACTCGTGTTGGTGTGTCGACGGCAGAAACGTGGAAAGAAAGTCGAATACACAAAAAGCGAACAGCAGAATTAGCGCCTTGTTGCATCATCTGCGTACAGCGTATCCTCGTGTCGCAGCACGGACCAACTGAACTCATTGTCGACCACAGTCCACAGTATACAGACCAACTCGGGTGCGTCTGAATCTACCTGCGTATCCCATCAACCATCCAAATACTATCGGAGTAGAGAGATGGGCTTGCTGCTCGACGTTCTTTGAGTCATAATGGTAGTGTGTCGCAGATCCGTGCTGGGCCTGTAAGTCATAGCATAGCTGAGCGCCATCCAGCGGCGGAAATCGCTTGAAAGTCGAAAACCCAGATTCCAGTGGTATGCAGAAGAGGCAAAACTGTTCCCAATGCCGTAGCATATAACCAAATAGCCTGCCAGTTCATATTAGCTTGCTGGTAACAACGGTGCGTGAAGGGGAGAGGACAAGGAGAGGAAAGAGGCGCGAAGGACAATTCATCCTTTTATACTCGGAAGTCCATTCACATGACACTGACAGTGGATCGGCATTGCGGCGTGCGGGCGATACGTCATTGATTCGTCGCGTTTCGACAAGCTCGACTTCCGCCAAAGCCGACGGTGGCTGTGCGATTCGTGAGTGGTGCGGGGTCACGCTGGTGACAAACACTTTTCAACAGACCACTACTCGCCTTCCATCACATCTGTTTTTTTTTGGCGACCATTTTCGTCACTGTTCTCCCAGTCAGTTATGCGACCAGAGGCTCAGACGACGGCCATCTTTCTTCGCTTCCCAACGATAGCCGAGACCGTGAACAGTACGACACGCTTCTAATAATGCCAGGACATGCTAAGCGACTTAAATAGGGTTATTCTTCAGTTTTAAAATGCTACAAACGATGCCAGTAGGCATAGGCTGAACGTAACCTAGAGGTTAATGGATTTTCAGTCTGACGGAAGCTCGGTATGCCTTCTGTTGGCGAAAGGACAACTTAGCGGTGGTTAAAAGATAAGAACTTGTCTATTATGCTTTGAGAGCTTTGCTTATATACTCTACAGTAAATATTTCTAGAATATTCTACAATTTACTCCAATCCATTGTCGTTGACAAATGCTGACTGAGCACTGGCTCAGTCGCACGTTCGAGTACATTCATGTACTCGCGAGTCAATTCACAACACCTTCTGCTCAAGGAAACGTATTTTGTGCTGGATTTTATCTGGAGTGCTATCACTCCTGTCATGCCTAAGTTTCCGCACAAGGGAAACATACAGTGGCACTGAAAACGTTTCCATATACAGTTTCCTTCAAGTCAAAAACGGGATTCTCCCTGCCAAACACTGCTTTCCGGCAGCCGGAAATCTATCTGAGGAAAATTTGTCAGCTCGACAAACCATTTCCGTCTGATTGCCTTCATGCGGAAATAATTGGGGGACAGTAGTGTATTTCTTGGCCAAGTCGACATTGACAGAGCGCAAAACTGATCAATTATGGTCACTTTCCATGACGCTCCCAACAATAACACTTTTCTTAGTCCTCGCATCTTCTGGTGCTCGGCATGTTTCACTTCCTCGCCTCGCTATAGGATAAGATGAAAGAATAAGGATACATTGAGATTATACTATGCTTGCTCTGTAGGGTTGGTTTCGGTCGTGTTTCCAAGTTTAATCATCTCATTGCTTGTCCCAGCTTCAGAAAATGTTTTCGCACCAAGTTCGTTGTCATCAGTGCACTGCATTGATGCTACCAGAAGTCCGTTATTGTTGTGATTGTTGTGTAAGTGCTGTATCGCGTTCTGGGACTCTGCTTAATTCAAGAAGCATTATATCAGATCATAGTGGAGCTCTCGCCATTTTCTACTGGCATCCTGGATTTGCGGGTGTGTATCATGCATTCTGCAGGACCCTGCTACCAGATCTCATAGTATGATCATAGTATTGCCAGCTCTTGAATTTCTAAAAGACATTACTTCTACCGCTCGACAAGATTTGTAGGAAGGTAAAATGATGCAGTTCATAGTACTAGTGCCCGGACTCACGCGCAGCAGGACTCAGGCTGAGCTGATAAGAGTAACTTCTACCATCCGAGGATACAACGGACAATGGAAGATGTTTGTAATCTGACTTCCAACGAATCGTCGAGCTTCAACATTGCTTCGGTTTCACATACCGGCGAGACTAACTGTGAAACCACTGAAGGGGTAAGGTAAGGTACTCCTATTATCATGGTCGTTGTTGCTGTTGATCTTTCCTTATTCGAAGGAGGTCACGTCTGCTGCTGCGGCGCCAAGCTCACTCGTATGCTAGATTCAGACTTGCGCAGACGTCTGGTACAGTCATGGACCAACAGTCGTCCACGGGTCAATACAGGCGTCTACGAGTTGTCTCACTGCTCCCGGAGGCAATCTCTCCGGTGTGAGACACCAACTACCCCTTTCATCGTATAAAATGCCCCCGCGGAACTTGATTTCCCTCCATCACAAACATGAACACCAACCACAACCAACTGTGCTCTACAAACACCACCAGCACGTGCGAAGCTTCGTCTTCCACAATCACTCTTCGTCCTGAAGAGGAATTCAATCCGCAATACTGCACTCGATGCGACCAGACACTGTGGTCGATCGAGCTTATGCGGAATCATCTCGACTTTTCTGGTCGACACCCGTATTGTCGTACCTGCAAGCGGGGATTCTTGAACAACAACTCCTACAAGACGGTGAGCCTCTTTTTGTTGTTGTTGTCGTGCGTCGAGTCGTCTGATTGCTTCCCTCCCAGCACCTGATCCTTTCGGATTACCATCATTATTGTGATGACTGCGATAAGGAGTTCCAGTCTTCCTCTGCTCTTAAAATTGTAGGTCCTCGTTCAATTCCAGCCGCAGCTTTTGCTGATGACTATGAACAGCATTATGAGCAATCTGCTCGTCACCATCGTGATTATGAAGAAGGCGATCGCGAGAAGCACTCCGAAGGGTGGGAAGATGAGCTGGCTCGTCAGCAAGAGCGAGAGGAGAACCGGGAGAATCCTGTAGCCCTCGAAAAAGCCGAGGAACAGGCTCCTATGACCCGGGTAGAGGTTGGCATTGCGATCTTGGTATGCTCACCCTTTCCTTATGTCGTCCTCCCTTCTGATATTTAACCTATAGAATCTCAAGAAGCGCCTGCAGCGCCAACCTATACCGAAAGCCACTGTGAAGCAAACATGCCCGGTGTGCTTGTGTCCGTCATCGAAGATGAGCGTGACGAAATGTGGGCACGTATTCTGTTCATCGTGAGTCTTTGTCCTACATTGCAGCACAAGGGCGTTCGACTGACAGTCATCACAGTTGCATCCGTCAGACCTTTGAAAAGAGTCAGGGATGCCCCTCGTGCCGAAAGTCTGGTCATCTTGGCCAACTGCGAAAGATCGATTTGCATATACATTAGTGCTATCGATGGACGCTTTTCTTTATCTTCATATAACGGATATCTCATACCTATATATATGTACCTCAATGCGAATCGAATGGATTTAACAGTCAAATTCTCTCCGATGTGTAAACAGCTTCCTCCCCAGCGACTATTCACTGCGATACTGTCGCTATTTTTCGGTAATGTCGTTCCTTTCAGTCTTTCTCATTCATGTCTTGTCGAAAGGGTTTGATCTGCGTGGTGATTCGTTTTACTTGCCGTCTATTCTCAAGCCATACTTCGCGGACAGGGTGTTTCACTCCGCATACTGGTTTCTTCTGAGATTACCAAGAGTTATGAGCCACCAATATCTGTTGTGTTACCGGGTCTAAATCGTAGTGGCTATAGTCTCAGCACAACGCCGAATCCTCTTCTTCGACTTCATCATGAGCTTGGGAAGCTCTTCATGTCAGACTTTTGTCTTAGGACTAAGGAGATTTGGCCGGCTATTATTTATAAAGGCTTAATTACTGAGTGAATCTATTCTGTTGATCTGTACAGCAACAGGTGCCGATGATAGACCTGGGTTTGACGGGTTCTAGTCGCTGGTCTCGATATCGGAACTGTTTCGAGAGTTGAGAAATATGAACCCCTCATGGAAAGCGAGCTATAATGCTGTAACCGGTTTCTTTATTAGACTACGGTCCGAGAAATTGAGTCTCCAGTGGAGGCACATTTGTATGTCGCCGATCGGGTAGACTCTGTGGATAGGAACCCAGTGCAGCCGTCGAACTGTTATCTCCGAGCGTTCGTTCTGCTTCTTGTGGTCATAATCGCTTCAGACGACTTTCCATTGTACTTAGAACCGATAACGTCTTCAAAAAGGACAAAGTAACATTAGGAATCTCCCTCTGGCCCCGTTTCATGTCTGGACCCTTGCTTTAAGGACAATAAAAAAGGATACTGCATCCATTGGCCCTGCCTCGGAAATCTACTTTGCATTCGCATAACAACGCCTCCGGTCTAAAGTTTAAATCCCCCTAACCTGGAACCGACATCCAATCCTTGGTTCCAAGACTTCCGCTCCGGGAACAACAATCTCCCAAAGGAACGCGTCCTCCCACAAATGGATCCTTGCATCACGTGTACGTACACCTCCTCAAATAGCTAGATTTTGGCTGGCTCTTTCCTTCTCATCTACCGCATCGTTCTTGGATCCCCTTCTCATTCCCTACAGCGATTTCTTCCATTAATCCATTCTGAGTCAGCTATGGTTTGTGAAAGATCAATTAACTATTCCCAACGCTCGGTGGGGGGCACGACGTCCCTGCACCTCAGTATTCATCCTGGACTCAACGGATTGGCGTTGCTGGCTGCAACGGCATGCAGAATGCCTCGCGTATCAAAGAGACCCTTCAATGAAATTGTTAAACCCCCTGCCTCGCCTCTGCCACTCACAGCATGGTACAAGAAGGGTCCGGACCCGGTGGGGGCCTCTTCGCCGTAAGTCGGTGCTTCCAGCGCGGGAGTATCTGGTTAAGCATATTTCTAGGATGTGCTCGTCAAAGAGATTGAAAGAGAATCATGGCGGATGGAGCATGCCTACTACTAGGTGATACTAGGATACTTTGCTCCGTGACCCTGAGATGTGTCTAACTTGGGTTCTTAGCGGTTCCGTCAGCTCGGACAACACGGACGAGGAAGATGCTTCCGACTGTGAGAAGTACGTGTGTGCGCCTTTGGTTCTCCAGTCCCGGGTCCCTATACCGGTTGAAAGACCGGCGGTCACGATTAAGTAAGGTCCTTCATCCTTCGTCCATGCCTTGGTTTAATGATAAACTTGGAAGAATGAATAGAAAAATCCTACCTCTACCCAAGAGAGCCAAGCTTCCCGCGTCTGTCGATCCAAGACAGATGTTTCTGAAGTCTTTGATCCAGCCGGCGCAGCTCCCAGGGGAAAAGGCTCACAAGACAGATGAGGAGCGTCTGTATTTCCTTCAGCAGGACCCTTGCGTCGACGTACAATCAATTAGCAGGCAGCTGGTTGTCTGTAACAAGTGTAGGAAGCCCGTACTGTTGGACCGTCGCAGGAATGCGGGATACTATGCCAGCGCGTGGGTGAAGCATAAGAAAACATGTTTGGAGGTTTATAGAGCTTGGCTCATAGAGCATGGATATGATGACCCGGCTTGGATACGGGAAGCGGAAAGACGTAGGGATGCGAAGTTGAAGAAGCAGGTGTAGGATTATTTAAGCTGTTCGAATCTGTAAGGCTATAAAATTGTATTCTTCATAGCTGCACATACGGTGTCGTGTGACTTTATGGATTTCAGTTTCATCTTCGTACTCCGTATGAATAAGTGAACTAGGGCCTACTAGTTCGATAAGAAATCTTCGTCAAGCGTCTCTTGTCTCGACTGGACGGGCCGGATAACAACGGTACCTGGGTGGCTGGGTGGCTATCAGGTATGCCGGACTTTTCTTCATTGAGGATGGTCAAAAAAGCCTCCGTGACCAATATCTGGGCGTGATTCCTGTCGGTCAACGATCAATTACTGGTTGAATAATATTTCATGACCTTCGCGTGGGCATGCAGGGTGGGAATCGGGACTGAGCGGGAGGAATGGATGGCGAAAGTAGAATTATAGGCCGTCACACATCCCAGAGAAACCAGGCAGTCAAAGCAGGAGAAAGAGACACAAGCGAATGACTAAGTCGTAACACTAGCAGTAAATGCTGAGGAAGGGAAGAAAGAAACGGTGAAGGATGTTCAAAAATTTGTTTCTTTTTATAGGGCAGGGACGTACGTCATTTACTCATCACATTTCGATGACGCGCCGTTCAGCGTCATTGTCACGTCAACAAGCGACTTGTCCTGCTGAAAGCCGACGGTGGCTGTGCGGTTCGCGAAAGGCGTCGATGCAGGCCGATGACAAACACCGACAATCTTTTCAACCAACAACCATCAAGAGGAATCCTTCGCCGTGCTGAATTATTTCTCTTTCTCCATCCATGACCATGGCTGGCTGGCTCGTCTCAGATAACAGCCTCATCCTCTTTGCACTGCTGGCAGTCTCGAGCTGGAGCCAGGCTTTTCAGGATGTGGAAGGAATACGTAACTGGCGGACAAGTTAGATAGCCACGCAAGATTCTCTTCTATATCAATGGCTGGACCTGGAGGATGAAGGATACAATGCCCTCTGAAGGTACGATCTGCTGTCTAGTATGCTGGATGATACTCTAACAAATCTTATCAAGACCAATGTTCTCTATCGCGCTACGGATGGAGGAAGTTGATCAAATCAGATCTCGTGGAGGGATGCAATCCGAGGCTGAAGCTGAATGGTGATACGTTTATCATCTAAAGATATTCTCCTTACTGAACTTGCCACTCTGTCAAGGCCAGATATTGCTTCTCAAAAGCAGAACAGATCGCACACTACGCCCAGTCCACGTACAAGCCTTCGACAACACTCTGACTGTTAATGCACGCCGCGCCTAGGCTCGCCGGCTACTTGTTGCATTCACCATTGTACCGCTATCTAGTGTGGGTATGTACATTTCCGCCGATTGTGTACGTGAACGACTCCTCATGCAGTAGGTACAGAGAACATGAGAAGCTTCAAATCGTTCTTTGATGGCAGCTGAAATCCTGTCAGCTGCCGTCTCCACCCCCAACAGAAAACTTTCTACGAAATCGACTCTAATGCAGGGTATGCCTATTAACCTTTCTGTTGGTAACGCTGGGCTTATTTACGAAGGTTGACGGGCTGTTCTGTGCTTCTTTCAACCGTACTGGTCGCAGTTCTATTGAAATACGCAAAGCAGCGTTTGCTTTCCATCTGATAAACGCATGCAGGGAAAATAAGTTTCCCTACAGTCGGGGGAAGGGGTTATAACGTGATTAGTGCGTTTGTTCTATAGCCATGACTATGTTATTCTGAAGGTGTTTGAAGCTGAGTATTGCCCCCGCATGGAACGTGTCAAAGTCGCAGTAAATGATGCTGGGGCTCAAGGTTACCCGTACGCAGGCTGTGTATTATTAGTGGAGGTATGTGGTGAACCATTGTCTGCATACTTGGGTACTTATATTGCGAAGGTATAGGCACACCCTTGGAAGCATTTCATAAATGTTCGTGCTTTATACTTTACGCTTCCAGCTGAGCAGGGTAAAACTCGCATAAGCATACGACGAGTAGGTACAGCGCGTCTTTTATCTAAGGTGTTCAGTTGGATTCACGTACGTTTGAGCTAGTTGTTGGAGGGCTGCGGCACGTCTTGAACGCAACGAAAACCAGCTCGTCAACTTCTTCCTTTCTTTCGCCAACGCTGGCCAATGTCGAGGCCTCGCTTCTGCTCCAAGTACCGGTGAAACCTGGCGTGAAACTACCGGAGGGGGTAAGCTACTCCTATTGATCTACTTGGTGGCGTTAATAATGTAGCGTGGCTTTCGCAGGAAGTTCGGTCGGAGATATAGCAGTTAGATTAATGACTAAACTGCGAATCCATATGAGAACGCGAAAAGTTCACAAGGACCAACAATCGTCCATGGACCAACACAGGCGTCTACGAAGTGTCTCACTACTCCCGGAGGCATTCTCGCCGGTGTGAGACACCAGCTGCCCCTTTCATCGTATAAAATGCCCCCGCGGAACCTCATTTCCTCCAATACAAACATGAACACCAACCACAACCAACTGCGCTCTACAAACACCTACCAGCACGTGCGAAGCTTCGTCTTCCACTATCACTCTTCGTCCTGAAGAGGAATTCAATCCGCAATATTGCACCCGATGCGACCAGACACTATGGTCGATCGAGCTTATGCGGAATCATCTGGACTTTTCTGGTCGACACCCGTATTGCGGTATGTGCAAGCGGGGATTTTTGAATAACAACTCCTACAAGACGGTGAGCCCCTTTTTTGTTGTCGTGCGTCGAGTCGTCTGATTGCTTCCCTCCCAGCACCTGATCCTTTCGGATTACCATCACTATTGTGATGACTGCGATAAGGAGTTCCAATCCTCCTCTGCTCTTAAAATCGTACGTTCTTGTTCAATTCTGACCCCGACTTTTGCTGACGACAATAAACAGCATTATGAGCAATCTGCTCGTCACCACCATGATTATGAAGAAGGCGATCGCGAGAAGCGCGCTGAAGGATGGGAAGATGAGCTGGCTCGCCAGCAAGAGCAAGAGGAGAACCGGGAGGATCCCGTAGCCTTCGAAAAAGTCGAGGAGCAGGCTCCTATGTCCCGGGTAGAGGTTGGCATTGCGATTTTGGTACGCTCTTATCGTACTTTGCAACTCTTTCTGACGTCTTATTTGTAGAATCTCAAGAAGCGTCTGCAACGCCAGCCACTACCGAAAGCCACCGTTAAGCAAACATGTCCGGTGTGCTTGTGTCCGTCATCGAAGATGAGCGTGACAAAGTGTGGGCACGTATTCTGTTCATCGTGAGTCTTTGTCCTACATTGCAGCACAAGGGCGTTTGGCTGACGATTACCATAGATGCATCCGTCAGACCTTTGAAAAGAGCCAGGGATGCCCATCGTGCCGAAAGCCTGGTCATCTTAGCCAGCTGCGAAAGATCGATTTGCATGTACATTAGTGCTTTCGACGGACGCTTATCATTTACTTGTTTCTTTCTCATGGACATCTCATTATACCAATATACCTCAATGCGAATTCAATAAAATACAAACAGTTCTCTGTAAGTTGTTTTGTTGAAGGCTTTTCAAGTATGTCGAGCATCAGCACTGTTTTCAAATAATGTCGGTCTGTTAACCAAGCTATCAGCTTTCTACCAGACGCCAGTCGTCTTCATTGCAGGCCCTTGTCCTTGGCGTCAACAGCTTCTGCTCTGCACATGCATATAGAATGATCTCCAGGGACCGCCGGAATGCCCAAACTTGAATACAGAGTAGGAAGCCAAAGCGTTAGCTGGGCAAATGCAAACCAATATTGAAGGAACATGGGGTTACCTCAGCCGAGATGAATTGCGCCTGGTCTCTATATGTCCGCTGCTTGCAAGAGGGCGGAGAGGGCGGGAGCAGATAAACGAGCGAAGGCGTTACATTTCTGTCAAGGGTTGGAAACAGCTCAGGAGATTGAAACCGGAAGCAGGTAAGGAATCAAGTGATTGCTAGTCAAGTAGAGGCGACCTCGAGAGAACATCGATTGCAGCATCTCGCCACTTACGCGCTTGCACACAGTAGAAGTCTGGTAGAGTCTTGTGTATGGGCAAGAGCCTTCCGTTGATGACAGCTACGATTCAATCCCTGGAAGACAAAAACGAGTCGGATGTCGAAGCCTCAGGAGATTCAATACTCCCGGCCTGCAGGAGGTAGGCCATCGGATCCCTGGACTATCGCCGTTCAGATCGAATCTCGTCTCGTCGATACTTCCAATCGATCTGAAGCGTGGAAGCGTAGTTCGAGGAGCTGAGCCCAGATATCTTGCGACAGATGTGCGCAATTTCTCTCATTGATCATCTGTAAGAGATCTCCATGGATATATAGGACTGATACCACCGATCTAGAAAAAATGCTGAATCTGTTTGTCACTGGTGGGGAAGATGTATGGACACATATACCTCATGAACATCCACGCTCCGCCGACTGACCGTTCTTATCGTGATCATAGAAGAAAATTTCCTGGATGTGATCGCTTTTGTGCTCCTTCAAGCCACAGGAGGCAAGAGATGACTTCGGCGAAACGAAGTAACTACGCGCGTGTCAAAATTCGCGTCACGAGTTGAAACATCTGTTATGAAATCGATGTATCACACTACATGATTTGAAACTGTTTTATGAACACGAGTACAGTGTCATAATCGGTGAAACTCTGCTTTACACGGCTTGAGTGAATGGAGTATCACCCTTCAAGTAGACTTCTATGCTCCTTTCAGGTGCCCAGATTATGGATGAGACTGAGACGTCAGCTTTGGTAGTGTTCGTTGGGTGCGTAATCATCGCTCACAGCGTTTGAGCCTTCAATTCGGCCGGTAGTACTGAGGATTGCGCGTCAGTGAGAACAAGGACACTGGTGTAAGATGACACGTTGAGGAAGCAGATACCATAAATTCCGTATATTATTGGAGAATAAGAACGTACTGAAATTTTGCATTGTTTGTGTTTTGTCAACGTTGCAGTCGTACCACTGACTTCCCTCAATGAAATGATAGGAACGCAGCTCGCGTGACGCGACGCGACGCAGTGTGGCGTGAAGATCCGATTAGAGAAAGGAGTGGCTTCCAGTAGTGTATCTCTAGAAAATTCCGCATAATTTGCACTTAATTGTGAATTAGAGATCTGAACACCTTGTAATGGGCAAAGCTTAATCTTTATGCGAGCAGCGGTGGTCGTTGGATTTGGAGTGAGTACCGGTCCGAACTTTACTGAGGCCTGACAAGTCCGCACTGAAACCCGGGCCGGAAATCGAAGCTCTTCTTCTACTTGTTCCACCACCGTGGCGTACCAGAGCATAGTAACTATCTCGGTGCTGGCAGCATCATACATAGGATCTGTTATTGCAGAAATGACGTTTTTTCACAACGCAACCGTCAGACGGCGTCAAGACTCAGAGCGACCATCTGCTGACTGGGAAGGGTGCTCGTCAGGTAGGAATGATGAGACTAGAATCGAAGAGCAGCCGTACAGAGAAGCTTGTACTGCACCCATTGGAGCGCTTTCAACAAGCTTTCTTTAGGTATCGTCGATTTCTCGTTTCAGAACCATCGGATTCGTCCCTAATGATAACATCAGTCCCAAGCTTGGTTGTTTCATCTCCGGCGTCCTTTAAGGGCGATGTCGGATGGTGATTTTCGCCAGTAATCTGTGTGAATAGCCTTTGATTACTGACAGAGCTATCCCATCTTTCGGATATCTCCGCAACATGTCGAGAACGTCATTTCGCTGTAACGCACAAACTGCGCCGGGGCGTTGATCTCTTCTCAGATTTAGGCGTCATGGAACGTATGATGGTCGACGAGCTTCGGTGCCATGCTACCCCAAGTGATCCGCGTCTGGGGTAGCCGAATTTGTATTCGATGCTAGCGAGTTGCTAATGTTGGTCTCACCGTACACCTCTTTTCCGATATATGATGTTGTAGCTCGTCGCTCCCTGTATTTGGAGAGGCAAGTTATTGGTTTCTGCCGCACCAGATCGCTTGATTTACAACTGCTGGCCGATCTATTGGCGTTCTGGTGATTTCCTTCGGGAAACAGCTTGTGCTTTCTAACTACATCTACCCTTGCCATGCGGACCTACTACTTCCTTGACACGGGCGACCCAAGGAAGCTGGAGTCCCATACGCTCACTCGTTTCCCAGAAATCCTCCGAAGTGCTGGGGCCATCGTCTCGTTCCTCCAAGACATTCTCCTATCGATCTTCCAATTCCTGAAACTCCCGGTAACGTTTCTCGGAACTGCTACCCTGGTTATATTATCACATTGGCCGTTACTCGGTCTGAATGTACGATCCTTGACTTGCTGCCGGTATATTACATCCAAGCAGGAAGAGAAATCAAAGCGCTGGATGCGGTATCTTGTCCAGATGCGTCATACGCCACGAACACTCGCTCATACTCCGCTGTTAGATAAGGGTTGGACAATGGGCCAAGATGGTATGGAGATACAAGGCGTTCTCAGCCAGGGTCGTCGATGTTTCCGAGAAGAACGGTTCTTCCTTCGGCTACAATGGCTCGCGGTGCGTTCACGCGTGGAAGGAGGGTAGTTTATGCCGCAAGTAATACCTCGAAGATCGAGGAGCGCTAGCCGCTGGAAGTCCTAGGCCTTGTCAGCGGTACATTCTCCGTTCCTTTGTGAGTACCTACCCGGGCCGTACTACTCTCTTCCCGCTTGGTATGAATAGTATCATTCGACGGTCTCAAACGTGACGTGGTATTCATTCAGACGAGTATACACATTAAAAAGGCAAGTAGTCTATTCAGAAAACGTAAAGGACATAAAATTGGGGATAATTTTGAAACATCAGCGGTGTGGGGGTAGAAGAAGGGAGGAGAAGTCGAGCAGCCTTCCAGAATCAAGCGACTTGGGACATGGGCGCATCCCTAGCCTTAGCAAGAGGTTGGATATTCTCCCTTGGTCTGCTCAATGTCAGGAAGGACACGATCGCCGAAATGAGCGTGAACAAGAACGCGAACCAGGGGATAATTCCGAACCAGAGAACTGGCGAAATTATGAGCTCAACGACACAATGACGTTGACATGGAAGACTTACTGAAGTGAATGTGCCTTGTAAAGAGGGTTGACTCCGAGCGATGCTGCAGCTTCCGAGGAGTGTTGCTGTGGGGACCTCGACACCATCTTGCCATCCCCAGATCTCCTACGCCCTTTCGGCGCACTGCGTCAGAAACGGGGATCTGGCAAGCGAACAGTGCGACGGTGAGGAACGTGAAGACGTATGCCTGGATAGATATAGCCTTCCTTGCTTCGCTGGCAAAGGAGCCCACGAACAGACTGATGACGGCGGCGAGAGAGAACAGGGCCTGTGATGACACAGAAAACTTCCGATGCTATGGCAGGGGTGCACGACAGTCTACGTGCCCCATATTAGAATTGCGTAGTTGATAACGACATATTGAACGTACTGTTCGGTGAACGAGTCTCAGAGTGATTCCCAAGAGGAGCGACAGGATCTCCGGAGGAACGACTTGAGCCGGTTCTGCTTCACTACCGTATTGAGACCGATAGAAAGGCTGATAGCTCCCCAGGCGAAATGCCATGGTGTACGCTCCCAGACGTGTAAGGAAGAGCGGTAGCTGGTGCCATTTCGATACGGAGGTAGGAAGTCGATGAATTGGTGGGGATTCAACAGCTTTTATATTGCAGGACGACCCATGGGGAGCGGGGAAAAAGTTCTGGACAACATAGACGAGGAGTCGAGAATGCGGGGGCGAGTGAAGGATAACCGGAGCCCAGCTGTAGACCGGGAAAGAGAGTCGTTCATTTATCCAAGAGTAAGGCAATTCGTCGAGTTTTTGGTTATATCAAGGATCCTCCTATGGGGAAATAGCAGATATGGTTTGCAGCTGCCTGAGATATTCGAAGTTGCTTCTTGTTCGTGTCCTGTCCTTGCCACCTCAAATATTTCGTTGCCCGCTGCCCTACGAAGTGATGTTAACAGTTACACCGGCGGCGGACCCAGGTGGAATGGTCTGGAACTGAAGAGTTATTCGAGAGAGCCCTACATATGTTTGTGGTCATCTCAAGTAACAATTCCTATGATATTCGAATAATTCCCGAGCATGATGATGAGTGAAAGAATAAGTCCTAGAGATTTGCCGGCCATGGTCGGCCTTAAGGTGCCGCAGCGGCTTTGTCTTGGCTTTGTCCATGTATGCAGTCGCTAGGAAAGATTGAATGATCACCCTTCATCATCTTTAACTTAACAGAGGTGATTGAAGTGTATTTGATAGCAAGCAAATCCTACAGGCAAGAATGGACCGCCCAGGGCGGCTCCTCGGACCAAAGCCGAAAAGCCGCGGCACGGCACGTCGGCAAATCTCTGCCGGGTGATCGGACTTGATCACAAATGGTATGAAGCACTTTGCTTGCTTTTGCAGTATCCGTAGCTCTTTATTCTACTCTTTTGAAAGTTGGAAGATCCAAAAGGTGAAAAGGGGCAGATCCAGGCTAAAAATAACCCCCTGTGGGACTCGAACCCACAACCTCCAGATAAGTCCACTAGTTGGAGTACCGCACAGGGCAGCACTTGGCGTAGAAGTCTGACGTCATAGCCATTAGACAAAGGGGGCATGCTTATGTAGGCTCATCCTGCCTTCAGGATCAAGCTTAAGGCAGGCTCCTATTCCCACCTATGAGGTTGTGCTGTCACAACTCCAAGGGGGCAGTTGCGCAGGCTTAAAGTTGCAAATTTGTGTCACTGTAGAATCGGATTGCGATGCTTTGAGGGTGGTAGCATCAATGGGGAAAGTTGAAGATAATGATACAGACGATGTTTTCCTGAGAAATCTTTGTATTCCACCAGCGCACCAGCGTTGTCAGTATTATGATCAATAAAAGGGAACCAGTCGCTTCCTTCCACCTAGAAAACCACAGGACAATACCGTGGCAGCTAATACAACACTAACCAGTCCCATCTGAATCTGTGAGGCACCAGTTGTCGCTAGCAAGGGTAACACCAAACTTGGAACAAGTTAGAACCATATTCTGAGGCGAAAACAAAGAGGGAGATGAGTCAATGATAGATTGTTCGGCGACACAAGTACTGACGAGCGATGACAGCTTTGCCGATGTCAGTAGAGATGTTTCCTTGGGCGACTACGCAGTCCACGCAGGATGTGATCGATTGATCCGTCTGATCGTTGCACATGCATGCACTCGTGGAACAGTTCTGGATGAAGTTGTTAGGGAAGGATATATTGGAAACGGGGCCGAAGGGAAGCGGCTCACGCTTAGATACTTGAGCACGTCTTGAGTGCAGTTCGCGGAACATGCCGAGGGGATTGAGGATTCTGGGAGGTCGGTGAGGTTCTTGGTCGCTTGACGAGCGACTAGGGAGAGATGTGGAGACGCCAGGTCGTAGAATTGGTGAGAGAGGACTAGATGGGTGGATAAGCAAAGGGTCCACGAGAGCAGGGATAACTACCTACCGCCTTTGAAAGCGAAGAGAAGGGCGAAAACGAGTGAAAATGCCAGCATGATGGAAAGGCGAAGACTTGAAAGAAATAGACCTCGCAGAGGCAAAGAAAGAAAGAGACAGTGGTGGTGGTGGTGGTAGACAAAGAACGTAGTGACGGTTGATACGGTGGTATTATAAACCGCTTGGTCCATCAGCATAAATATTAGCCATCAGCCGAGTCCCGACGTGCTAAAATTACATGTGCTTTACCATTGTAGGAAAAGCGCAGCACTGAAACGTTCTGATTGTCTCAAACGAATCGGCCAATACGAGAAGATCGTGAGAGCAGAGGATGCAAGTGAACAATGTATAGAGCGGATAATCGGGATCAGGAAGAGGCGACAGTCGTTAGAACCATGATAGCATCAGTGTTTAGAATTGAGATGTTATTGTGAGAAAATCACGGATTAAGTTGAGGGAAAGTGCTGTAGCCTTTGCCGACTGTCTGCACAGGCGTTGAACGTGAAGCCATTTAGTTACTGAGGCTGTATTTCGATGGCAACGTTCCCATCGACAGAAACCACTGGCAAGAAGCAAAACAGAGAAATTGTCAGTGTTGCGCAGCGGTAGAGCTCTATAGATGTTAAGATTTTTTTCCTTGAGCGATTTCGAGAACAAGTGCTTGCAAATCTGCTTCACCGGGTCATGGTCAAGACTCAAAAAGTGTAAAGAAAAAAAAAGAAAGTGGCGGTAACCCTAACCAGAATTGGAGTCACAAATGATCACGCTGACGACATCGGTCACGTCACGCTCCCATCATCCTTGACCTGAACCGCCATCCTCCCTTATAACGCGTCGAGGGTGACGACGAGCACGTTTTGAGACGACGACGATAACCACGACGGTCACAGGAAATTACAAAATACCCTTTTAAAAAACCTCAGCTCGAGTCAAGCTTCAATATGGCTGGAAAACCCAACAAACTTGCCTTCTTGTCTATGTCTGCGCCGGCATCCTATGTCGCTGGTCTAGGGCGAGGGTACGCTCCTGAATTGACTTCAAATGCATGATATCTCATTATTTCTCAGTGCTTCGGGATTTACAACACGGTCCGATATTGGTCCAGCACGGGAGGGACCCAGTGCTGAGGTTATTGCGTGCGCCCAGTTGTCTTTGCGCTTCGAGATGGTACTCATTACTTTCTAGTGAAGCCCAAGCCCGACGTGGCGAAGAGGCAGAGGTGGATCCCGACCAATTCCAGGATCCTGACAATGAATACGGTCTCTTTGCCGGTACCACATACGAAGCTGACGACGAAGAAGCTGACCGGATCTATGAAAAAGTGGACGAGGCTATGGACGCGAGGAGAAAAGCACGAAGGTACGGAATTCTACCTTTGTTAATATTTACCTCGTTCTGACTTGCTTTCAGAGAAGCACAGGAACAGCTCGAAATGGCGAAGCACCGCGCAGAGCGTCCAAAAATTCAAGCGCAATTTGCGGATCTGAAACGAGGACTGACGGCTGTGACTGATGCCGAGTGGGAGGGCATACCAGAAGTTGGCAACTTGACGCGCAAGAAACGGAAGACAGAGGGGAGGACCTACGTCGTTCCGGATAGTATCTTGGTGGGAGATAGAGAGAGAGGTGGTATAGGGAACGTGGTCCAAGATGGACAGGAAACTCCTGCGAATACGGGTACTCTAACGAACTTTGTGGAAATTGGTCAGGCGAGAGATAAGATATTATCACTGAAACTGGATCAGGTATGTCCATTTCTCTCCTCAGAAGAATACTGTCTCTTATGTTTTCTTACAGATATCTGGTACTGCCACCTCCCTCGGTGCATCTGGAACGTCCACTTCCATTGACCCTAAAGGCTACCTCACCTCTCTCGACAGCGTCCAAATAAAATCCTCAGCCGAAATCGGCGACATTAAGCGCGCGCGCATGCTCTTTGATTCGTTGGTAAAGTCAAATCCAAAACACGCTCCTGGTTGGATCGCTGCTGCGTGCTTAGAGGAACACGCTGGACGAATGGTCGCTGCGAGGAAGCTTATTCGTGAAGGGTGCGAACGATGTCCGGTCAGTGAGGATGTGTGGTTGGAAGCAGCCAGACTACATGTAAGCGAACGTTTATTTTTGGTGGCATAACTGATCGGCATTTCTAGAGCAATGACGATGCCAAGGTGATACTAGCTAATGCCGTGCAACATGTGGGTCAGAGCGTCAAGATTTGGCTCGCTGCGGCGGATTTAGAGGGAGATGTCAAAGCGAAGAAGAGGGTGCTGAGAAAAGGTAATTATTCTGTTGTGCTGATGAGTAGTTCTCACCGTACCTTGCCTAGCCCTTGAACATATCCCCAACTCCGTTCGATTATGGAAGGAAACTGTCAACTTGGAGACTTCGGCCACAGATGCGCGTACCTTACTCTCTCCGTGCCGTTGAAGTAATCCCGCTTTCGGTGGAGCTTTGGCTCGCCCTGGCTCGCATCGAGACACCTGACAAGGCAAAAGCGGTTCTGAATAAAGCACGTAAAGCGGTCCCGACCTCTCATGAGATATGGATCGCCGCTGGACGCTTGTTGGAGCAAGAGGCGGGTAAAAACGAGGATCCTGAGAAGAAGAAAAAAGAGATGGATACTGTGGACAAGACCATAGAGGCCGGTGTACGCGAGTTGCGGCGGCATCAGGTGCTGCTTACGCGAGAGCAGTGGCTGAAAGAGGCCGAACGATGCGAGAGCGAGGGCTCAGTGAGAACATGCGAGGCGATTGTAAAGGCTACGGTTGGCATGGAGCTCGAAGATGAGGACCGTTTGGATACGTGGATGGGTGATGCCGAGTCTGCTGAAGGACGGGGAATGGTTGCGACTGCTCGAGCTATTTTGGCATATGCTCTGAAAGTATATCCGGATAGACGGGCGTTGTGGCAGCGTGCCGCAGACCTGGAGAAGACCCATGGCACCTAGAGAGGGATTGGATGAGTTGCTGGGACGTGCCGTGGAGTGTTGCCCACAGGCAGAGGTTCTGTGGTTGATGGCTGCCAAGGAGAAGTGGCTAGCCGGAGATGTTCCCGGGGCGAGAGGCGTCCTTGAGAGAGCCTTCATCGCCAATCAGGAAAGCGAGCAGATCTGGCTCGCAGCTGTCAAACTTGAAGCAGAGAACGGCGAGACGGGTGTAGCGAGGACAGCTCTTGGTCCGTGCGAGAGATGTTGCGGATACGCAGAGGGTCAGTGTAATGATTCTTCCTTACTTCGCTTTGCTGATAACATTTTGTAGATTTGGATGAAATCTGCCGTCTTCGAACGACAGCAAGGACAGATCGACGAAGCGCTCAAGACACTGTCTACTGCTCTCAAAAAGTTTCCCAAATTCGCGAAATTGTATATGGTACAGGGACAAATATACGAAGACCGAAATGACATTCCCTCTGCGCGCGCATCGTACGCCGCCGGACTCAAATCCTGTCCTAAGGAGCCTACGCTTTGGATGTTAGCGAGTCGGCTTGAAGAAAAAGACGGCAAGAGTATAAAGGCCCGTGCTCTCTTGGAGAAGGCGAGACAAGTCAATCCTGGAAACGAATTGCTCTGGCTGGAATCCATAGGTGTGGAAGAGCGATCTGGTGGTGGAGCCGGTCAGGTTCTTGCTCGCGCTCTACAAGACTGTCCAACGAGTGGAGTTCTCTGGTCAAAGAGCATTTGGAGCGAGCCAAGGCCGATGAGAAAAGCCCGTTCGGCCGATGCGTTAAAGAAGACTGGTGGTGGAGAAGGTGGTGGTAGCGCCGTTATCTGTACGATTGCCCGGTTGTTTTGGGCAGAGAGGAAGGTGGAGAAGGCTCGGCAGTGGTTTGGGAGGGCTGTCGGGGTGGATGGCGATCTAGGCGATCTATGGGGATGGTGGCTCAAGTTTGAGAGACAGCATGGGGTGGAAGAGCAGAGAGAGGAGGTGCGGGTGAGGTGTGTGCAAGCGGAGCCACATCATGGTCTTGTTTGGCCGGCTGTTGCGAAGGATTTGAAGAATGTGGGGAAGGGAGCCCGGGAGATATTAGAGATGGTTGCTGATAAGCTAGAGGAGTAGTGTGTGTATTGGTATGTATGTGATGTATTTTTATTTTTTTCTTTGATTTGTATTTGTTAGTACTACTTACCAGGCTGCAAACATACAAGGTAAGTATATCATTCTGATGGTGGATAAAAACTAACTGAAAATCTGCAGGTGATGCTTGCTTTGATTTGGGAGTGCGAACGTACCGTTCAGGGTCGAAGGCGTACACCGTCACATGTGATGTATCCGGTGTATTTCAGAGAGCCCTTGACCTGGCACTCCCGCGCTCGCTCCGTAGAATAAAGACCGAGAGCGCCTGGTGCCTGTGGTGGCGTAGGTTCCCCACAAACTTCTAGAGATTTCTGAATCTCGTTAGATCAGGCTTTCGTGAACCTATAACAGAGCGCACCCGCATACCCACTACCTGGGCGTAGCGAGGACCCGGTGACGATGTTGCCGAACTGCTGATTTCAAACTCCTCGAGATCTGAGAAGGATTTTGGGGGTTCGCAGGTGGGAGGACAAAGTTCACAATTTGAACTCGACTCAAGCCCACTTGTCCTTCCTTGATTGTTGTTGCACGACCGCTTCATATGTATACCCATGACGGCAACGCTCTCAACAAAGGGACGAATATCTCCCAGACAGATGCTAAAGATACACATTTCTATAGGACGGATCATGCAAGGTTGTTTCGGCAAACCTGTGGGGTTGGTTGCGTTCGGTAGCAGCTCTCAGGTACTTATGCAATTCAATTGAAGATTATTAACCACAGCCATTGGGATCAAATAGCGGGTCCGAACATTCCCAGATGCAGCGACCGCATGGGAGGAGAAGATATCCTGACAGGACATCTACTAGAAATATAGCATGCTCGTCTTTGTCACCAACAAAATCTTTGTTGTGGGAGGAACCGTCCCAATCGCACCCTAGGTTTTGATGGAAGGAAACGAAATAACATATAGTTCAAGGACCGCATGGTGAGAGATGCTACAGACAGTCTCCGAGAACATGCGTTGTTAAATTCGGGACCTATCTCTTATTCAGTTAATCATCCGTGTGAGTTGAACTCAATGATATCTACCTCTAGGAAATACATCCCTTCGTCTGTTCCCAGAGGGACGATGTAGGGTCGGACAGTCGTATGGTTACCGTGAAGGAGGTCAGTGAGCGCCACGCCGACTCGGAGTGTCCTGACATCAAATACCGCCACCGTGAGGACTGAATTTGCTACTTGCCGGCATACGCCATTACTTGATGCCTAACCATACGGAAAAAAGAGGCCCGCCGCTTCCGAACTGGGTGTCCGGAGATCAAAGCTACCATGGCGGATGATAGTGTACCACGCTACACACCTTCTCCTTCGAGCCATGCAGAGGATATGCGGAAGATAGCTCCACGTGTGTGCATCGAAAAACTGTTACCATTCAAATGGTCACGGGCTATTAGAGATGTGTTCTCTTACCGGGGTTAACGAAGATCGTTTATCAGCGAGATGGAATAGGAAGAGTGTAATGAAATTCTATGCGATGAACAACATTGCAATCCCTTATTACCGTAACGACACCATTTAATTGGGGAAAAATGTAACTCCGGTTAGAGGATGCAACAGCTCATCCTCCCCCAGCGCATCGATACGAAGATACCATGAGAACTGCAATATCGTTACGGCGACAAATGGCCCGGAAATTTGAACAATCTCCAAACTTTATCGTTCAGTGTGCCTAGAACTGGCGCCCTTCGCACTCTCATCGTTCCTGATCACAGCTGATCACGAACTCTATACCTCGAATCCCTGACGTCACCTGGGGATGCGCCACAGATTTGAACCCTTGATGACCGTACGCATATATACTCTGGAGATCTAGTTACCGACGGATGGAGAGAGGAGAAAACCCTAGAAATATACTTTTACCAAGGGCCAGAGATTCGATCAAAGGACAGACGTATTCTGACAGAAGCCTCTGAACTCGGTTCTAGAGGCAGGTGTCCCCTTCTGTCGAGTGTAGAGATCAGATATATCATATGTGAAAAACGAAGGTCTCAGGAGAAAGCTATGGTTGGCAGTAAGAAGATCCGCTAAAGCACCGCGATGGGGTGCCTATCACTCTAAAAGATACCGAAAAAAAAGAAAAAAAAATTCAGCATGGACCGAATGTCATTCAAGAGGCTCTGAAAATGCACGGCTTACATTCAGAGCTCGATTCAAGTCTTAGTTTTCCATTTTTCGTTCTTCTGAAAGGATCCGTTGGGCGGTTGCGATACGGGGTAAGGTACGGAAACAAGTTCGGCGTGAGAAAACTGCCGCAGCCGTGCCGTGACCGATTGATTTTGCTTCCGATTTCAATCACGTTGCACCTCCTAACCCAAAATTCCCAGTATCAATGGGACGCCCGCCGGAAAGGCGGAGAAACAGACTCTATGTCTGACCACATACCCCGTGTGCGCATCGTCCTTGACATTGTGCTCCCCTACGCTGAACTGAACTTTTCTACAGATCCGCGATGAGCTACGACGAAGCTTTTGCAGGTAAGCAAGCTGTATGTCGTTCCTTGAAGACAAAAAACTGACAAACTTTTGTTTTTTTGCAGTGGCAAACTCAAATCCGTCGCTTTTCGCAAGGAGCAGCTCCTGGCGTTGGCGTATCTGTTGCAGGAGAACCAAGCTCGTTTCCAAGAGGCCATGCAACGTGATCTAGGCCGTCCCCCGCTCGAGACGTCACTGTCAGCGGTTCTTGCCTTTATCCCTGCCGCTGTGTCTCATCCCCCACCGTCAGGTTGGATTTGAACGGGTCTATACGTGAAGCATTTCTCTGCTACAAGCGCGTCGAGCAATGGGCCAAGGAAGAATCACCTAAATTCAACCTAGCGACGTGGGCGATAAGTCCTAGATTGAGGAAGGAAGCGAAGGGAGTTGTGTAAGTTTTGCTCCTTGTCTTTTCTCCATATCATTGACGGCCTTTTAGTCTCATCATTGGGCCCTTTAACTTTCCAATATGGTGTCTTTTCAGCCCTCTGGTTTGTTTTTTTCACTTGCAAGTCCATTGCCATTCCCGACTCGTCGTTCTTTAGGCTGCCGCTATTGCAGCTGGAAATGCAGCCGTCCTCAAGCCATCGTCGCACACCCCAGCCACCAGCGCACTCATTGCTGAGCTTGTTCCCAAGTACCTCGATCCGTCTCTATATCGCGTCGTGCTCGGAGATAACGCCGAAGTTTCCGCGGTTAATCCCTTTCCATCTCCGAGTCATTCAAAATCACTGACGCACTTCTTGTAGTTGCTGGATCTCCAGTGGGATCACAGTGAGTATCCTCTTCCGTCTTCGACATGCATTTTCTCCCCCATTTCTTCCCTGCACGGAAGTGTGTTGGGGTCTGCCTCGGCTAGTATATCGGATTAACACTGCCCCCGTTTTCGATTGAGAAAACTCTTTTTCGTGTCCGTTTTTTTCCTCGGGACTGATTGGTTTTCTTCTAGTATTCCTCACGGGCGGGCCTAAGGCTGGCAGGGTTATTGCTACCGCCGCCGCCAAATATCTGACGCCTATCACACTTGAGGTAATCGAGCTCCTCTGTTTTTCAGCATTGTCTTACTTCTACTTCTGCTATCCAGCTCGGTGGTAAATCTCCTGTCATCGTTGACCCTTCTTGTGACCTCGAAACGTCATGTCGACGTCTCTTGTGGGCCAAAACCAGTAATGCGGGCCAAGTGCGTCGTATTCATATTCGCTGTCATCCATTTTCGCCGAAAATTGATTTGCGATTTGTTATTAGATCTGCACGGGTCCCGACTATGTCCTCGTCCCGAGACATTTTCAAGATGAATTCATAGAAGCGATGAGCGTCCAGTAAGAATATTCCTTTTACCCGTTACCCACGCTTACGCTTATTACAGGTATGCGAACTTTTATCCTAATGGTCCCGCGGCGTCAGATTCGTTCTCACGAATTGTCGGGCCCAGACATTTTGCAAGGATCAAGGCGTTGCTAGACGCGACACAGGGTGAGGTGGCGCTCGGAGGAGAGACGGATTCGGCTACGAACTACGTTGCCCCGACGGTTGTGAGGGACGTACGCGAGGGTGATTCCCTTCTATCGGAGTCGGTATCGCTTCCCCTTTTGGTGAAGGCCATTGCTTATATGTTCTCGGTATCAGGGAATTGTTCGCGCCGATCTTGCCGGTGGTACCAGTTGAAAATCTAGACGAGGCAGTTGCGTACATCAGAGCAAGGTTCGATTTTCCGTCATCGTTTACGTTGTTGGACTGAGATTTTCGTGCAGAGATCACCCACTTGCACTGTATCTATTTGCTCAAGATGAAGCCGTCAAGCGTAAGGGTAAGCTGCTCTCTTTTATTCGTCCTGAATCACGGTCCTGACTGGTTTTTGCTAGTCATCAACAGTACTTTGTCGGGGTCTGTCGGCATCAATGATTGCTTACTTCAAGTATCTGCCGAAGGGCTTCCTTTTGGCGGAGTGGGACCATCGGGATACGGTGCCCATAAGGGCAAGTTCGGGTTTGCCACCTTTACTCACCTCCGTCCGGTTATCGACTCGCCGTGGTACGTCGACCTGTTCATGTCACTGAGGTTCCCGCCGTACTCGGTATGTCCCTCTTCTCCTCGCCCACTGTCGACAATGCTAACTTCAGTCGTAGACGAAGAGTCTACAAAAGATCAACGCTGCCATGTTGCCCACCCTGCCCAATTGGAAAGGGGCTGGGAAGAACGTGGTAAAGGTGACTTCGGCACCCGTTCCGGTCAACGTAAATGCTCGAGGGAGCTTCTGGGATGGCGAAGCTGTGGCTATTGGTATTAGAGCGAGTGGCAAGGGAGTGTTATTAAATGGAAAAGAGTGGCTTGGGTTGGTTCTCGGGATGGGTGTGGTTCTTGTCGGATGCTGGGTAAACTTTGGCAGGGCGCTGTGATAACGGGCGGGGAATATGGGTAGTCAATCTTTATCAGCGGAGGGGAAGTAGATGTCGTGGTTATTGTTTAACTTATAGGCACAGTGTATCATTTATTGTATTACAAGACTCAAAATGTAACTATCGGTCTTCTTTTTTTTTTTGGGTCTGCTCGTTCTTAAAAGCACAGAAAAGACTTGGACGGCACCACTGAAGAGTTATACGCCAGGTTGATCTTTCATCACGCGTCGCACAATCTCGACAAGATACAATGTCACGTGTGCGCGTACAAGCAGACTTTCTTTGATGACAATGTGCAACATGTTCTGACGGGGTACCGCATCCTGTTAGATTAAAATCTGGGAGCGCCGTATGCATATTCATCTCGGTTTTATTGTCTCCTTGACAAGGAACGATGCCCTTGACGAAATATGCATTGGCCTGAAAACAAAAAAGATGATTCTTGGCCATTGGGACTTTATAGGCGCTTATACTAGCTCAGCGTCTACGTATGTACATCGCAAAAACTTTTTGCGAAATGATCCTCATCCGTGGGCAGACTCTTAGAACTTTGACAGGCAAATAGTTGGGATATGATAAGAAGGCGTAAGTGAAATATGTGGCGTGCGCCGAGGAGAAGGCTGAGTACTTCCATCCCAGCGATATCATCGAATTAAGTGTCGTCAAGAATACGAAAAAGCGGCTGTGGAAGGGTAGACATAGAGGAGATTTGACAAAGAAAATCGTAGAGAAAATAAGGGGAATTTGTGAAGAAGATACGCACTACTTAAGCACCAAGGAAATTTTGTAGTGTTGCTGCAGTCTTGCGTTGTTGTCGGGCCGACCGCTCCGTCGTGATGCGGAATTTGCCGAAAACCAACTTGACACCTCTCCCCATGCACTGCCGTGACATGCCCTCAGTAAGACTATGCGATGCAGTGTGATGTATCCAGCCGACTTCTGACGCATTTTTGGAAGTCAGATGCCCAGTGGCCTGGAATTTGAGCCCCGTTCGCAGTGGTGGCGCGCCCTGGTTTGCGTCACACGGATATCAACTTCATGAACTGGTCTACGAAAGTGAGGGCGAATACACAGAACTTACTGCAATGCTATTACCTTCTATGAAGGTCTGTGAAGCAGCTGAGAAATTACCGGACCGAAGTCCTTACGGTATTCGCAAGGCGCTCTCGAAGAGCCTAAGAGACTAGCATCCGCTTTTCCGAACTTGGTAACTTAAGCTTTCTATCTTTAAAATAACTATGTATGCTGATTTATACAGTTTGCTCGCGTTTTCTTTACTCAGGATGTCCACGGACACCTCGTCGCAGTCAAAATCGGGAAGAAGGATACCCACCACGACCGTAACGCGTCTTTTCATGGAAGAGAAATCGGAAACGATGCCATAGAACTGTGACCTCCCCATTTTGGAGGTCGGGTCAGAGCCTTTTTATTTCGCTGTCATGCACAAGTGTGTCATGAGAAACTGACAAGTTCAATGCAGTCAAGTATTGACAGATGGGATGACGTCCCTGCGTGTGGTTTTAGGACTCTTAGAGCAGTACTTGTTTATATGTACTACATGGTCGAGGTAGAACTGAATGCTTCTGATATCCTTCCAATCTGATATTTGCTGCTAGGGCCTTCGTTTTTTACATTCGATAAAAATCGTGCACCGGCCCCCGGGTAAGTCAATGACTCTCAGAAGCCTTCGAGATCACCCCTCTCCTCTCTCTTCAGGACTTCAAATGGGAAAATGCCGCCATGAATCATTCCTTAAGTGCCTGTGATCGTTACCCTATTGGACAAGATGATTACTCGAACCGTCTCGCGGCGTTTTACCGCTTCTGAAGCCCTGCAGTTTTTAGAAGAGCTTCTTCTAACAGCACAACTAGACGTCCCAGTACCATCCGAGTGGGCAAACAAGCATTATAAAAAGTATAGCTGATGGAATGATCTTCCTGCAGAATTCATTTAGAAGTAGTCGACTTACAGAGAGACGCCTGTCCCTCGCATGACTAGTCACTATATAGCTTCGCAAGATCTGTTGCCGAGGTGTTGGTCATCATCGGGCACTTGACATCATTTGGAGGGCATTAGGTTGGGTTACTCGATGCCTTTCCGCGTGGCATCATGATTGCAAAGGATTCTTGATCCGATTTCTACATATTGCTGACACCTACTCATGCCGCCGGTAAGGGTTAGAGACCCAGGCATCATCATAACATTGTTATAGCACCATTCTTGTGGGATTATTTTTTTTGAAGTCGTGTAAAGGAATGGAAAATAATCCTTATTTGCAAGTGAAACAAATAACACCCGCACTTGGTGGTCAAGTCGGATGAAGTGATAAGTACGTAAGCGGTCGGTACAGCTGTGCCGAAGCACCGGCATCCCGACCTTGATCCCGACGACGTGTTGTCCCACTCTCATCGCGATGTCAAGGATAAGACGGGCATGCCGCGCAGCAACTGTAAAATTTTCAGCAGAGTCATGTAGCTCCTACTCCGTAACTCGTGAACCTGCACAACTCGTATGTACGGCGTACGACCAGCACTGCCGACTGCGAGGAGAGCGCAGTTGAGCTAATAGCAACGACAAAAAGATCGACGGAGTTGTCTAGTTGCTCAGAGTGTTTCATGCAAGTCAGATTATTTCCTTCTGGGACAGATATTAGAGATTTGCATACCCTTCCATGCCATGCTGGATACATGTTTCCCAGGCGCCGGACTCAGGTATGGATGAGTCGCCAGTCACAACAGTCGGTAGGCCTACAGGCAGACTAAGCATTTGCCTCAGTTTTTTTTGAATGATATAGTGATATTCATTGATATAGATAGTCTCTCTGCGCAACCAATGCCATCCTATATACCACCCTTACTCGGTAATGTGGTGACATGCGTAGTCTATTTCTCGGGCTTGCTTCTGCATCAGTATCTTAGTCAATGGTAATAAGATATAGCCTTCGGACACAATTCTTAACTCCGAAATTTAAAGGTTCAAGATGTCGATACTAAGTTGTCATGAAGAGGTAAGATTTCTCCAAAATTTGTCCTCAGGAGTCAGCGCCACATATTGTAGTCTGATCGACTGGGCGTCGTCGGAACAAACCCAGTGGACTTAAAATGTTCCGTGTTCTACTCGGGACGCCCGGCGATCCAATGAGCTGTAAAATCATCCCGACAATCAACGGCTACTGCCGAGCGCTGAGAATAAGGAAGATAGTGAGCGATAGCTGTAAAGGAGCGCGGACTGGAGAATTAACAGCTCGTAGGCCGCCCAGATACGGGTCCAACAGCATGTGTCACAGCACTTGAAAATTTCTGCTTGAAAATACTACAAGGTGAATACTATGGTGGGAACGGCGACTAGAGTACTCTATATGATAGGTTTAAGTAATTATATCTACGTACAAGAACGGGACACTAGACTATGGAGCATTACGAGGCGGGGGCGGTCGATATAAATAAGGAGCACGTGAAGTTCGTAAAAAGCGGTAGATGAGTAAGGGATCCTGGGATTGTTTTGGGGGGACGCAAATTGGCGGTCTGGAAACCAGACGGACCAAATCGTCAACCAAGTTGTCGCATGTAAAATACGCGTCAAAATGCTGTAGACGCGTAGCCAGAATCATGCCCAAATCTATCAGAGGGGAACTGGACGCCAGAAGGTCGGGTTCGGAGGCTGTGAAATGAGCCGAGTCAACCATATATTCACGAAATTTTGTATTTTTGCTTACCCCGTTGGTGTTGTCGCTGATGTCTGAAGAAATAAGTCAGTATACGTCAATCAGCAACATAAGCTCCAGCTCACGGTTAACAAGGCATTGAAATGATGCGACGATCTGTCGGCCGTACTCAATGTAGTACACGAGGCAAATGTCGCCTGCATTCCAAGTACAACCTGGTGTCCACACACGGTGGCGGGAGGCTGAGAAGGCACCAGGGTAGAAGGCAGGCATTGGCAGCAATGGGTTCTCTGAAGAGACGATGTAGAGTGAGGTTGTTGTGACTGCGGGAAAGGTAGCGAATGCTAATGACCTATCTCACCTTGAACAGGCGCGTTTTAAGCATTTTGGAGTTTCCCACTACCTGTGGTGAAGTTGTAGCCGGAGTCATGACTCGCTTTAGGAATGTACAGCCGAAGTGAGCCGGAAAGGGAATGAGAGAGGAATGAGTCAGGGTCCCGTCGTAGTTGTAGCAGATCATCTCCCACTTTGGAAACGTAGAAAGTCGGCCTTGGGCTGTGATGAACACGGTCGACGGCAAGGAGGGTGTCGATGGCGATACAGACTTGTATTTGTTCCTGGTATACCGGCTGAAGGGAGTCCGGAACTCGACTTCCAGATAATCATCATCCTTGAGGTAGCTGTATTCGAGTCATAACGAATATTTCAACGCTATGGATGTCTCCCGCCACGATCACGGTTCCGTCTACGTACCGCATTCGAGGAAGGCGGGCGGTGCTGGTTTGTTCCGAATGTCCTCCGTTCTGATGGTCTAGTAAAAGGCGCTAAAATTTTAAGGCGTCAAGTTATATGATTCGAGCGCTTTGGAGACGGAATGTACACCCACCGACATGATTTGCCGGGAGTAGCATCAGTAGGCTCAGTTTCTAGTTGCTATCGCACCCACCGATGCTCCGTGACTCATAATTCATCACAAAATGAAGTACGCGCCCTGTTGATCCCTGCCAGAGATGGGTATCTAATGAACCCAAAAATGCTTCGAAGGCAGTTCTCCCTTCGATCAATATCATATAATCAAAGCGCCTATTTTCATGTAGTGCTGCTCGACTCATCAGTTTATGCATCTCATAGCAGGCAAATCATCCCCGGCATGGAAACTTGTAACATCCTCCAGGAGACTCGATGGCATGTGGTCGTGTTCGTCCATACCCATCGCCAACCACGAGTAACTATTTAATGAACATATGGGGATTGTTTGTTACTGATTAGATGCATCAAATTGTGCCCAACAAGATTGTTTGAAATGACTCGCCGCGGACTGTATTAATTGCCAGCTGTTCAAAATATGATTGAGCCCCAGAGTTGGAAAGAATGCGCTGTCAGGGCTGGAGCAGGGCAGAGAGGAAATGTTTCATACAGTCTGAGGAAGACTGAGCCTTTCTTGAGACGTGGTCGCGGTATGTGGTGGTATTCTTGCAGCGAGGAACTTGACACTGAAACGTCAAGACGCCACCACCAGTGACAAGGGTCCTATGTTTGACAACGATAAATTAGACATCCACAGAGGTAGAAAGTGGCTGCATCGTAAGGCAGAATACATCCCTTCGTATTGTCGAGCATGAGACGACGGCGGGACTGACAGCGAATCAACTCGCCAGTCGGAGACTCGCGCTATTTGAAACAGAGACTACCGCGGAGATACTTAGAACATTGGGCTACAGTCAAGGGTATATCATCAGCTCAGTAGATGAAACGATGGAGTCCCTGCCATACCAGTGCGTGTGTCGATTGTTGTGGTTGGAGATGAAGTAAGATTCTGATTTACGCCTTCACGCTTCAAGGCGGATCACCGGTTCCACGTGATCTTCGGCTCATCCATTTTTGGTATGTTAAATTCAAATACAAATCAATCACGTCTACAACACCAACACCAGCACCACATGCCCGCGCTCCAGCGAGCGTGTCTCCATCAGTAGTAGGATGAACGACAGAATCTAACTCTCCATCTTTTTACATTTGTCAAGGACTGGCTCTCGAAGGAGCGGGAAATGCTCTGTCGTTGACGGTACCTTCATTTGACTCAAGTTCCGCAGAAACTTCATATGGTGATTGCAGAAATCAGACTGATGATTTTTCTCAATAATGGAATTTATTGAGTGAAATGACAACTCAAATATAATTCCTCCGTTTACGATTGTGATCAGAACAAAAAGGAATGTCAACTAACCAACTATCTACTTCTGGGTATTCTCTTTCTCAAGTTGTTCCTTGACAGCATCTTCTCTGCGCTGCCACTTTTCGTATACCATATGGCATTTATCGCGATGCTTCACCCATAAACTCAAGTACCATTCCGCATCAGCTCTCTTGTCCAACTGCACTTTGCGCCCACAGCCGACGCAGTTGACATACGTTCTGTCGACGTTTGCCGCCCATTCATCCTCGCAAAGCCAGCGATAACGCTCCAATCTCGACAGCCTAGACATGCACTCTCCCTGTTGGTTCTTCTCGCTAGGAAGACGTTTCAGGGAAGAAAGGAAACGTTTAACATTCTCTTCAGCGTTTGGTCGACTCGTCAGCGAAACGGACGCCTTTCGCATAAGAAGCCTGAGGTTTTCCCTAGTCTTCTTCTGTGCGGGCGTATCGCTGGAGGGATTCGATCTAGGAGGAGAAGCACACTGGGGCGGATTGGGAATGGTGTCGCTTCGTTTTGGAAGGGCTTTGATGAGACGAGGTTGGGGTACCTCTACGATCCTGGTTTGGATTGTGGGTTAATTAAACCAGCTGAAGCATATGGTAGAAAGACATACGATTCCTGCTGGATCGGAGCTGCTTGATTCTGCTTTGGAGCTAAAACTGGAGTTATCTCCTTTGCATCACCGATCTCATTGAGCCGTAACCGTTTTGAAGAGTGTAAGGAGCTGAGTAAATGGTAATGAGTATAAAGACAGTCATCGGAAACGGAGAGTACTTGCTGGATATGCCGTTTTCCATACTCATTGAGTATTTGGGCGTGGTCGTTGTCCGCAGTTTCTTCATCTTCGTATTCTTCCGCCTCGCCGCACGCGTCTCTGCCACAATCATATCAGTACACCACAGAATCCTTGAATCGATTGATACTCACTCGCATTCACCAGACAATCCCTCCGATGGGGTGTTAAACGCAGACATGGCTTCAAACTGCGCACGAAATTGGTCATACATGGAGGTAAAGCCGGATTCGTTTGAATGTGGATGTGTATAGGTGTAGGAATAACTCGCAGTAGAACCATAACCTAGGACTGATGGAGTATGGTAGGTAGCAGGGTACTGGTTCGAGTTTATAGGCGCGATAGGACCATAGTAGTTCCCCGAGCAGAATGGCCTGTCGTCGCAAAGACCGGACATGTTGAGCGATTTATAGGAAATGGAAGGGAGGGTGTATCCCGGGATGTCGCCGGGAGTAGGAAGTGTCTTATGATGACAGGAAGTGAACCAATTCCCAGGCGTTTTATAGCGGAATATGGGAGAGGCTTTGTCTTGACTTGGATTCCACGTGATCTTGTTTCTTGGTGTCCTGCTTGGGTGGCACCGAGCTATACCATTGTACAGAATACCTTTGCATTGTCCCTTCTTTTCGTTGACTTTGCACGGGAAGAATGGAGGCGAGAGTTACTTTACCTAATACAGCAAGTGGAAGGTGACATCAGATGGGGTTGCTTGAAACCATCTAGTGCGTTACCATTGTAATTTGCCACTGAGAACAGAACATATTCGAAGAAATTCTTGTCCTACAGTCATTGTGACATTCGCTGCACGAGAAGTGAGTGCACACAAAAGTTCGTGACAGGGGCCCATATGGCGTCGATTGGCACGATCGCATATGCCACCAATGAATAACGGAATTGCTTTTTCTCAAGTCTGAATTGACCGACTGAGTTAGGTCCTATGAACACGGTGGACAAAATACATGCGCACACACGTTTCGTCCAAGTCGAGGATGCGTTCGATGAGATATATAACGATATATACTTGTATCGAGAGGCAGCTTTCGTGAACTGGTGTCAAAGTATACAACGGCGAAAGAGGATTTCCATTTTTTCAAAGTTGTCATTCATGAAACCGCATTTCCAAGTCTGGCAGCACGTGGCTTCAACCTTCAAGATGAAAAGTGGCAGTTGAAGTCGAACTGTTGAAACGAAAGCTTCCTTCCTGTTGATATTTCCAGACGCACTTGGTTGAGGTTGGTTCACGTTCTGTCTTGTTTCGGCAGTATATATCCTCAGAGAGCAATCGATTGTGCACGATATTGACGTCAAGCTTTGATCGACATGAACGAGTCCTGGTTTGTAAGTATTAGCAAAGTTTGCCGACTCGACGTTATCGGAACATGCCATTGACAGCTTGCTATATCTGCAGAGTTTATTCTCACCAACCGATGTTGGCTTAGTATAAAAGTTCTAACGGCAATGAGGAGACTCACCTCCTGTTAATGTCTTGGCGAGGTGTTCGCACGCCTTTGCATAAAAATGTCGTATCATTCTCAGCGTCATAATAAGTCCGCAAACACGACCGAACCTTCATTCACCATGGTAGTGCCATGGCGCAGTCGGTATCGCTACTGTACGTTATACCAGTCGGCGTGTCCTTGTCACCCCGAATTCGCTTATGAAGCCTTGAACGATGCTTTTGTTGAGTGATGCGTAGGTGTTCTAGTATGGTAGAAACGCGATAGGCAGTAGGTCGCTTCGCGGGATCACGCCTCCAGCATTGCGCCATGACATTCCAAATCGCATCGGTGATCAGGCTGGATTCTGGTCGTTGAGGACGAAGGTCGCCATAGCTCACCATTGGAAGGAAGTCCTCGTTCGATAAGTGAGCCAGGGGAATTTGAAGAGTGTATAACTACGCGGCATGATAAATATCACGCGGTTAGAGTATATATTATCGCTCACTTCATAGATGGTCATGCTGAAGGAGTATATATCTGCTGGGGGCCTCAGAGGTTCCCCAGACAGGCGCTCGGGACTCATCCAATTCGGGCTCCCAATCTTCGGGAGACTGGTGCGTGTCATCATATTTTCTTGAATTTGGGATAATCCAAAGTCGCAGAGGACGGCCGTCTGCGCGTCGTCTATCAGGACATTTACCTGGATGACTGAGTTAGTCTCATGACCGAGTCGAAGTTGATTCCACTTACGTCTTTGAGATCCCCATGCACGATTCTACGCGAGTGCAAGTACAGAAGACCATGGGCGATGTTGATGAGCTGTATAGAACCTCATAGTAAATGCGGATTCAGCATCAGTCATGACAATGATTTTTGCTTACTATTTTTAGTCGTTCGAATTTGGGGTGAGCTCTGACAAATTTTCTTGCATTACCGTTACGGAGGTAAGGAGTAACGATAAAGGGAGCGCCAGTTCAAGACATTTGCGCCCAGAAACGCTATCAGCTTCTAAGCACATGATTGATGCCGTGGTTGATAAACTCACGGAGGATATTTGGATGCCGAAGGGAGGCCCAGATCTAGGAGATTAATCAATTACATGATTGTGATAACATGGAAAACCAAACCTCTATTTCCTTGCGAATACTCTCAGGGCTGGGCGAAACGTCCGTCTTGAAGACTTTGATTGCGACTTTCTTTCGGTGCCAGATTCCCTTGTACACCTTTGCGCTATATGACGTCAATTAATAAAGATACGTTCAACCAAAATAAGGAGACTCACAAACCGCCCTCATCAACCAGTTTCCCAAGTTCCACGTCATATGAAGTGATCGTCCAAGGTTCAGTCTTGACAGGTTTTTGACTGATTGTGGACAAATGGTGAAGAGTCTTTGTAAAGAACCGTTGTTCGACGTTGCTGCAGGCGCGATTATTGGTCTGCTGCTGTAGAGAGCTTATCATAGCTATGATATTTTCTTGGTTGGCTCCTAAAAGGACTTGTTAGCAGGTCACAGAGATAGAACTCGAGGTATGTCGTACCGATCATCTTCATGAGTAACATCTGGTTTTTCTCCAGCTTCCGGAGCCGGCTAAGGAGCACTGCTCGATCCTTTTTCCGAGATTTCTTGAATTGAGCCAGCATTTCCTGGACATTTACGAAGGAGGAGATCTGGAGCACGGTACTCATTAACCAAAAACGACGCATACCATACTGCCAACTGACGAACTTGGAACGCATGCATAAGCGACAAAATCCTTTTGTGAAAAACGTCGATCTGGACAAGGTAATCGTCCTTGTGGTACAGATTTTGTAAGAATCCCTGTTCTTTGACTTTATTCACAAAAGTGAGGACGTGTTTAAGAACGCTGCTCGGGATGTTAGAAAATACCAGTAAATTTGCGGTTTCTCGTACTCTTCTGTTTCCCGTAGGTGGATTGATATCTCTTCAGGGACGACTTTGCGGGTTTTGAGCTCCCGGTCCAACACCGACAGCAACGTCGCCGTAGTACTCGCCAATGCTTCCAATTGCTGCTTGAGAGTGTCCAAAGCGGTGATTGTGGTCCATATGAGCTTGAGCAAAGCGTAAGCGTACGCAAGACACGGTACTGGCACCAAGTTGAGAACGACATCCATGGTGGGAGAGAGGAAGCCTCAACGTGTGGTACAATGCAATTCCGCTATTTATGGCGCAGTCCGAGCTTCCTCGTGAGGACATCGTGAGACAGATGACCCAGCATAGTGGAAACGGTGCTACATAGATAAGATTGCCGTCACCAGAGTAGTATCCAACACCACAGAGATTCTCCCGCCAAGAAAAAACACAATCTAAAAGCGCACTCATTAGAAAATGTGAACATAAGGCCAGCGTCAAAAGTGGCTTACGTTGACCATCTGGCGCCTGTTTCCGAGAGAGAGGGTGTTACTGGGGGTGCCCGTACGAGCTGGCCGACCATTGAAGGAGAGGCGATGAAGGACAAGTTCAGGGTTTAGAGCACAGCCACACGGGAATTAAATCGCTTCTTGCCAAACATGTTCTTCCAACATGAGATCCAACAACTGGTAGCTGCGGAAACCTGCTAACCGGATCAACGTGGAGATTCTGACCTCAGGATTCGAGGCATACTTGCACGTAGAACGCCTAGTCATTGCAGATGCTGCATACCATAAATTTGAAGAGTGCGACCGCCACCCATCGCCGCCTACAATGATTTAAAAGGAGAGAACAGGACGTTTGGTCATGACCAGAGCGTGCACCAGCGGAAAAGGAGCGGAATAGGTCACCGCAGGCGAGGGGTTTCACAAAGTAGTGCAATCTCCGATGGCCGGTGGTACAAGGACCAGAAGTGGGCAAGCCTTCTTGAAAAGATGCCATGACCAGACGAATGGGCCGACAACGAGTGAGGATGAGTATTCGTTCGGTAGCCGATGTTGAAGACGCCCGCTTGATCATGTTGTAAATGGTATATATTGAAAAAAAGTCCGTGGTATATACAAGCGTCCATCGATAGCACTAATGTATATGCAAATCGATCTTTCGCAGCTGGCTAAGATGGCCAGGCTTTCGGCACGATGGGCATCCCTGACTCTTTTCAAAGGTCTGACGGATGCATCTATGAGGACCGTCAGTCGGTATACTCTTGTACTGTAACCAAAGCAGACTTACGATGAACAGAATACGTGCCCACATTTCGTCACGCTCATCTTCGATGACGGACACAAGCACACCGGGCATGTTTGCTTCACGGTAGCTTTCGGTGTTGGTTGGCGTTGTAGGTGCGTCTTGAGATTCTTCAAATGAGGCGTCAGAAGGAGTTACAAAGTAATGAAAGGAAGAGCATACCAAGATCGCAATGCCAACCTCTACCCGGGACACAGGGGTCTGCTCCTCGATTTTTTCGAAGGCAATAGGATCTTCCCGGTTCTCCTCTTGCTCTTGTCGACGTGCAAGCTCGTCTTCCCACCCGTCGGCGCGCTTATCGCGATCGCCTTCTTCATAATCACGGTGGTGACGAGCCGATTGCTCATAATGCTGTTTATTGTCGTCAGCGAAAGCCGCGGCCGGAACTAAACGAGAACGTACAATTTTAAGAGCAGAGGAGGATTGGAACTCCTCATCGCAATCATCACAATGGTGATGATAATCGGAAAGGATCAGGTGCTGGTGGGGAATCAGTCAGGCAACGTCGACACACGACAACAAAAAGGGGCTCACCGTCTTGTAGGAGTTGTTGTTCAAGAATCCCCGTTTGCACGTACCGCAATACGGGTGTCGACCAGAAAAGTTGAGATGATCCCGCATAAGCTCGATCGACCATAGTGTCTGGTCGCATCGATTGCAGTATTGCGGATTGAATTCCTCTTCAGGACGAAGAGTTATAGTGGAAGACGAAGCTTCGCACGTGTTGGTGGTGTTTGTAGAGCGCAGTTGGTTGTGGTTGGTGTTCATGTTTGTATTGGAGAAAATCAGTTTCCGCGGGGGCATTTTATACGAGGAAAGGGGGAGCTGGTGTCTTACTCCGGCGGTAACGATCCCGGTGTCAGTGAGACATTCTGTCGACGCCTGTATTTATTCATGGATGATTGTTGGTCCTTCTGAACTCTTCGCGGTGTCATGTAGAATCGCAGTCTAGTCATTAATCCAGCTGCTATATCCCCGGCCGAATTTCCTGCGAAAGCTACGCTACATTATTAAAGTCAACAAGACATCAATAGGAGTAGCTTGTCTCCCCCGGTAGTTTCACGCCAGGTTTCACCGGGACTTGGAGCAGAAGCGTGGCCTCAACATTGGCCAGCGTTGGCGGAAAAAAAAAACAAATGAAGTTGACGAGCCGCTTTTCGTTGCATACAAGACGCGTCGCAGCCCTCCAACGACTAGTGCAAACGTATGTGAATTCAAAGAATATCTTGGATAAAAGACGCCCTTTGCCTACTCATGCTATGCCCTTCAGATTTTTACCATGCTTCATTGCGCAGAGCATCTAAGGGTCTACACTAATAAAAGCAAGTCAGACTCGCCAGCAACTTGAGCATCTAACGATGCATACCTAGCTCAGGACTCGGGAGGGCGACGTAGAGACGAAAACTGTAAAGCATGAACATTTATAGAATGCCTGCAAGGCGTGCCTAAGCCTTTCGAATGCTGCAGGCAGTAGTTTACCACATACCGCCAATAATAGAAATGTTAATATGCTTAACCCACCTCACAGTCGAGGTCGGAGACAGGTTTCTGTTGAGAATGGAGGCGACAAATTTGACATGATTTCCGTTGCCATCAAGGAACGATTTCAAATTTCCCATGTTCTCTGCTGACTTATTGCATGAGAAGTTGTTCACGTACTACAATCGGCGGAAATTGACATACCCGAACTAGATAGCGGTACACTCCTGCATGTAACAAGTAGCCGATGAGCCTAAGCGCGGCGTGTATTAACAATAAAATTGGTGTAACATGGGAGAAGGCTTGTACGTGGACTGGGCATAGCGTGCGACCTCTTCTGCTTTTGAAAAGCAATATCTGGCCAGGGTGATTATTCAATAAAGAGAATATCTTTAGATGATGGACGCACCACCGTCCGGGCCCAACCAAGGATTGTATCTCACAAGATCTCATCTAAGCGACTTCCTCCGTCCGTAGCGCAACAGAGAGCACTGGTCTTGATAAGTGTTGTCAGAGTATAGCCCAGCATACTTGACAGCAGGTCGTACCTTCAGAGGGCATTGTATCCTTCGTCCTCCAGGTCCAGCCATTGATGCAGAAGACAATCTTGCGTGGCTATCTAACTCGTCCGCCAGTCCTGTATTCCTTCCACATCCTGAAGAATCTGGCTCCAGCTCGAGACTGCCAGGTCGGGTAGCGCAAATAGCATGAGGCTGTTATCTCAGGCGAGCGAGGCAACGATGCGAGAAAGAGCAATAACCCAGCACGGTGAAGGATTCGTATTGATGGGTGGTTGGTTGAAAAGATTGCCGGTGTTTGTCATCGGCCTGCACCGACGCTTTCGCGAATCGCACAGCCACCGTCGGCTTCCAAAGCCGCTCGTTGACGTGACAATGACGCTGAACGACGCGTCATCGAAATGTGACGAGTAAATGACGTACGGCCCTCCAGTTCAAGCATGCGCAACATCGCCAACCCTCCGCCCATGGTGCGCACAGACCCCTTCTGGCGGGGGTATAGAAAGGAAACATATTTTTGACCACCCTTCACCGCTTCTTTCTTCCCTTCCCTCACCATTAACTGTTAGTGTTGCCATGTTATGACTCTTTCATTCGCTCGTCTCTTCCTTGGGCTGTGACTACGTGGTTTCTCTTGGACGTGCGACGACACATAATTCTACCTTCTCGAATCTCGATTCATTTCTTCTATGGCCTGCCTAGTCCTGGTTTTCGCTCTGTATGCTCATACGACGGTCATGAAATATGATTCAAGCAGCCATTTATCGTTGACTTACAAAAATTATCCCCTGCTATTGATCATAGAGACCTTTCTGACCATACTCAATGAAGAAAAGTTCGGTATACCTGATATCCACCCAGCCGCCCGGGTACCATTATTATCCCGCCTGTCCAGTCGAGGCAAGAGGTGCTTGACGAAGATTTCTTATCAAGCTAGTAAGTCCTAGTTCGCTTATTCATACGGAATACGAAGATAACACTCATATCCATAAAGTCACACGACACCGTGTGTGTAGCCATAAAGAATACAATTTTATAGCCTTGCAGACTTGAACGACTTATATAAATAATCCTACACCTACTTCTTCAACTTCGCATCCCTACGTCTTTCCGCTTCCCGTATCCAAGCCGAGTCATCGTATCCATGCTCTATGAGCAAGCTCTATAAACCTCTAAGCATGTATTCTTATGCTTCACCCATGCGCTGGCATAGTATCCCGCATTCCTACGACGGTCCAATAGTACGGAGCTCCTACACTTGTTACAGTCAACTCGCTGCCTGCTAATTGAATCTACGTCGATGCAAGGATCCTGCTGAAGGGAATACAGACGCTCTTCGTCTGTCTTGCGAGCCTTTTCCCCTGGGAACTGCGCCAGCGGGATCAAAGACTTCAGAAAGATCTCTCTTGGATCGACAGGTGCGGGAAGCTCGGCTCTCTTGGGCAGTGGTAGGATTTTTCGATTCATGCTTCTAAGTTTATCATCAAATGAAGGCGTAGATGAAGGAAGAAGGGCCTTACTTGACCGCCGGTCTTTCGACCGGTATTGGTACCCGAGACGGGAGAACAAAAGCACCATGAACGTACCTCCCACACTCGGAAGCATCCTCCTCGTCCGTCTTGTCCGAGCTGACGGTACAGCTAGGAATCCAAGTTAGACACATCTCAGGGTCACGGAGCGAAGTATCCTGGTATCACCTAGTAGTAGGCGTGCTCCAGCCGCCATGATTCTCTTTCAACCTCTTTGACGAGCACAACCTAGAAACATGTTTAGCCAGATAATTCCGCACTGGAGGCACCGACTTACGACGAAAAGGCCCCCACCAGGTCCGAACCCTTCTTATACCACGTTGTAAGTGGCAGAGGCGAGGCAGGGGGTGTAACAATTTCATTGAAGGGTCTTTTTGATACGCGAGGCATTCTGCATGCCGTTGCAGCCAGCAACGCCAATCCGTCAAGTTCGTCGAGTCCAAGATGAATGCCGAGGTTCAGGGACGTCGTGCGCCCCACCGAGCGTTGGGAATATCTTTCTCAGACCATAGCAGACTCAGAATGGATCAATGGGAGAAATCGCTGTAGGGAATGAGAAGGGAATCTGAGAACGATGCGGTAGATGAGAAGGAAAGAGCCAGCCAAAAATCCAGCTATTTGAGGAGGTGTACGTACACGTGATGCAATGAACCATTTGCGGGAACACGTGTTCTTTTGGGAGATCGTTGTTCTCGAAGTGGAAATCTTGGAACCAAGGATTGGACGTCGGTTCCAGGTTAAGGGGATTCAAACTTTAGACCGGAGTCGTTGTTATGCGAATGCAAAGTAGACTTATGAGGCAAGGCCATATGGACGCGGTTTCCTTTTCTATTGTCCTTAAAGCAAGGGTCCAGACATGAAACGAAGCCAGAGGGGGTTTCCTAATGTTACTTTGTCCTTTCTGAAGACGCTATTGGTTCTAGCTACAATGGGGAGCCGTCTGAAGCGATTATGACCACAGGAAGCAGAACGAACACTCGGAGCTACGCATCGACGGCTGCACTAGATTCTTATTCTTCCTTAGTCTTCGAATCTATCCAATAATCCGCGACACACAACTACGCCTCCATTGGAGACCCAATTTATGGGACCTGAGTTTAATAAAGAATCTCCTTCCAGCATTGTAGAGGCTTTCATGACATGACGGTTTCCTGGGATCAAGATGGAGTAGAAATCGAAACAAAGAACTCGGCGGTTGTGCCGAGACTGTAGCTGCTACGACTCAGACTTGGTAACCTAACAAACCTTGTGAGTTCGGGGCTATCGCAATGCTATCTCAGTAGAAAAAAAAACGAATTCCCACCCAGAGGAACAACTTTCAACAAGACATGAATGAGATATACTGAAAGGAACGACATTACCGAGAAACAGCGACAGGAGTAAATAGTCGCTGGGGAAGAAGCCATTTACACATCGGAGAGAATTTGACTGTTTATTTATTCGATTTGCACTGCGGTTTATATATATAAGTATAAGATGTCCATTATACGAAGATAAAGAAAAGCGTCCGTCGATAGCATTAATGTATATGCAAATCGATCTTTCGCAGCTGGCCAAGATGACCAGGCTTTCGGCACGATGGACACCCTTGACTCTTTTCAAAAGTCTGGCGGATGCATCTACGATAAGTTCAGCCGAAGCATTCTCGTATTTTAAAAGAAAGACTTACGATGAACAAAATACGTGCCCGGGCCCCGCACTTTGTCACGCTCATCTTCGATGACGGACACAAGCACACCGGGCAGGTTTGCTTCACGGCGGCTTTCGGTATTGGCTGGCGTTGTAAGCGTTTCTTGAGATTCTATCGAGTACACCATCAGACTTGGCAATAACAGAGGAATAAGCGAGCTTACCAAGATCGCAATGCCAACCTCCACCCGGGACATAGGAGCCTGCTCCTCGACTTTTTCGAGGGCTACAGGATCTTCCCGGTTCTCCTTTTGCTCTTGCTGACGAGCCAGCTCATCTTCCCACCCGTCGGCGCGCTTCTCGCAATCGCCTTCTTCATAATCACAGTGGTGACGAGCCGATTGCTCATAATGCTGTTTATTGTCGTCAGCGAAAGTCGCGGCCGGAACTAAACGAGAACGTACAATTTTAAGAGTAGAGGAGGATTGGAACTCCTTATCGCAATCATCACAATAGTGATGATAATCCGAGAGGATCAGGTGCTGAGGGGGGTTTAGTCAGGCAATGTCGACACACGACAACAAAAGGGGCTCACCGTCTTGTAGGAGTTGTTGTTCAAGAATCCCCGTTTGCACGTACCGCAATACAGGTGTCGACCAGAAAAGTCGAGATGATTCCGCATAAGCTCGATCGACCATAGTGTCTGGTCGCATCGGGTGCAGTATTGCGGGTTGAATTCCTCTTCAGGACGAAGAATTATAGTGGAAGACGAAGCTTCGCACGTGTTGGTGGTGTTTGTAGAGCGCAGTTGGTTGTGGTTGGTGTTCATGTTTGTATTGGAGGAAATCAGTTTCCGCGGGGGCATTTTATACGAGGAAAGGGGGAGGTGATGTCTCATACAGGTGAGATTGCCTCCGGTAGCAGTGAGACACTTCGTAGACGCTTATGTTGGCCCGTGGACGATTGTTGGTCCATGTCTACACCTGACGTCCGCGCAAGTTCGCGTTTCGGGTATCAGTGACTTGGCACCACCGCTACACACGCTTCCTTCAAGTAAGGAACGGTCAATGAAAACAGCGACTGCGATTACAGGAGTACCTTACCTGACCCCTCCGGTGGTCTCGTAGTCGGTCTCGCCGGTATGTGAAACCGAAGAAATTTTATTCCTTGGAAAGCGAATCTATTCGAGACATCGTTATATCCTCGGAGGGCTAAAGTTGCGTTAGTCAACTCGGGCTAAGTGTTACAGCATGTAAGTTCGGCAAGTAAGACTAACCACCGTGTTATCTTACCTTCCTGCATCTCTTGTCAAGCTACAACGTAGCAAAGTATCACAAACCCGCCACGCGGCTAGGATAATGAGAACATGTAAGAATTTACAGCAAGGACCTCCGGAATTCATATTACATACTTTTTTCATGCCTAAGATGCCAGTACAGAATAGCAAAAGCGAGGCGAAAGTCTGTCATAATCATTCGCAAGTTAACCGAAGAATCTTACAAGGCAACAGGACACATACCGAATGATAACAGACTTCTGCCATACAACGTAGCGAGCTGGACGTCATTGCACCTGGGAGAGAAGTCTGCTTTGACGCTGGCGAAAGGTATGAGATAATCAAAATCATAGATTCAGAGGATGCTCACTCGCACACACCGAGCCGGCCTAGCAAATCTCAAAGTGCTACACCCATCCCCTCTTCCTGCTGCACAGCAAGGCTAGTACAAATACGGAAACATCGAAAATACGCTGAACAGCGAGGAGGGGCGGAGGCTGAGAATTATATTATTGTTGGGAACAGCACGGATAGCAACCCTGGTTGATAACAATGCACAGCTCAGGCATTGCATTCTGCTGATATCGATAAGGTTACGGAATGGTTCCCTAGATAAGATTGAGTACAGAGTACAGAATTCGCATTTCCTTGAGCAGCAGACGTACCGAATTCTCTCTGACTGTGACTAAATCATTCCTCTATGCACCGTTCATTCTGTAGCCTCCAAAAGAATATAGAGCATATTGAAGCTGGAAAACAATCCCTGATCAAGTCGCCGTGGAAGCGAGTCCACTGGCCAAGGACGACCATCTCTCTTCGCTGTATTCAGCGACAGTATAAAGCTGAGTTTTGACCGTGAAGAGTACGGCTTTGGGCTACATAGCTAGCTAGGAAGGAGAAGCTGGCAATGGCGACATGGTCGTAATCGAAAAGATTCAAATTCAAATTGCGCGGGTTTGACCCTCGTGAACCGCACAGCCACCGTCGGCATTAGCTTTGGTTGACGCGACGATGACGCTGCAAGCAAGCGACGAATCAATGATGCATTTCCCGTCCACTGTCATCGTGTGCACTGACCTCTTTTGCGGAGTACAAAAGGGATTACTTGCGAAGTATTATTGTTGTTTTTCGCTCCAGACTCCCTGCCCTCAACTCGCTCACCATCTTCCCTCTCAGTGCTAACGCTGGACGCTGGATTTCGTCTCAATGCGAGTACGATGCGGTTAAACAATCTGGTGCACTGACCTTGGCCTTGGTGCGAGGAACTCAGAATACCACTGAAGTTGTTGAGAATCCCCGCCGTTTTGGCTCTTTCCCGACAATGCCGATTACTACCTTACCAAGGAAAGGATCAGGCTTGAAGAACGAGACTAAGCTCGTTGTGTCTATAAAATATTATGGTACGCTTTCAATCTAATTTGCATGCATTATCGACTACTGTGGTTAGACCAGGGCGTTCTGCACAACCCTACTGACGGGAGGTTTGCTGAAGCAAAGAAGCAAACTGCGCAGGGAGCTACTTTATATGTGGTATTTGACATGATGGCTCACATCAAGGTGAGCCGGTCTGCCTTTATCGTTTTTCCAGAGCCCATCGGTGAATTGGACGCTTTGAAATTCAAGCTCAAGGTCAATATGATCCGTTTCTAGTTCCGAGCGAAAGGCCACCCAGTTGCGGAGTGTAAACTTCGTCGGCCCTAGCGTGCCTTAAAAGCCTTCATCACAACTAACTTGTAGCAGCTATAGATCGCGCTCGATGCCCCACCATATTCACATGGAAGTCCTGAAGTCTAAGATTCAGAGGTACTTGCAAGAGGATGACTTTTTCCTTCACTCGCTACTCGTATGTGTGTTCTCCCTGTGTTCTTCGTAGTAATGGCTTACTGATAGCTTCTGAGCAGTTTCTAATCATGTGGTCTGTATATGCAGCTCGCTTTGAAGTTTCTCTATAAACTTAACACGAGTGCGTAAAGACGTACAGATTGGGCTCCTCCAGTCATGGCAAGCTTTTACTGCGTGTGGCTTGGGCGTCGGTGTGGGACGACGGTAACCGACAATTCAAGGAAGTCTCCGGTTTTAAAATGCGCTCAGAAGTACTCCCTTTCATCCTTTCATCCACCGACGCTAAAAATTTTGCAAGGTTGCCACTATGCATTACGTGAAAGAACATACAAGTATTCTGGTCCCAAACGTCCTTGTATATGATCCCGACTGGGACAGAAAAGTTGGCGGAGAGTGGATGATAATGGAATATGTGCGTATTGCTTCAAACTTCTTGGAAGAATGCTCCCAGTTCAGATGCTTGTTGAGAGATTGATGGTGTTAACCCCTCACTATTATGGAGGTCTTTAACAGATGATCAATGGGAAGCTCTGTATATCTGTAGCAGACATCTGGTCCCAGCTTCTCCGATTACGCTTCAACTTCACCGGAAGCATATACGAACAACAAGATGATTCTAAATATCGGCCCAATGACCTATATTCCACGAGCTGGTACTCTCGCACTCCCAGAGGCTTCGACGTACGGTCCATTTTCATCTACCAGAGAGTGGCTGGTAGCCGCTGCTAATGGAAAGTTATCTCCTACTTTCAGTAATCCCCCGGACTTCGATTACGAACAGGCACATGAGTGGCAGGAGGCTGCGAGCACCCTGCATGTCCTCCCGGAAAACAAAAGCGAAGTCTTCAAGAACTACTTTCCTCGTCTTATGATTCAGGTCGCCGCTAGCTTCTCGTTCGGACCTCATTTACTCCCTCAGGCTATCGAAGACTGTATTCTCGATTCGATTCTCAAAGGGCAACTGTACACTGATCAATTATTCAACAAGGACGTTGCCGTTGGACACATAACTCAAACATTGAACCTGCTTAACACGAATCTCATCTTTCGCTCAGTTTCGCGATTAACATGCAAGGATCTTCGGAAGATTGAACACTTTGGTCGTGAAACTTTGCTGCCTGGGCCGATTCTTGAAGCTTGGATGGCCATGCGAGAAAAGGCAATCCAAGTCAACAAATTTGACAAATTCTATGCGACGTTTGGAATACTTTCTTGTTCTAATTATCATGTAGGAGAACAGTACTTCTGCTTTATATGCTGCTCATGTCATATTACAGTGCCAGTCTGCTAATAGGCACACACTGTCGCACCCAGAGGTCCGACGATGTGGAGGATGCGAGATAGTCTTTTATTGTTCTGTCGAATGTCAAAAGCAGGATTGGAAATATCACCGCGAGATTTGTCGGCTTTGTTCCCGAGCAGTAAACAAGGGGTAAGCTTTGGGCTGGGATCTATCACATGTCGAGGTCTTATCACTGTTCAGATGGGCTTCCGCTACCCATGTCACTCCGTGACCAACTCTTCGTCATATTCTACGTTCGAAGTGATATAGACAAAGATATCCTGGCAAGCCTACAACAGAGGTATCTCGATGATCATCCCGGCGCGGAGGCTCACAAGCTTGTAGCCGCCCTCGATTACACCAAGATAGTGCCGGAGCTGGACATCAGATACGCAGATGAATATCGCCATGAGGATCGCTTGGAGCATTACGTGAAGGTGTGCAAGAACGGTGGTGGGAGGCGTTGCTTCGTGAGAACACCGTTTTTTGTCAAAAGAAAGGTGTGCTGCGCTTATTTACGTTACCAACACTCATGTAAGGGATACTGGAAGCTTCAATGCAACAAAGCATCGCTATGGGTCATAGAGTTGATGTTAGGGCACTGATAATACTTATGCCGTGCTACTGTGCTTGCTTAAATGCGTGATTGTACGTTTCCATCTAAACAATCTGTGCCTTCGAGAATTCGTACGACCACCTCAATGTGCAATTCAGTGTCTTAAACGTCACACTGGGAGGTCGCGTCCGAAGCCTCTTTCTGTCATAATCGACTAAACATCGCTGAACGGCTTCACCTCGTCTCTGCTCTTTCCCTGTTTTCCGACAGTATTATAACTCTCCGCCTTTTGTCAGGCACGAACAACATCTAGGACTCCTCTCCCCTTCGATATTCCTTCCAATTCCTCCAGGATTGATTTGTTGGGTCGAAAAGGAGTGAAAAGGTTCATGGTTAGTAAAGTATCTTTAGGTACAGATCGACGGTTAATCACTGAAGTCTCCCCTTTGCTCGGTGGAGCTTTGGCAGGAATTGTCACCCAAAATATGATCAGAAATCCCCCACTATAGTTGCTACTACCACTATCCCAATTGGCTACGCTGCGCGGTGGGCGTCTCCGATGCTTTATGGCAATCAGTAATGCAAGACATGTCGAGGAGTGCGTAATAAATATTTTTGAGGTTCACTGACAGCATCATATCACACCACGCTTGAACATAATGAACATGATCCAGTTTTACAGACTTTGTTCGCTATGCGCGGTAGCCTCCCATCCGAAAGCCTTAATTTACTACAGTGTCAGGGTCGTCGAACTCAGGGTCTGGCCTTTGGCTCCGGGAAAACCTTACTAACGCCAATACCTTCGTGAAAATTTAACACGTCGCCAGAAGGAGGTTTGCCTCTTGATGTTCATTCGGTGAAACGCCGGCAATTCAGACCAGTGTAATGTAAGGCATATAAACCATAGAAAAGTTGTAATTATAACAAATATTCTGCACATAGCAGCCTGTACGTTAGTGTACAAAGCCGTAACTGTGACATTCCCGTCTCTGTACCAATGATATGTATTTATAATGTTTGGACAACGAAAAGAAATCATTATAGATCATCACATACTCAGTCTGCTCGATAGTCACTGGCTTTCAGAGCATTTCTCGCGTCTTGAATTGTGATGTAGTATGCTCTGTCACCTCCAGTAGCCTCGATCTAAATCACTGCATAAATACGCGTGCCAAGTAGCAGCAAGTTGCATGACACACTCACCGAAGAGGCTCCGTTGCCCAAGTATGAAATGCGATTGGGATGTATCGAGACAAACTTCCAGTCCTCCCATCGCGGAGAAGCTAACATTTCCATGTAGTGAAGAGCTGGAACGATAAGATTTAGCGATTCCTATTTGGATCTATCCTTGGATACGTACTGCTACCAGCGTAGAGCGCATCCGGTTCACCGTCTACTTTGCCGCCTTTATACCAGGAGGGACAAGGTTCGGTCTGTTCCCATACATGTATCAGAGCAAGCCTTAAGTCTCGAAGATGTTCATACAAATATGAGATCCTTCATAAGCGCTACGGATACTCGTATCATTAACAGCGTTAGTTATATGAATGAAAAAACACACCTTCTCGTTGGATATTGTACTCGTCCTGTGCATCCTTGTTAACTTCCATGGTTTTTATATCTTGTTTCTGCAGCTTCGACCTCGAATTCATTGAGTACATCACAGTTATCCGAGTTAGATTCTCCGAACATACAAGCAAGCGACGATGTAGTCGGCTTGTGCCTCTGTACAGGGCAATAGTGACCCATTGACATACGTTATCCCGGGTCCACAACCCATCAGGAACATGTTGGGGAATCCGGTAACGGCGATTGACATATAGGCTGTATTGGGCGTGTCATGAGGCAATACGGCAGAAGTAAGGGGAAGCTCAAACCCTTTGGTCGCTGCGCCCATACATCACTGAGATCGACGCCGTCTCCTCCAATGAACTTGTAGCTCGGCTTGAAACCTGTGTCGAACCCTGTCGCAAGGATAATGCGATCCATCAGGCGCTCGATGCCATCGTCCGTCATGATACCATTTGTAGTGACCATTTTGATTGGTTTATTGGTGAAATCGACAGTAGGAAGCTTCAGCCTGGGAGGGAAATTAATTGCGCATCTATTATCAAGAAGGGGACCTACGCCTCCAGGAAAGCGGCACCAGGGGTCGGCCTACGACACTACATTTTACACCGAATTTGACCGTCAAGCCAAATAACGAACAAGTCTCAGTATACTTACCCCAACGGCAAAGCTGTTTCGCATGTTTAGGTTAGTCACTAATACTGAAGACACGACCTGAACTCACTCGGGCATTAGAGCCAAGAGAAGGTCATCACTCTTTACAGATGACTTCATGTGTTCAATAGAAGCCTATTTCATCGTCTATATGATGTGAATTAACAGGCGATAAATTCAATTATTAATAATACCTTCTGAGCCTCGGACCCTTTTTTCGTAATATCTGGGAATGTCGGGGAGAGTCTTAGGGAATGTCAAAACCACGAAGAAAACAAACCAAAGTAGCCATTAATGGAGGCAGAAACTTCCTTGAGATGGCGGTACAAGGTCTCTGGACTCTTGATAAAATCAGCTTGCTCCTCTTTCGTGTCTATAAGAAGGTAACAACTGTCAGGTATAGATATGAGGACAAGGGTAAGATGGAGTTACACAAGAAGTTCTCATTGTGCCATTCATGGCCTTGGAGGGAGTTAAGCGTAAAAAGGGTCGGAACGACCTGATAATAGGTGAGGATATAAGTTCAAGTTCGAGCATTGTTTCAGGTAAAACTAACCCAAAATTTAGATCTACCATAAATATCGAGATTCTTGCAATGTGGAGCAATGGCACCTATAGTCTGAAGACTGGAAGAACCGATACCTATTACAGCACTGGTAGAGATCTTGAGGATAGGTGGCGGAAAGATCAAGAAGAGTGAAAACGACTTACACGCGTTCGTCTTTGAAAGCGCTCTGCCAATCAAGATCAACAGGCCACTCAGCAGTGTGAAAAATCCGGGTTTTCGTGAATGACTCCAGACCAGGAATTGCTGGATGATTTACATTACTATGAACACGTTTCAAAAATAGGTGGTACGTCAAAAAGATGACATTCTTACCTCAAGACACCAGTGGCTGGGGCAAATACATCATAGGATTTCGTCTCGGCTTCAGACGTTCCCAAGTTCACCACTGTTATATCCCATGTTCCCAGAGCATTGTTATATATTGCTTCAGTGACTTTGTGTCAAAGCCGAATGAAAGGTACAATTCCGAATTTTTGGGCAAAGATTTTGAAATATTTCTTGATTTCACCCGCACCGGAATAATATCTTTGAAGATGGTGTGAGTGTGAGATGCACAGAAAAATAAACCGCCCACTCTGGCCAGTCTGTGTAGGGTGCAAACGAGTACTGGTAGGCAGCACTTGGAACATTGCCTTCATGATCCTCAGTCTTAGCGGGGGGGACAAGTAATGACAGGCTTACATCGACAACCAGGATAACGGTTTGCGTGCCTATAAAAACGAGTTAGGACTAATTGGAGGATGGTGTTATCTGTCCTACCATGTGCCGCTGTAATCTATAGTAGGTAGCATCATAAGCAAGTCGGTAAACACTTAGACACTGAAGACACTACTGTCGTCTTTCTCGAACAGGACAAACTTGATGGGTCCAAGTACACCCTTTTTCTGTGCTTCAATGATTTTATATGCAAGGCACAGTCCAGCCACTCCTGCACCACATCTAACATGTAAAACTTAAGATTTGTGGAGAAACATAAGATGCTGCAGCTCACATAGCAATACGCAAAGGCTGCAGACGAAAACCTGGAAAAAAGGGATCTGCACTGTTGTAAATCCTGCGATATCGAGAACACTTACCAGGTTTGTTGAGATAGTTCCAGTCGCTCAACGTAACATTGCTAGTGTTACTTGTCAGAACGCCTTTTGTGTCATCGGTTTTGCGTCTGAAACAATGAAACATGGTGGAAAGAGGCTGATGTACTCAGAATTCTGCGACAAGAAGAGTGGCTCCTTATATATGTACCAGTGGCGAAGCGTCACCGGATGACGTGTTGGTGGGAAAAGAATACATGAAACAGAGATTTCGATAGTCACCTGAAGCACAGCGAAGATGCAAACCATACTTGAACAGGGCCTCTTAGTATACAAGCCTCCAACCCGTGTCTTCATCACAATTGCTGGACCCTCGTACCTCGGGACCCAGCAACCTGACTATGACATGGGTTTTCGGCTTGTTGGGGCCTGCCCCAAACCCGGCTTATCACTGGGGATATTGGTTGAGTAAAATCTTTATTAAGAGACTCTGAGCTGTTGAGAATAGATGTCAGCAGGGGGTATGAATGTACTATACTGTTTTATTTAATTCAAACCTTGGTATGACATGACATGTATTTGGACCAATTTGAATGCTCAAACAGGACATTAGGGGTGGTCAGAGTTGTGATTCTGACATGATTATAACATGATTATAACAACAATTATGGATGCAATTTTGTTGACAGAATCATGGGAGAATTGTGAATCATGCAGAATTGTTGAATTGTCTCCAAGAGGCGATTCAATGATTCTCAGTCATGGTGATTATAGTTTTGATTATCCTTGTCAATCCTTGATGTCAAAAGCTTAGTAGCTACCTTACATAACAGACTTCAGAATCATGGTCAGAATCATCAAAGAGCCAAGGACAGTCAAAGTTCCTCATGATTTTGTCACAATTATAAAACCATAATCACCTTCAGAATCGTGGTGAGAATCACCTCAGAATCACAACTCTGACTGTCCCTATTGAGGATGCATGATGGACAAAAAATATTTAAATCTCAAAATTTGGAGTTAGGGATGTACACTGTACTCTTATGGATATGACCATAGCAATACAGCCATAGACCTTATAAAAATTACTGGCTATGGTATGGTACAGTTGATGTGATATCTGTATCATGTCCTGGGTCCATACTATTGTCCATATATGAACACTTTGATTATGAAAATGGATATCTGGTGTGAAAGTGTGAGTGTTATGTGCTTCTTTTAGGTCATAGATACTGACCTTTATGGCATAAGATAGTCTTCTGTCCCTCCCTCAACAACTGTATTTAAACTGTGTGAATACAACTATATTTTGGGTCATTAAAGTTGGCTATAGTATGGAATTGTATCTGTATATGCCATATGTAGCCACCATACTATGGATACAGTGCACATCCCTATCATTTATTGACCTACTACATTCACAGCTATCAACTTTACATAGACAAAGATCAGAAAATATGAGGGGAATCAAGAAATGATGTACCACTCACTTTAAGTATGCAGTATATATTATCCCAGGCAGCTCTGTTCACAGCCATATGCATGGCCATGACAATCATAAATGTAACCATCCATACTGTTCCAACTTCCAAGAGTTGATTGGGCATTGACAGTACCATTATGGGAACAGCTGTGGCCATAGCTGACCTCCTCCTCTATGGCTGTATCTGTAACAGTACAGTGCAGATCCCTACATATAGTTGAAGTACAGTTATTGAAGGAGTAGTAGGTGTAGGTGACCTTATGATGATATTAAAGCAAATAAATATGATTTCAATGAAGCTAATAACACTCACCAAGTTTCAATGACATGCTGCTTACTACATATTAAACATGTATTAGTAACATATGTATGCCAATGCAAGTAGTACATGGTCAAAACATAGTATTAAAAAAACACACAAAGAAAGAAGAGTGGAGAGGAGAAAGTAGTTACAGAATATTCAATGCACATGCTGGTAAATGACAAAATTATGAATGACACTGTATGCATACTGGACATCTCAGTGTATCTCCTGGTACTTGAATACAAAAGTACAGAGAGTATGAGACTTCCAAGTCTTGAGGCAAAGCCAAAATAATAACATCTATCCCGATGCAGCAAGGGCATCCAGCGGCTAAGCTCACATTGATTAAGGCCGGTGGCAATGCGGCAATGTTCAAACTCAGCCGGAATAGTCCGTGGCAAGGGAATGGCCGGTAAATTCAAAGTCCGCTAATTTTACATAAGCAAATCCTGTGGCTGTGGTCCACCTCTCTTAATATATAGATAGATCTGACTCAAAAAGCTGACTCAGTCAGATGTGCACACTGCAGACGGGGGTTGTGGGAATTAGCAGCGGCACGGCTCATGAAGTAAATCCATCAGCTGGACTATGCTGACTGATATAGGGCCGAAAGGCGGGGGCTGAGCCGTGCGAGTTTACTGATAACGATAACAAAAGTTCAATTATTGGGTTTCTTTGAGTCTTCAAGGGCCAGAGCGGGTCTGAATACGAATTTGTTTTGCCATTTTTTGCGACATAAAAAGGACGCATAGACAGAAAGTGGTAAAAATCGTCTTGTTCCCTGAACAAAGCAGCAAAACCAAGACTGATAAAGTGCTACTCTGACGGGAGCGGACATCAGTCTCGTCATGTTGCTCTCATCAGTGTTTTATCAACTGGACTTGTATGGTATCTTTCCTTGTATAGCAGACTGCTCCCATGAAGACTGAAGGATAGCCGTTAGAATCCCGGGACTAGCTTTGCAGAAATGTCAGCACATATATGTTGAGCATGTGCATGCCTTAGGTACCTTCGAAACTGACACAAAAAGGTGTAAAACTGGATATTAGCAAGCGCCGACTAACGTAAAATAGCAGTAAATTCACCAACTTTGTTACAACAAAAAACATCATAGACGTTCATGCTGTTGCAACGCGTTACAAAAATGTATTTTTTGTAATTACCATCTAATATATATGATTGTCTTCTGAAGCTGTCTAATCTACGTGTTGCAATACATCCAGATACATGCTGCCCGAAATCGTATCCCAGGGAGATGCTGAGGTTTCCCCTCAAGAGAACGACCTCTACCCTCAACATGGAGCCATCCTGGTCGATGTAGCCAACGACAGTGACCGGGTTTCCCAAGCATGCGAAGGTAACTTGCTGTGGGATGGATTTCTCGGTGTCTCATGTCAGAGTAGTCGGTGATTCCGGTTACGCGTCAGAAAGGACTGGCGAGAGATTGTTGCTACGCCGACTGTTTGAGGCAAATCGAGGTGAAACTGAAAGATCCAATACGTACAGCATGACTTGCTGGGTCGAGCAATTTACTTGGTCTTCTTCGTTGGGGTTACTCATGTTTCTAGGAGACTGTGAGTTCACGGTATGACAAAAAAAATCGGACACATACCTGGTGAAGAGAGCCAATCATCCGCAAGGACGATGTTGGACGATGATAGAAGCGACGAAAGATGCAGGCGTGGCAGTCATATGCCACTGGCAAACGGTCCATGTGGTGGCGGTGCAGCCCCTGTTGCTCATTGAAAAGCCACAGGCATGTAGGCGCTTTGTCTTGACCACAATCTCCCACCTTCGTTGGCCACCTCCACCACTATTGAACGACAAGTGAGTGATATCCTCTACTGTCAGCTCGTCAAGGGATGTCTATCCTTCAAAGTTGTCTCTCGATGATGCTAACCTCGTTCTATTCATCGTTCAACATCCTGGCCGGTGGCACAAGGACGGGTCCGATTTTAGACTAGGTGAGCGGTTGTTACAGGTGTATTCTACAGAATTATCACATTGGCAGTAATGACGATGGTCGAACTGCACTACTCGCACCGAAGCGAACTCAATTTACCCTAGAAGATGAGATATTGCAACAGACGGGGAATGTTGCAACGGGAAGCACATGTGGGATTGAAGGTTTGCTTATTGTAAGTTACATAGAATAAATCCGTGTGTTGTAACACGTTGCAACATGTAGAAGTAGCTTAGATAGAGTGTAAATGTTGATAAGTAGCCGAAATTAGTGCGTTGTAATGTGTTGCAACAGGCTGAATGTCTAAGACGTTCTTGGGTTGCAACAAAACCCATGAAAAGTCAGAAAATAGGTGAAGGGATTCAATGCGCTTGGAACCCTGATATACACCAGGTGCCCTTTCCGTGCCTTCGAATCGCCCACCAGACGTTTCCAGTGTGCCTTGCTCTCGCATTGGTCTATAAATTTGTCTGCGGTAGAGATTACGGTAGCATGCGGGACTGAAACGCAAAACATATGACGAGCGAGTGCAGTAATGAGGTCGGAGACGCTCTGTTCTTCTTCAGGAAATACGTCTGCAGCTTTCCGATTATTGAGTTGTTAACTATGTCATATCCAGCCACTGCGTAGAAGCTGATATCCCGGTCAGTGATGCGCTTGACGTAGCCAGCTGTGTGCTGTCAGGACTGGTTTGGTTTCATCCCAAGGAAATGCCATACCCCGACGCTCATCTTGTTGTTCATGACATGATTTCTTGTATCCAAGTCTCCATGCTATCCGTTGACAAACTAAGTTGCAGAAATATGCATTAGAGCAGCTCGAATATTGCCTCAATGCCCTCTCATGGATTGTACACTAGAAGATATATATAGATAAGAGACGGGATACGCTAACAAAAGCGAACGAACCTCCGGATCCATATATTTCGTGACCTCTTGCACCGCCAAATCCTTCCTTGCCTCCCATCTAAGATCGGCTACTTCCTTCAGCCGATCCAAATATCCCACAGCAGGCCATTCTGGTCGAAATTATCTTCCAAGCCTGTCTCGGGTATGCGCCTGATAGACCTTCTAGAACTTCGTACAACTGGGCGGTATATCAGATAAGAGTTAACCGAGTCGAGCACTTCCATGAGCGACATGTGCAAGATTGGCATCGTCTTCGCGTACGGCCGCGTCACTTTCCAGCAGTGGCTGGCATTTGAGGATTGATTCCAAAGATGGTGATCCAAAGCTTCGACCGCCCATGAATATCCATCATGGAAAGCTTCTGCCAATACCTGGCAGCAACCCGAGACGCAATCCCTAACCATGAAATGCTGTAGTTCATCTATATCCACATGCCTTTGCCTTCGCCTTGACGTGACATGGGACATAAGACAGCAACATTATTTCACTGACTTGGCCCTAAGGAAAGACCGACAAGGAGCATCGCTTGATGAAGCACATAGCGCTATGATGTTGATGTGGCGCCTCAATGTGATAGATCGAACTGTAGGAATTTGAATGTCGACGACAATTCGCCGCATATCATCGAGAGACTCTTCCAATGCGTCCATAAATTCCAAGTGGATTTCTTCCGATTGACAGCAGACCATCACATCCACAACTTCCCAGCAAGACGCGGCCATTGCATAATGGAGAGTCGAGTCAAAATGAACCCACACGCGTGCCATACCATTTGATAAAGCCCGGAGAGGTACGCATCACAGATGCAGACTTGACAGAAAGGCTGTCGACGAGTGACAAAAGGCTATTTTTGAACTGGTCGTGCAAACCCACGATCTCTGAGGGCAATACGGTATCAGCGGCGGCATTCAGGAAATATGACGAGTAGAATATATGACAAATGTGGAACTACTGCCGCTATTTTGTCGACGATAACTTTCACGCCTCGATGTCTCTCGTTAGCACTGGCCTGGATCGTGCGAAAACACTCCTTGGCAATGATCAAGGAGTGATGCCGCACAATAGCATCCGTATCCATGGAAGACGTGTCGAGAGTGCAGAGATTGTAGCAAAACATGGAGAGCAGCTGAGGAAGTGTAGAGTCGTCGGCCTCAACCATTTCTACAAGTTTATTCAGAGCGTAGTGAGATCCGTGCATAGCAGCTGGCTGATAATCCGGTAATCAAAAATATTATTGGCATCGACAACGGAAACGAAATACCTTGAGCGAATTCATGCTCATGTTCCCAGATATAACCAGCTATTGAGGGAGAGCGGGTATTTAAGAATGCACGGTTGCAGAGGAATCGATCGAAAAAGAAAGTCGTGGTGTTGGTACCGGCACAAGGTCCCAATCGGGAACGGCCGGGTCCACAGCCTTGACATGCCGCGGCCATGAAGGCTCGTACCGTTTTGACGTGGTACAGGTTCAAAGGTAAAATTTGAAATGCCAAATTAGGGAAAAGTAAAGTGACGGTCAGGTGATACTCCGTTTCGCACGCCTAAAAATTCCGGCCGATTGTTTCTCATCCTCAATCCATGACCGTTACGGCCGGTCCACCTCTCCCTTCTCAGGAAATATGATGACTCCGTCTTCGTCGCATTATGTGACCTCCAGTAGTTACTGATCTGAGGAAATGGAGTATGGACACTCGTAAATCGCTCTCCAGGCCGCGAAATTGACCTATCTTTCGACGGTCCTCCCCTGGCCTGCGTCCTGTGGCTATTCTGGTTCCGCATTACCGGCGTGGGGTATTCTAGTGCTGCTACCATACCATTTTTGGATTTGTACTCTAGCGTTCGCTGACTGTGTCTGATGAAACTTTACGCTAGCACGACAGATGGTCGCCATATTTCTGCTAAAATTGTTCATATCCGCTCTGGGTTCATTAAAGCAATGGCCGTCGGAAGCTATTAGATACAGATGGAAGCACTACTGGCACCGTCTTCCTCCTTTTTTTATCCCTCTACTACCAGGTGGCTAGGCCGGCACACTATACCCTTACTACTTTCAGCCCTTTCGTTCTGCTCAAAGCTTGGCTCGTTTTGTTCATCGGATAGCTTCTTGACGTCCCTTCGCTCCTTCTCGCTGCGACTAGCAGGAAATCGAGGGCCCTTTTTCGCACAGTGATGCATTTGATCATTCACGAGACGTATGTGAGAAGATGTTTTGTACACAGTGGGTCTTCCCTTCTATGCGGTTGGCCTTGTGTACGACCTTCCTTTTCACAGAACCACAGGGCATCGCCTTGTTTCTCCATCTTGATATCACGCAAGGCTGCGGCACGTCTCTTATCACATATGTGCAAGTGCCGGTCTCTATTGTCAGTTATCATTTGCCTCGTTGTGATGTCTTTACGTGGATAGCATGGTTCTCTGGCACTTATTGCTCGATTCAGACTCGTCAGCTGTGGGTGTTATCGGTTCTCGTGAGTAAATGTTCGTGCACCATCATCTTGTGTCTGACACAGGTTTCTGTCAGCGTAACTTTGAAAGTTCGCTCTATTTGAGTTCATTTCAACAGCACTGCGCCGGTCAGGACCCCGTACTACTCATGGTACTGCCATGGTAAGTTATGCCCCATTGATAGACACTTACACATATAATACTTTTGGGACCCTTTTCAGGTCATAGATCACACACAGGTCGTACGGACGGTTCTTCGCAACTTCTTACTAAGTAACTTCTCAAGCGGCGAACAAGCCTCAGGGCCGGTTAGGCCCGATAAAAGAGCACGTGACTTTCGGCATTTCGGCAATCCACACGTGTATAAAGGGACGCGTTTTTGATCTGATTGGATGTGGGATCGCCTTCCTAACAATCATCTACCTTCCTTTACCGTTGTTCAACTTTTTCTGTCGACATGACCCCTCCGCGAATGGCACCCGGTCAACGAGGAGGGACTCCGTACCCTGCTAGGGCAACTACTCCCCAGCAGCGCGGAGGACCTTCTCGAGGGCGAGGTGGCGGGCGAGGAGGGGGAGTCGCTGGGAAGCAAGGCGCGCCCAGCGTCTCCGTTTCCTGTAAGTTCTGCGATATTTAGAAAGAGAAATATACCATTATTGTTCAAATCCTTATCGTTTGATTTTTGAAGCCTCCGTTCAGGTTGTCGGTGTTCCTCGTCCCGGATTCGGTAACGCAGGCAGGGCGACTACCATTCGCGTCAATGCATGCGAGATGAATATCCCAGATATTATGGTATATCATTACGACGGTAAGATGCTTTTCTTCTTTCCATCTCGATGGCTTACACGTCTTTAGTCGGTTGGTATCTTCAGGATCTGTTGTGGAATGCGTCGAATGATCTTTGGTTTCTCTAGCCATGGAAAAGTCACTCCGGGCGGCTTTCAACATGAAGCTGATCGAAGCGTTGCAAAGCCAGAACCCCGGCGTATTTATCAGAGCAGCTGTTTATGATGGCAAGAAGAATCTGTATACGAGCTATAGGTTGGATTTCGGCACTGAGCATTCCCGCCAGGTACGTTTCTTCATCCGAAGTATCGTTCGACTTATCTCAATACACACAGTTTAACGTTACTTGGACCGAAGAGAATCGAGTATCAAATTTTAAGATTACGATCACGGAAGCGAGGGAAATCAATATGGAGTAAATCTCGTTCATCTTCATAGCGGAAGATAAGAACTGATCATATACAGAGCCCTTCGCAGATATACGGCTGGTCAACAATCTTGGGATGAAAACGTTTCTACTGGTCTTACGGTATGTGTCGTCTTTTGTGGATGACTTGGCTTGACCTAAGAACGCTTCAGGCTTTGAACATCGTGATTCGCATGGAGCCATCTCTCAAACATCCATTTAGGGTGCGATCATTCTACAGTGACAAGACAAAAGCACCGCTAGCTAGTACGGGGCTGGAAGCCTGGCAAGGCTACTTCCAGTCTGTTCGACCTGCCTTAAATCGCCTGCTCGTCAACATAGACATTTCGACTGGCGTCTTTTTCAAACCAGGTTCGCTTATCGAGCTATGCCTCGAATTCTTCACCGGGAATCGGAGGGAGAACCCGGACAGATTTTTACGAGCTTCCGGTCCACAGGCGGTACCTCCAATGCAGCGACGCCGGCTTCAAAACTTTCTTTTCGGTGTCAAGGTTGAGTCTGAATCAGCAGCCAGTGGAAAGAAACTGCTCGCCATCCACAAACTGACGGAACGAGACGCCGCAACAACAATGTTTACTCCGGCTGGTGGTAGACAGACCAGCGTAGCGCAGTACTACGCTCAGGCCAACCAAAGGTTACGGTGTCCAAACATTATATGCATGCAGGTATGCCCCTTGTTGTCATAGTGGAGCAACGTGTTAAGTCTCTGCTAGACTGCAAAAGGTGCCGTGATACCTCTTGAGCGATGTTACGTCGTTCCTGGCCAGCTGTCTCGGTCTGAACTCAACCCGGATGCTACACGAGCCATGGTGGAGTTTGCTACGAAGAAGCCTGATGAGCGACTGAGGGCGATTCAGACTGGCATTCAGGTCGGATTTCTGTTCTATCGGATGCTATTTTCTCATTCTCTTTCCTTTAGGTCCTCGCATATGGCCAATCCCGTTACGTCCGAGATTTCGGACTAGACATCAAGACAGGTTCTCTTCCTATGGAGATCCCAGCTTGTATGATCAATGCGCCAGAGCTGAAGTATGGACCGGGATCTAAGCAAGCAACTGTTGTGAGTACTCTATTTCTGAAGGAAACATAAATATTCTCGCTAAACTGTCACTTATCAGCGGCCGAGGGATGGTGCTTGGAATCTGTAAGTATTGATCCCGCACAGTCGCCGTTCTGTAGACGATCTGACGCCGCTTAGGGTTGACAAGAAGTTTTTCAAGCCCATGTCACTTGGGACTTGGATTGTTGTAATATTCATGCCCCAGAACAGCTTCAGTCCAGATGACGCGAAGCGAACAATAACCGATCTCGTTCAAGGGTGTGAAGCCATTGGTGAGCTACTCCCCCCACCTTCGGAATGCCTGCGGGTCCTGAATAGTCCTCCCAGGTATGCCAGTTCCAGAAAAACAACCATTATTTGTCTATAAGAATCCCCAGAGCAACGTAGATCAGGTATGTGGGCATCGATTGGACTCATGACGCAACTCTAAATTATACTGGTTTCTGATAGTCTCTCTCGGATGCAGTGATGCAAAACAGATCTGAGCGCAAGACGACACCAACGTTCATTGTGTGTATCCTCCCTGACGGGAGCGACACGGATTTGTATACGGCAGTCAAACAGTAAGTATAGTTATCACTTCCAGGCCTAAGAGCATTACCGACGAATTACCATCTTTAGCTGCGGTGACATAAGGGTCTGTGGACCATAGCATTTCTTCGCCTATTATTCTTCCTCACCGTGATTGTTTACAGAGAGGTGTCGCTAATCAATGTCTCCGCGTCGGTAAATGTAGGAATGCCCGACCACAATACTGGGCCAATGTTGCACTGAAGTGAGTTATGATTGTCTTTAATAGTGGAACATGAAGAGACTGAGCGAACCTCGTCCAGGATTAATGCCAAGTTGGGCGGTGTCAATGTCATCCCCTACCCAAAGTTATCGCCGATCATCTCCGATCCTAGGCAGCCAACAATTGTCATGGGTAAGCCAGTCTCAAGGTACTTCGTAGCATAGCTGATGGTGCATACAGGCGCAGACGTCATGCATCCAGCCTCGGGCAGTCAATCACCCTCGTACGCTGCGGTGGTGGCGAACATTGATTCTGATGGTGCGCGATATATAGCCAAGACCACGCTTCAGTTAGGGAGGCAGGAGATGATTGGCGATTTGCGTTCGATGGCTAAGGTTTGGTCAAACCTTTATGCTAGCCATTCATATGTGACTCATGGGACAACAGGATCTTCTTTTAGCTTATATGGGTCATCGAAGTAGTACGGAGAAGGTCTCGACGCTGCCAAAGCGACTGATATTCTTCCGGGGTAGGTTGCTGAGTGGTCGCTGCTCTTGATAATGCTGACCTGCATATGTAGATGGTGTGTCTGAAGGCGAGTTCAGTCGCGTTCGAGATTTAGGTACGTTGCCAATGTGTCTGCACTTCCGTCCGTGCATTTTTGCTGACATCCTTCCTCCCTTAGAGCTTCCTCTGCTCCGTGGTACCAACCCTTATCTTCATCATATCTTTTCACTCTAACTATCTTAGATGCCTGCATTGATGCGAAGCTAAATCCACCTCCGAAAATTACATTCATCATCATCGGGAAGCGTCATCATATGAGGTTTCTCATTTTGTATTTCTACTGTGCCATCAGTTACTGATTCCTCTCTTTACCAGGTCCTTCCCAAAGAGCGAGAAAGACAAGGACGTGAAAATTGAGAACGTCCTTCCCGGTACCATTATTGATCAGGCCATCACTAATCCGGTGGAATTCGACTTTTACCTTCAGAGCCACGATGGACTTCCGGGTACAAGTTCACACTATAACGTATGTTAGCTTTCAATTACAATTATATTTCGACTGATCAACCTAACATCTAGGTTGTTTACGATGTGAGTCGCTCACTTGGCATGTTCTATGTCGATGTTAACCATTGTTCGTGCCTTACAGGAATCCGGGTTTAGGTAGGTCCTCCATTTCTTGACTGAGATCCACACCAGGCTCACTCTCTGTACAGCGCGGATGCGATCCAATCGCTAGCTTATACCCTTTGTTTCACCTATGCCAGATCGACGCATTCGGTGTCCATCCCTACGCCCATCTATTGTGCGTCCTTTCTTCTCTCTACAATCTCATTTGCCTATGTATATGTCAGATGCCCACATTGTTTGCAGTCGGGCAAAGACGCATTACGATCCTCAAGGTCCACCGTCGTCGGTTGTGTCTGGGGGCACGCAGATGCGAGAAGATATGGATACTGTATGCGAGCGCATGGAAAAAACCGTAACGCGTAACACTGGACCTGTTTCGTCACTTATCTGGACGTGCGTAACGCATAACGATTGCTTCGTTTCCAATTTTTTTCGTTACTGCTTGAAAAAGTTCAAGAAATTCACCGTAATAGTTCAATCCCACCTACAGTCATTGCTTAATTCGGAAACCATAACACGTAACTCCAGGTCCGTTTCCAAGTTTCTTTCCATCCTGACCATAATGCTCACTTTGGGGTTACTTCCCTACGTTCACGTACGGTATTGTTTGCAGTCGGGCAAAGACGCATTACGACCCTCAGGGTTCACTATCGTCAGTCGTGTCTGGGGGCACGCAGACGCGGGAGAAGACACTCAATACGCATCGAGGCAAGTACCACCCAGTGCATGATGTTCAGTCAAAGAGGATGTATTTCATGGTGAGTGATGCTTTTTCAATTTTTGCTACTAATAAGGCTGAAGCTGTCTTTCGCAGTAATCTTCCACCGTTGTTATTCCTTTCAGTTGTCACCTATCTTTCCGATTACTGAATACCAAAGGCCTCTCAATAAGCCAGTATCTTCTTACTACTTGTACTTACATCTTCGTCATCATATCAAATGTATTAAACTGTGTATTTGGATGTTTTCTGCTCCATAAGTTGCATTCCAATGAGTGTTTTATCTGTTGACGTGGGCTGTGAGGAGCGCCGAATAAGGTGTTGCGTCTTGCATCCCACCTCTTATTCAAAGTATAAAATGGCGAGTCTCTCCTCCGCATGTCAGGATGCATAATGGCCTTCTCGTTCATTCGATTCAATCAGAAACGATGATATATTCACATCTGCACTACGGGTTGATACTGCTCTTACAATTTGACTAACTGCGAGGCTTCACCGCAAAAGCGCTGGAACCAATTCGCTATTCCTCGCGCAGACTCTTCCTTTGCCCATCCTATCGATCATCTCAGTCAACCAGGAATACATCATAAAATTCCGATAAACGTACGAGTATCGCCAACGTTAGGGTCGCCTCTCAAAGCGAATCCATGTTTCACACCGGAAAAGACCTGAAAACAGTAGCTGGCCTTGTTTTCAATTAGGATGTCCTCAGCGCGTCGACGAGATTCCAGAGGAAAGGTATGGTCGATTTCTGTTGGTGACGATGAGCTGAAGCGATTTGAAAAACAACCAAAGGAGATGGTACGTGCCCGCGCATGATAGAAAGAGAGGTTCTGGAACCAAGAGTATCAGTCTTGGAACATCAGAAAGATAGGAAGGCGAGATTACTCTTGATATTCTTAAAGTGATCTTCAGTAAGGAATGCAGGATGCCCGATAGCACCTAATATTCGATGTATCAAGAAAGGATTCTCTAGCAAGTATTTGCTTAATACGTACCAGCCACGATATCTCCGCTAGCTGCGAGATCCAAAACGAATGGGGCACCAAAGCAGTACCCCACAGCTGTGTACTGCGCATCTCGACCTGTTCCACCACGTAAGATTGAAAAAAACCCCCGAAAATACAATACCACTTGCCATACTTCTCCCGAATAGCTTCCAGCCCATCGGGGCATCATATCCTTTGCTTGCTGCTTCGACTTTGCCAACCATGCCGGCCTATCAAAGTCCGGCTCTGTGTGTATATGCACCGGGTCTCCAAGAAAATAGTCGACCCCTACGACGAAGAATCCTATCGATTGTCGTTATCGTCAGCAGTCAAAAGCTGCCGTATGAACAGAAACAGACCTTGAGAAGCGAAATAATCCTGAACAAGCTGGTTGTTGACGTAGAAAGGGCCGTAGACGTCAGCAAAATACAACACAACCCTCGGTTTTTGAGCAGTCTTGCCGCCGGACGGAGGCTCTGAAACGTAGGTTGGTACACCAGCAATGGCATCGGTCCTCCCGATGGGTGTCCCTTCATGCTTTACCGCGGTAAAACAGCATTCCCCAAGAGAGCCTGCGAGAACGGGAGAGGTCATCGTGGGAGTTCAGAGTGGAGATGCATGTAGTCAGCAAGGGGGTTTGAGTATTGATCATGTGTCTTGCGTGTAGGAAAGAAAGGTATTGAATCGGAGATAAAAATAGTGTCCTGAGTCGAGGAACTCCGAAGGTGGAAAGTTCAGATCCTGTTGAGGCAATTCGCGTAATCGAATAAAAGAACGTGGGTTGAATTATTGGGTGGTATTCTAGGATAGGTAGCCGATGGTCGGAACTATATCTTTGACGCATTCGTGCGTAGGAAGTACCCAGCAATGCAGAGCACCAAATCGTATTTAGCCAGCATTGCACAAATTCTCTTCTTGGACTCACTGTGTATATCGCTTGAGTTTCTGGTACACGTAACCGCCAATGTAAAAACTCACGCATATCTCTAACACTCCACGCAAAACACATTTTAATCATACCGCGCAGCGACGCTGATGTTTAAATCTTTTTTATTTTATTTTAATTCGTTTTGAGGTATATTGGTATAAGATGTCCACGATAAACAAGTAAAGAAAAGCACTAATGTATGTGCAAATCGATCTTTCGCAGTTGGCTAAGATGGCCAGGCTTTCGGCACGATGGGCATCCCTGACTCTTTTCAAAAGTCTGACGGATGCATCTACGGTAAACGTCAGTCGGAATACTCTTGTATTGTAAAAAAAAAACCAGACATACGATGAACAGAATACGTGCCCACACTTTGTCACGCTCATCTTCGATGATGGACACAAGCATACCGGGCATGTCTGCTTCATGGTGGCTTTCGGTACTGGTTGGCGTTGCAAGCGTTTCTTGAGATTCTATCGAGTACACCATCAGACTTGGCAATAACAGAGGAATAAGCGAGCTTACCAAGATCGCAATGCCAACCTCCACCCGGGACATAGGAGCCTGCTCCTCGACTTTTTCGAGGGCTACAGGATCTTCCCGGTTCTCCTTTTGCTCTTGCTGCCGAGCCAGCTCATCTTCCCACCCTTCGGCGCGCTTCTCACGATCGCCTTCTTCATAATCACGGTGGTGACGAGCCGATTGCTCATAATGCTGTTCATAGTTATTAGCAAAAGTCGCGGCTGGAACTGAACGAGGACCCACGATTTTAAGAGCAGAGGAGGACTGGAACTCCTTATCGCAATCATCACAATAGTGATGGTAATCCGAAAGGATCAGATGCTGGAAGGGAACCAGTCAGACGACGTCGGCGCACGACAACAAAAGGGGCCTACCGTCTTGTAGGAGTTGTTGTTCAAGAATCCCCGCTTGCACGTACCGCAATACGGGTGTCGACCAGAAAAGTCGAGATGATTCCGCATTAGCTCGATCGACCATAGTGTCTGGTCGCATCGAGTGCAATATTGCGGATTAAATTCCTCTTCAGGACGAAGAGTTACAGTGGAAGACGAAGCTTCGCACGTGTTGGTGGTGTTTGTAGAGCGCAGTTGATAGTGGTTGGTGTTCATGTTTGTGATGGAAGGAATCAGGTTCCACGGGGGCATTTTATACGAGGAAAGGGGGAGCTGGTGTCTCACACCGGAGAGATTGCCTCCGGGAGCAGTGAGACAATTCGTAGATGCCTGTATTGACCCGTGGACAACTGTTGGTCCATGACTGTACCAGACGTCTGCGCAAGTTTGAATCTAGCCTAAGTGAGCTTGGCACCACCACAGACATGGCCTCCTTCAAGTCAGGAACGGTCAACAACTGCAGCGACCACGATTATAGGAGTACCTTACCTGACCCCTCCGGTGGTCTCACAATCCATCTCGCCGGTACGTGAAACGAAAGCAAAGCCGAGACGCGACAACTTGCTGGAAGCCAGATGACGAGAAACAAGTACCGTTATCTCTTATATCCGCGGGTAATCAAAGTCGACTCCACCTGAGTGCAACGAGTGAGTGCGGGGCATTATAACGTAGACTGTAACACTTTACCTTCGAGATTTTCCTATCGGGTTGAACAGACTGCTGAAACGTTTGGCGCCCACAACGATGAGAACATGCCGAACTAGTAGACGCCGACGAAACCGAGGCCAAGCACGCCCGGAATACGTAAATGCAGGCAGTCCATGCAAGCCCACCCCTGCACCTTCTTGATTTGAGAACAAAGGAGGGCACAAACGATGGCAAGCATACCTCATCTAATACTTGTGGCAGCGACGGGGTAGCGATACACGCATGCTCAGATGATCCACGAATTTTGGCTTCGACGTCTGCTACAGGTTCAACAGACCCAAGGCGATGATGATCCGCCTGATACATCTTCAGAAACAGATAGCCATGGTCATGAATTTGACATACCAAACACGGTCGACAAGGTTTCTAGGGAGCCCGTCTTTGAACCTTACCGTCCTAGCGGAACACTGCTGAAAAAACCGCAGATTCGTTCAGCCATTCAGAACCTGGAGAAAATAGCATAGCTCCAAGATCCAGCCCAGCTGGTTTGTCGTAGCGAGAAAAGGTAGGTCTTCCGGTTCCGATTAACTGATAGCAAAACAGGTCAGCATTGCTGTAATGAGCCATTGAATATACACGGTATACCTCGCTGTTATACCTACGGCAACAGTAATGCTGCTCTAGGATGCGGCATGACGTATTGTCAGCAGTGGAATTATCAGACACCTATACGATCCTTTGTAAATCGGTCCGAGAACTCTAGGAGGTGTTAAGACACGTACCCAGCCAAAACAGATGGGCCTAGCCACCCGAACAGCATCTTGATACAACTGTATCGTCCCCTCCGCCTGTCTCTGCAGTAAAGGCAGATGGCAGCTGCATTGGGAAACGATAAAATGAATGAAAAGGAGCGAGAAGCTTGCTTGCAGTGGGAGAGAGGAAGAGCGTCCGTGGTCGTTTGCGTTGCGTATATGCCGATGATGCTCAAGGTAGATGACCCTGGATAAGATTCAGTTAAGAAGTGTCTTCTTGGGATAACAGGCGTACCCTGTCTCGCATAACTGTAACTGCTGCCTTCCTTACATTCAAACCGCGGTACATACTGAAGAACGATCTACGGCCTGGTTCAGTCGTTCAACATACAATCCAGAAGCATTGGAGGCGATCCATACCTAGCAAGGGCGAGCAGCTCTGAGAACACCACCAGGCCTAACAGCGAAACTCCAGTCTTCGGCGCACATAACGATGATCAGACTGATACGCTTTCAGAATAAAACAGTCATGGCTATAAAGCAGGCGTACTGAACACGAGATATTAGCTTTCTGCAATGCTTAGGAAACCTCCGCCTATATGCGACTGACTGAAGACGGCGTACACTGCTGAACATCCTCTTCAGTACATCTGGTAGTATCAAAATCACGAAAAGCATAAGAGCGCCTATATCATCCTTGGTAAGAGAACCAATGAATACAAATAGAGCAGAAACACATACCCGTCGTCACACTGGGGCCGGAGCAACAAGTATCTAGTGTAAGCGAGCACTGGCACTCTGACAGGCGTGCTGTTAGCTACCATTACCGTGAGACGTAAGAATTCAACAGAAATCCACTCACCCAGGCTAGTTAACAGCACATCATTTCGCCTTTCCGTATCTTTTTCAGTACTGGATAGCACAAAAAAGCGGTAGTCTCTTCAGTGGAGCTTGATGCGGCCTCGCAGCGTAAGTCGGCAGTACAACCATCGTAACGTATGGCACGCCAGGGTGGTCGTAGGCGGCCACGCCATGCAGTGAAAAGGTCTCCTCCTGCCTTTGGGTTGGGAGAATGCTATATGAACTTCAGCAAAAAGAAGAATTCGCTTTGGGTGACCGGTGTACCACGTCTTGATTGAACCTGGCATAGATCCTTCCCAGCTGCGGCGAGTGGCACCATCACTACATATAGAATAGCGATCCTTCTCAGATTGCTCAAAGTGAGGCTCAGCAGAGTTGGGTTTCAGGACATACCTTGAGCCCTCCAACGCCGCCCTGGATCAGTCCGCCTCGCTATCGCCAGCCTCGTGTTCTTTCCTACCCAATCACCTCTCGGACAGCGGAAAAAGCCAACCCGGTCACACCGCTGGCGGGTCACAAAGGCACTGTTGTCGTGTCTCTTGAGAAGAACTGTGTCCAGGAAGGGCGAAACGATTCTAAGCGGCAAAGGTTGTGAATGGAAGAAGAAAAATAACCGATCCCGATGGTCATTGGATAAAAAGTTGTTGATATTTGTCATTGGCCTGCATCGGCGCGACTGACTGCACAGCCACCGTCGGCCTTGAGAGAGGACGCTCTTTCGTTGACGCGACGATGATGCTGAACGACGTGTCAGTGAAGTTCGAAAAATAACTTGCATACTAAACTTTTGTTTAGGTATGCGTTACAGACTCCTCCTGTCGTATGCACGGAGAAACATCTCCTCGTCGTCTCTTCCATCATCTGCCCCATCGTCTTAGGTTTTCGTTAAGGTCTGATAAACAGACAGCTCGAGGAGATACAAAGTGACAGAGTGGCACCTTCCCCGACGCATTTGACATTCTTTCAGCTCATCGGGCACTAAGTAATCTGAGGGACTACCTTCCATGTGAAGAAAGCTTTCCAATTGTTTGAAAACTTCTATCTACCCTTGATAATCATATTATTCTTTGCCACTTATTTTACCACATGATAAATAATGAAAGCTTCTATTTGCTTTCCTCACCCTTCCGGAAATCATCGTTAAAACGCGCTGATGTGAAATCCAATCCGTTCTTTGTACCATTATAATAATTCTCCGGTAATGTCATTATTGTACAAAATACAAAATAGGATATGAAAACATCGTCATCCAGGTAAAGTTCTCAGCTAGGCTTATAATTCTCCAGTATTTCCTTCGACAACTTAATCCCAACATCGTACCCATTATCCACCAAGCCCTATGTACACCCCGGCACTTATTCCGGTGCTTCACCCACGGACTCAAGTAGTATGTAGCGGGTTTGCCACTCACGGTGCTCGTGTTTCTCCTCTCAAGCTGCATGGCTTTCCCACAGCCTCTACAAACTACCTTCTGTGGTTTAATAGACCCTTTCTGTACCCACGGGTCCTGCTGCAGGAAATAAAGATGCTCCGCATCGCTCTTGTTCCTCTTTTCTCCGGGAAGCGTTTGGGAAACATGTCAGAGTTGAGGAAAAGAACGGTCAGCTGGTCGACGCCTGGATTTGACGCGTGAGCTATTTTCCTATGACAAGACGTCGGGAAGAGATCCCATTAGAGTAATGATATAAAAAGGTACCGTGTCAGGCATTCAACTGGCTCTTCAGCTTCCTTATGCCTGTCGGTTACCCCGTAAACACACGGCAATGCACAATAGGACACGAATTCTACCTTTTGTAAACAGAAACCTCCCCCCTCTCGTCAGTATCCGACCCGACGGCCCCGCTGAGATCCCACGTCAGATACATATCAGGGTCGCCGAGCAAAGTATCCTTCCCCCTCACCTGGTGAGCATGGTGTGGCGAGGTGCCTCCCCATACTCCAACCGTAATCGTTTGGACCCCCGTTCAGGCCGCGAGGACAATCTAAAAATGACAGCGTAAGTTGAATATCATGAGCACGAGGGAGACTGACTTACAGGGACGAAATCTCCTTCCCCCTTCTGAACCATCGCATAAGAGGTGACAGTCGACCTATAGTATTTCCGACAGCTTCGTCGAGGTTCCTTTTAGGTGCGCGAGACGTAGATAACTTCAGCCTAGTCAGCGTAATGAGTGCTTTCAATGCGTCTCTTTCGGCGCTGAGGATAGACGGATCAACATAGCCAGGAACAATGACACGGTCTGTGAACCGGTACAGTGAGTAGTCACTGCAGTTGCATCGAGCATCGTCAGCCATTTCAGCAGAGGAAGGAAGCAAATTTATCGAGGAGAGGAAAGAATAAATGGGAAGGGAACCGAACGAATACAGGACCCGTGTTTATACCCCTCGAGGTTAGGGCAAAAGTCCGGACAAAATGGGTGGTTTTTGGACTCGAGGTTGAGGGCAAATCCGGACAAAATGGCTGCTAGGTGGCCGGAGGTTAGATCAACAATCCGGACAAGTGACGACAACTACAGCAATGTTAGGCCATAGTCCGGACACGACAGCCGGCATGTGCCGACTGACCATTGTCCACTTATACTACTGACTATTATTAGCCGTTAGACTTTGTTCCTACAGGTTCCTACTTTGTTCGAAGCCATTTCTTGTTCCTTTGTCCTATTGCGAATTTTCCATCGACACCCAACTGAGTTTAATCAATATTCCTGGCAAAGAACGACGACCAAAAAGACGCTGAATTTGAATAAGCCCTGTAGAATACTGTCCTTTTGAATTTTACTACAATCCTTCGCCCTGCTAGCATTATTATGCATGAAATACTACCTGTCTATGCCGACGATGAACTCGATGAGCTCACCAAGCTCGACGCCGCCTGGAACAAGAATGAATGGATTGGCCGTGGTCGCAGCGACAAGGATGTTCCATACAATATTGCGAAGCACAGAGAATTTGAAAAAATAAAAATAAAAATAAAAAATTCTAGCGATTTTTTACAATTTTCTACGATTTTTTTGCGATTTTGGAAAGTTAGGGGAGAAATCCGGACAAATTGGCCGGTAGGGCTAGCTTAGGGGAAGAATCCGGACAGATTTTGAGACTTCTGCAGGCGAAAAGTCCGGACAAAATCTTGGATTTGGCCAAAATTTGGCCCTAACCTCTGAGGGCATAAACACGGGTCCTACGAATACCCAGCTTTTTGAGGAGGGTGCACGTACACGTGATGGGAGAACCAGTTCGAAGCATGTCGCGAGGGCCTTATTCCTAGTGAGGCAACTTTGAATCCTGGGATTGGATGTCGAGATGGTGAACTTCCTAGCTCAGGGGATTTAGGCTTTACACAACCTGGGGGGGCCCGAGATAGGGTACCGGATGGGTTTACTTGCTTGACAGAGAATAAAGCAAGTCGTCAGCCTGGGCTCCAATGTGAAACGGGGTCAGCGGGAGCTTTTGTTACGTAGTCGAGCAGGAAGATTGTGACAGTTCTGGGCAGAATTAGGAGTCGTCCATAGTGCCAGGGAGAAGGAGTGCGGTCCGGTCCCGAGGCTTGAGATGCGATTCGTGCCGTACGGGTGCCCATTCTCTATGGCCAGCACTCAACCACGACGGGAACTATGCACCCGTTGAATCGCGTTTGCCCGAACAGCAGTAAGAATTCGTAACTGTCTACAAGAATAGATATTCCTTCGATCTTCGAGCCGTTCAATTAGAATTCAGAACGAGCGGTTATCAAATCTGATTATCAGGGAAGCCAATCCCCGATTGTGCTAAATTACACGAGCAATTTAGATTTTTGACGGATGGACACGGGTTAGAGATAAGTTATAACAGGCGTAGTCTGGCTGGTATGAAATTTTTTTATCTCCCTTAAACGATGCGAGACAGAATCCAAAAACGACGGATATCCCTGGGCCCTACAGATAATAATCAAGGTGAATCAGGTTCATCGGTAAATCCGTAATTTCATACGGGGTTGACCTTGCTGTTATTCAATTTGAATTTGGAATGCCGCCACTAAGGTCTATGTTAACTTATCTGGAATCGAGACAAGTCAATGCCAGGCGCCCCTGCGCAAAAGGCAGTGTATTCCGTGAGAGACAATGACTTCCCTAGATAGCCAGCCGGGCATAGCCCAATCCAGTCTGAGGTCCAGCAGTGAAAATTTCCTACGCGACACGGGATGGGGTTGAAGAAGCCGATCGGTGGCTGTGACTAGACTCGATCTCTCACCGCCACCACAATGCACCTGACGACGTTCCATGGGCTCGAATTTTTCGGCATTATCCCTTACATGCCTACGCAGTCCGCAAAGTAAACTATGACCATCAGGAGAAGATAACAAGCCGACTCGGAGTTGAAAGTTTCCGTGGCTAACTCGGGACCGGCTAGGCCATCCGATAATTTTACGTTGTTTCGGGGCCTTTCGTTCACCTGTAACTCGGGAACCTGACCTATACCTCCTTCTCAAGGCGCGTGAATCCCTGGTTGCGTCTATTCCCCTTCAAGTATGCTTCCAATATAGCTATGCATATCAGGCTGAAATGCTCCGCGATAATGCCATGTCAAGAGGGTTCAACCGTGCCACTAATATCAGGTAAGTTTCTCGTATACGGGTATTCCGGCCGCAGGTAGTAAATGTCTAATAAATGCCAGTTGCAGTCCCCTAACTTTGGCTCGTGGTTCGGCCCTTGGCAATAGTCGGCTCCGAACCTCGTGTTCCTTGCCACTGACTTGGACAGAATAGAAGGCCAAACTTGCACTCGAGTCAGTCCTACAGTCTTTTATTTTTTGCAATGTGGAGCACCTTATTTACATCTGGCTGCACAGTACGCTTCCCAATCTTCTGATGTTGCTCGTTTTGCGTGATGACTCAACTGACCATTCTTGACTCGACTATTCCCCTTGAGGAAGAACTCTTCCTGACTACGATGCCGGCGACTACTGTCCCATCCTTATGGTTTATTACAAAATGGCTTCTCAAAGGTCTTCAATACCTTCACCATGATTGTCATATCATTCACACTGGTCAGCCCTTCTGTTCTTCAAAAACATGCCTTTCTCATTCCCTCTCAGATTATTCAACATTCTTCTTGCAATGGAGGATCCCAGAACATTCTGCTGAAGTACGAAAGCGATACTTCAGATAACCCTGCTGCGAGGAAGGTCCTCATCGATCGTGCAATATACGTATCTGACGGTGATTTCGGAGCAATACCGTACCCATCCCTGTGATCTCTGACTTCGGCAATGCGGTTCGGGGCGACCAAGGCGTCGGTCATCATTTTATCCAGCCATATGAGTTTCGTACGCCAGAAGTCAGCTTCGGAATGCCCTGGTCATACAGGCTGATACCTGGAACCTTGGTGTACTGGTACGGGTTTGCCGTCAGCTTCTACTTTCCGTCAGATCTCCTCATGACCGCTCAAGTTGCAGGTATTCGAGTGTCTGGATGTGAAATCTCCCTATTAACGGCGCTAAAGGACATTTCGACATCTTTGTACAGATTGCGCAAATTATACGTCTCCCTGGCCCTCCCCCCGCAGAACTCATAGCGAAGATACATACAAAGTACAGGACGATTTAATTCGATGGAGAAGGTTGAGCCACTCATAGTTGACAAAACCCATTATTCAGGTTTCAAGATTACTATCCGCCTGGGAACGAAGGGACATTCGAAGCTGTGTTTTCTACGATTCCGAATTCTCCGGACAACAAGGGGACGATCGACGCGTTTCGAAGCGGATACTCAGGTGCTTTCCTGAGGAAGGTCACCCATCAACGAACTTCTAAAGATTCATGGATGCTGTCCATTCATGAAAAACTAATGACATAAACGTGTTTTAGTCGATGATCGTCGCTCTCGAACAGAATGGTTGTAATCGGTCAGCCGACGTTCTTAACATGGTCTACCTTGCACCTATACCTGGTAGTATGCTGTACTACACGTCTATGAAAAGGTGGGTCTTCTGTAAATGAAGAAATATTCAGCTGAGAAGACGCATTCAATTTTGTAGCGGGAAGATTCCCGTGAGAACAGAGAGTCGTCAACAGGTAGGTGTAGAAGTAATGAAAATAGACAGAGGTAATTGATCGTCTTCTTTAGTCTGAAACGCGAGAAACCCACTTCCTATTTTTCCGACTTGTGAGAGTAATGGGTTAAACGTGCCGATATCAATGATCTCAGTGAGTATGCACTGCTACAATCTGATGTACCATCATTTTTTGATGTGAAGTCAAGATATGCATGCGGCGTCTGCACCATGAAAGCACAGCACTGATTCGGAGGACTCGCCAAAATATACCCACAAGCACGGGTGCGGATTCCTGTCATTGTATCTCAGTTGCAAACGTATGTCTACCCCTTCGCGTTCCGTGTATATTGTGATATTGAAATACTACAGCTTTCCACGGAAGCTCTGATAAACTCTAACACGAGCTGGTTAGTTCGAAGACGTCCTGATTTATTTGCCCGCAAATCTTAATGACAGGAACGAGACGACAACCCCTTCGGCATTCCTTGCAGTTAGGCTTGAACGTGAAACTATGAACCTTGAAACCGTACCAGAATCCCAGCCTGCGCATAGATAAGGGCACCCATCCCCTCAGGCTACAAGGGTGATCGCTCTCACGATATCTGATTTATCGGGATTATTATTAAAAAGGTACACCCAGGTGATTCGCTCTCAGTCTTAAACAAGTCTCATCCTCCCATTAGTATGATACGACTCTCGGATAATAAGCTTCTTTAGGCATCGGTGCCCTGATGATCGACTCATTCATGAATGCTCTTTCGCAACTCTTACGCAGCATATGAGTTCACGCTCGAAACCGACGCTAAGCGCTCCCTGTACATCATAACGAAGATCCAATTCTATGTCTACAATATTGACAGTTCCAGATTCGTCCCTGAACCAGTGCTAATAGGTGTATCAAGAAAGCTCTCGCATCAGCCATCATCTAGTTCAGCATGTGATCGCTGATAGGTGCCTTGCCCATACGATGTACACCTAGTAATCACGGACCTGATTAAGGTGCAGCCCCAAATGAAGCGTTAGCTCACGGGCTCGTATCCTTACCAGGCCTCTTAAAGACGACACAATGTCCCGGCAGCCGTCAACAATCCTCTCGATTCATGGCACTAAGCAACTTTGAACTGGCACTGGCTCTTAGTAACTTTGTCGGAAGCGCTCTTTCCTCTCTAGGTTCAGGATTTATTATCATCTGCTACGTATTCCTCCCGTTGAACAAACATTATCGACACCTACTCATTCTGAACTTGGCAATTGCAGGTGAGCGTCAATCTATTCACCGATAGGATAGATGCTCATCGAAAATGACTAGATTTTATCAATGCTACGACCAATGTAATATCTGGAACCGTCGTTCTCGCTACTGGTCCTTTATCCCGAACTCCAGCTTGTATCGCAAATGGATTTATCGAGCAACTTTCTGTTCAAGTAAGTTCATATGGTCTGTATGTGTATTGTGGAGAGACTAAAACACGACCTACACAGGCGACCGATACATCCATCCTGGCATTCTCTATAGTCACCATCCTGATTACGGTCACTGTGTCTCATGAGTCCTCATGGACAGCAAAATCGAGTAAAGGCAAAGAGAGGTTTGTAGTCATGGTCTGTTGTTGTACATGGGTGATGCCTATCCTGACAAGTAGGCGATATTTTTCTTTGTACTCATACACATAACTGACTATCTAATTCTCAGGCTTTATTGCGCTCGGGAAGGGTCACTATACGGCAGTCTCTGGTAACTGGTGGTAGGAGGATCCTTTCCTATGATCATGTCTTTCGATGATAGAGTCTCTCAGCTGGCTGACACCAGAGCCTGTCTATGTGCGCTACGTACTGACTCACGGGTGGCGTTTCCTGTTCATATTTATCGAGATAGGTACGTCGGACTGATGGCGTAGCTTAAACAATGCTGATATACGCGATGCAGGCCTTTACACATACCTATCTATCTATCTACGAAGGCGAATCAAGCTCGTCAGCTTAGTTTCAACACAGAATACCCCTCATTCAAGGATGAACTTGCGCAACAGATTCCGTGATCTTGAACAGTCGTCGGGTTCAATTCAGATGCACCAGCTTCCCATCAAGATCCCCTGCGATCAATCAGAGTCGATGCCCTGCGTTGAATCCAAAAATGACCCGTCTTCACCTCGAAGTGTTTTTTCAGGTGCGCCCACTTGTTCCCACGACCAATAAAAGCAAATCTCGAGAATTTTGCTTTTGAACGCGTATCCAATCGCGTATATCATACTCTGGATACCTGGGATCTGTATTCGCCTCGTCGAGGCATCAGGACACTCGTCTAGAGTTCTGCAAATCATGCAGGCATCGACGCAGTTCGTTGGGTTTGCCAACGCATTGACGTATGGTTGGAATGAAAGCGTGGCGAAGAGCATAAGAGAGACAGTAACTCGAAGAGGGTTACAGTGACTTGGAGTTTGGCTTTGGTCAATGAGGAGACTGACGAATCTAGAACGTGTAAGTATAGCAATGGCTTGAGAGAAAGAGGACGGCCACCTTCAGAGTGACAATTGTGCTTGTATGTGATGAAATCAAAGACGAAGTAAATTGCATTAACGGATCCTGTCTTTACCCTGCGAGCATCCAAGCTATCTGGGAAGTTGTCTCAATAAAGAGAACTAAACATGGATAGAATACGTCTCCGAACTTCGTCACGCCCATGTTTGATAATGAACAAAACACACTCGGGCATATTTGCTTCACGGTAGCTTTCAGCATTTGTTAAGATTCTATTTAGTATGAAATTAGCACGCGCAACGGATGAAGGTTTAAACGAACCTGCTACATCGCAATGAAAACTTCCGCCAGGGACATCGGAGCATCTTACTCTACTTTCTGGAGGACGACGGGATGTTCCTGGGTATTCTCTTGCTCTTGCTAGTGTGGTGCTTCAAGAATGTGTCACTTAAAATACCCGATTTAACGAGTATTTCGGGCTCTGAACATGCGCATAAATCTACCAGTCTGTCTGAATAATACCTTCTTCCTTGTCCACTCCCGCGCCAGACTAAGCATGGCGGAGAATCTTCTGGACGGTTTAGTAACATATCAAGCATATATTTAGCGTACTTATATGGGATAAGATGTATACATCGACAGGCAACAATTGGACAACAATGAGTACGGTTGGGTTATCGGCACAGCCACGACTCAGCCATATTGGGGCTCATATAGTTTGTCCATATTTTTTTCACACGTCGATCACGCAATCTCCCCGGATTTCATCCTTCCTCTTCGGATTCTCTTCCACTCATTCACCGTCACCGTCGTTCTGATTTTTTAACAAACCTGTGGCGACTGCTTGAAGTCTTCAGTATATCATATCAGAGCTCGTCTTGTGTCCTGGTATGCAAGACAGCGGACACGGAAAGGGCGTTTGGGTCCTGGGAGTACATTTGGTCTGCTATCGTGCCGTGACTCGTCTTGGTATCATTAATCTTAAGGACTCCCATAGATTGGATACCGTCCATATGGATCGTCACAGGCTCCGTAAAAGGATTACCACTGCCGTCTTGCACTGTTCCCGGCGGAAGTTCGTGGCCATTCAGAATCCAGGTATTCTTACAAAAAAGAGCCTTCAATACGATTATCTGCTGCGTGGAGAGCATTAACATATCCCAAGTGTATGTACGTGTCACTCGGATATCGAAATGGTCTTTTACTAAGTAATTCCCATAGACGTTGAGCATCATCAGTAATGCACGAGACGCGCCCAGGCCCTGTTTTTGGTTTGTTTCACTGGATCATGTTTTGGTTTGTTCTTTTCATGCCACGTAGAACATTTATGCCGATTTTTGGAGGGGTTACGTTAGGACAGGGATTCGTGGTCACTCGGCTCACGACTGGAAGCGTTAGAACTTTTCGTCACCAATCACCTGTGAGGGCACGCCGACTGTTGGTGATCCATTTCCGTTTTATCAGCCTTAATTTCGGATTGACGACGGAGAATATGCAGGCCGATGCTTCAAAGCGTTTCAGTCTTCGAAGGCCCTTTCTGCAGAAGCACCTTCGCCACAATGTCCTGTGGTATTGTTATCTCCTTCTGGCAACAGCAAAATGCGTGTTCTCACCCGATGCATCCAGACCACCGGCTTCGTAGGCTGGTATCCTGTTTTAGATGGATAGGGCACCCTAGTCGGACGGGTTTGTTTCTCGCTTGGACCTATGTTCCTTGAAAGTTCACATGTTCTTGACCGTGGCCGCAAAAGTCTGATAAACTACCAGGTACCCTTGAGCGAATAACATACCCAGGATGTCAGTCTGTTTCTCCGCCACTACACTTGATATTGGACATGCGTTGTGGACGACATTCCGGGAATCCTACAGTACGTTATCATACTTCTTCCTCGGATAACCAAAGTTTAATCCTCCATCATAGGTGCCTGCTTGAACAGTCTCCCGAAGTGTATGGCTTCAGTGAAGTCGGACTTCAGAGACGACTTGGACTTAGCACCTCACACCGTCACTTGGAGATGATAAATGAAAGTCCTGCTCTCCCCCTTCTCGATGGCCTTGGCTTGAATTAGCCTCAAGGTTCCTGCTGGAAGGATTATATGCCCATGATGTCAACGCGCCGCTGATATTCAAATTTAACGCTACTCTTACGTGGTGGCGTTCAGCTACGAAGTCCCGTCACCCTTAACAAAGATCAAGGGACGATGCTTCGACGTATCACTACGTGCTTTCGGGATATCATTGGCTGTTCCCTCAAACATGAGGTGGCTTCATAACTTCTTAGCCGGTTATTGGCGCGCCTCGAGGTAGGGGTTCTCGGGAAAACACCACTCAGAGATTCGGAAGTCGGACCTGAGGCCTGAGGTCTGGGAATCATCCCGAAGAATTCAGATGGGAGAACGAACCGCGCGCCGACAGATGTCTTGCTGTTTCATGGCCATCCTCCCTTTGTAAAGCTTACGTGAACTATGCATGAAGTTCTGCCCGATGAAATGTTATGCAACTGAAACGTTATCTGCTTATTCTGCGTGATTCATTGATGATGTCAAGTTGCACATACGGTTCGCCATATCCCCGTCCTACCAGTGGGAAATGCATCAAGATGAACGGATGCCCTAGGTTTCTTAGAGGCCATACGACAATGTAATCGTTGTGGGATTCGATACAACTATCTCGTGAAGTCCAAGGGCTCGCGACTTGTCAGGCCAACAGAGAGAGAACCGCGCCAAGAACAACTCTAAGAAATGTTCGATGGATAACAATCGCTAATTTGAGGTTTCATACTGCAACGATTCAGAGAAATGCAGAACTAGAGACAAGCTAAGTTGAGGTCATCTTCATTTCGGCTCGAATTCGACCAGGTTGTGGCACAGCCACTATATGTCTACGTCGTCCCCTTCCATGATCCATTACCGCGTCACGCAGACGATACCAAATGGCGCTAAGCAATCCATAGTACGATAGCCATCACTAACGGAGCATACTTATTTTCTTCTAGCCTAACATTACTATTGCCTGAAACTGGGATAATAGATATATATTCAGCTTACAACAGGCCTTGCTGGTCGACTCGAAGTAAGCTAGGGGGCCCATACATTGACGAGACGATAGACATTCTTATCCAGTTTTCACATGGTATCTCTTCCTATTTTTCAAGTACGATCCTGGCATGTCAGTACCAACTCCTATCTCTTGGATCTCCCGTGAACTTGCCATGAACTGTTATTGCGAGGCCCTTCCCTTCTGCTTGTTGGTATTCGCTTCTCGTGGAAGGCCATCTCTGGGAAATGTCCTGCCGGCTTGCATTTGAGCCGGCGAGACACTCGATGTAAGAAGTTTTACCGTCGTACCTTTTGCCGGCGATATTCTGATGAAGAATACTACTTACTGCGTAACTACTGGTACATCGCATAGAGATTCGACTTGAGGAGTGCATATACATAACTCATGTCGACACACCAGCAGTTTCCGTTCATAGATACAAACATATTCGACCTATATTACCGAGCGTTCTCGTAGCAGGAGGCCATGTTCGAAATTTAAACCATCCCGAGCAGCATTCGAGTCATTCGCGTTGTCGTGTGAGCGTGTTCGTCAGCTTGTATGACAAGATCTATTGTCTGAATCGCAGCGTTTCTCAATAGGTCATTATGCGTTGGAAAGGAAACTAACAAAAAATTGTGTGGAGGGAGAGAAGACCCTTGACTTTCTATGTTTCATTGCCACCATTGAAAACAAAAACAACGCCGTCAATTAATATCTACGTAAGGCGCCCACACTATCCCAGTTTGAACAATGATTTGTTTCCAATAATAGATGGTCTTTCTCCTCAGTGTCGTTGTCTGAACTGGTGAAGAGGCGGGATATAATGTAGAATGCCACTTAATCACGTGTGTCTTTCCTTCCTTCAAAAGCTCGGTTGCGAATCCTATTCTCCACCATGCGCCCTCTTTTGAAACTTGCTTTCTCGCCTGCCTATATACCCTCAATGTCGACAACTATGATCCCTCTCGATGTTGCCCAGTGGCGCGACTTGTTCTTGCTTACTGCAGTTGCTGTGGAGCAGCAATATACTCCTGTCCACAGGGATGTACTCGCAGACCATCCAGATAGCGAGGACGTGACTGATGATGTGGAGAGCAGCCATAATTCGAGGAAGAGGGTCTTGTCGTTAGTTCCATTTGCGTTGGCTGCCGTTGAAGACTGATTGACACATCTTATTCTCTTAGTGTTGACTGGAACGCCGGTCATTCTCTAAAGCGTGCCAAGGACAATGCCGGAGATGTCGTGGTCACCTGCTCTGCGTACGATATTTCGTTGTTTTATCTATCGGCGAACGGTGCTTATTTAACCCATAGGTCCGAGATCCGACTCAAGTTCGGTAAAGAGAACGATGAGATGACGGAGGATTTGGGATCTACCAGGTGCGTTGCGATTCCGATTGGCCAAGTACTCTGACTTTTTATTCATTGTAGTGCACTGGTGCATCGCCGTATTAACCCACTCCCAAAACGAGCTGAAGGCAATCAACGATTCATTACCTCTCTATCAGACGTGGATATTAGCTGGATTCCAAAGTCCTACCGGAACAATAGCAGAAAAACTCCTGACACGCGGTTGCACAAGCTCTTTTTGTCCGAATGCAATTACTCATTGACTGAGTACCACGAGAACGGGACCATCAAGAGAAGGAGCAAAGAAGAACGCGAGGCATTCTTGAGGGCGGATGAGTGGGTTGAAGTACGTGGGGGATATGAAGTGAGATGCAGGGCGTGCAAATGTGACATCAGTACTTGACTCCCGTGAAGGTATGTACTACCCGAACCTGTGGATCAAGCATAGATCAGGATGTCCAGCGGTTTACACAATCTGGCTGGAGAGGAATGGTTTGAGTCAAGATTCAGACAAGGAGTGGTTCCGAAACAAAAAACCTGTACATTGAAGTGCGCAGAGTGCGGGAACACGGATGGCGTACAGAAAACACGTTTATTCTTTCTCTAATAATTTTCATGACATTCACTTGCTTAATGTTCCAAGTAGCATCACTCCCTTGTTCTATTATTATGACTGGATCAATCTCTGCTCTTCTCTTAGTGGCTTCAGTACTGGCTCGTAGACTTTTTTGAGTAGGTAGGGAACGCTTCATTTTTCTTTTAAACTCATTGAATGATACTCATCGCGAGTTGGACGCATTGTCAGATGATGCTTTGGCAGCTTGCTAGAAAATCAATGATCTCGATCAAGACTCGATCACCAATCGGGGCAAGTTTAGTTCCAAATCGGGCTCCATATAGTTTGGCCATATTTGTTCTCCAGCTCGTCACCCTCCGCTCATTTTCTTCTCGTCATCACTTGTCCATCACAGGTAAGGATCACGCAACGTTGGGGGCCTCCCCTCGGGAATTCCTCATTTTATCATGTCTCCAGTGGCATTGGTAGTGGATGCAGGACTTTCAATCCCCCAGATCTATGTGAAATATGAATGCAAGGATAATAAACTTTGGTAATGGCTGGGAATATTTCGGGTTTGTATTCATGACGTACGTAGCTCTATGGCGAGCCCGGTCACGTTTATCTCTACCGGTATATCTCAAAGAATCTTGTCAGACACACAATGGGGTACCAATTGACCAGTGCCGTTATTTGCTTGCGTTTTATATGCCCAAGTGGGGTGTATATGGCGAAAGGAGGCTTTGTCTTTTGGGAATGTCAAGGCATTCTATCGGTCGTTTATGTGCGTCTATCTCTTTTATCTCTCATTTTCTGTTTCAACGAGATATATTAGATTCACGCTCTTGGACGGGGTTTCTCGTTCTATTTATCATAAGTTCTACGAGACATATCGCCCCATGGTAATTCCAGCTCGCCGGACTCTATGACAATATTGTTCCAAGTGTTAGGTTAGAGTGCTGGTATGCTACTTGACTGTTGGCGACATCACTGATAATTTATTACTCTGTAGTTAGGTATTACAACAGGTTCCACCGGGATAACTGCCTTCAGAATTTTGCATTCTGCAGTCTTCCAAGTTAATACTTGTCGCCCTATGTTTCGCACGCACTCTGAGCATGTATCTTGTAGGCCCTTCTGACGGGCATGCTGCAAAAGGCGTTCTCGGGATCCATTTTATCACTTGTCCCCACGGAACACAGAAGAATCTCAAAATCCACGAGAAGCTGGCTTCTTTTTGGACCCGTAATGCCGCCTCTCGCTCCACATTCTATGGCGAGTAAACATTGCGCCTTGAAAGCGTTGGACAATTGTACCTATTCCCAGAGTGCCCGTCCTGCAATGTCCATAGCCAAGCATAGGAAAGGACTGTTAGGGCTATGAAGCACCTGGGGTGCGGCGTTTGTAGGCTTCTACACTCATATCCTGCTATATTCTAACAGGGTGTTGGAAGATTGATGCTTATGCCCTGATCCAATTGCACCTTGTATCTTCGACCTGTTAAGGAAGTGCGATTTCTGAGAAATTCCGAGTGGTTCTAGTTACCAGATAGTCAGCTCGCAATGATGCAGCGTGGGCCAATTATTCCTCCTCCAAGATGATGGTGACGATGATGATCTGAATTGGGAACCCGGAACACGTCAGTCCTCTGCCAGGACTTACGACAGATTTCTGATGGGTACGAGCTATCCAGATGTAGTTCGCATGCCATTATGTTCTGCGTCTCATGTTTCCTAACCCTTTTTGTCCGGTATTCGAGTTGTTGGAGTGGCTTTGAGAGGTACTCATACTGTATTCAAGATTAATATGCGACTGTAGAATTCGGGCGAGCTTCAATTTTCTCTGGAAGACTTACGCACCTTTACCTGCAGCCACAGGCAGACGGTTTTCTGAATAACGGACTAAAGTCGCCTTGAAAGCTCGGAAAGCTGGCATCACTTTCTCATTGGTGGGCTGTGAACAGCCTATGATGGTATGGGCGACTCCGGACAAGGACAAATGTGTTGCTATGATTCCAAATTCCTACAGAGCGTCCTGTAAGTATACACTTGATTCGTTATACGTCATTTACTAATGATTGTGCATCAAAACTACTTCCAATGCAGTGGACCAATGCCAGGACACTCTATGTATTGTCGCTTTCCTCTCGGTAGGTACATTAATCTATCTATACATCGCGCTGGCTCTTGTTTTGGAGGCAGATAACATCCATTTAAATCGGACGAGCCCTTGGTTAGACGTGTGCCGCGGGAGAACACAGGTCGTCTTTTCTCGCCACTCTGTCTGCGTTCAGGCCGCCCGAGGTCGGTCGCCGTATTCTTACTCGAATGTTTTTTGCTAGAAGGGTCAGTGCCTTGCCTCACCTGTCCATGGCGCTTTCTCATGGTTGCTAGGAGTTTACACGTGTTGAAGGCCATCTGAGTTAGGATCATTCAACGGTACTACCGTGGTTCCGACCTTCTCTCGTTTCGCACATCAGTACCAACGGTCATCGAAGTTCTTCGAATCAACAGGTCCATTTCCAGTGTCCTGGGGAGCTTTCTGCCGTGACAGCAAGTTCACGTATCGTGCTGCCTGTGACGATAATTTGGGGCCTCGAAATTTTTCCATAGGCTTTTTGGGACAAAGCAGGGTTGTCCCGGATCCGATGTTGAATTGGGAGGAACAATCGTCTCTGCTGTCCGCCCACGACATGGACATGAGGCAGGTCGCCCGCTCTAACGCACGGGCAGCAGCTTCGAACTCTTCTAAATGTCATATTTGACGTGTCCAACGCCACCGTGCGATATCTCGGAGGTGTGTATAATCATGCCTCGTTGGCCCCCTTGTCGTTTCGGGACGTGAGGCTGGTTCACAACTTATTTTCGCCTCCTCGCGGATACGTCTCACTATCTTATGAAAGCACGCATATGGAGGCTTAATTTTTTAGCCAATACCCGCCAGCTGAGGACTGGCAGAACACCGACGTCTCCCTAGGTGCTGTAGGTTTCGAAGTCCATCCTTTTCTTGGTACATTTTGACGCCTTCGTCGTAGAAAGACTTCAAACGGGGGATGAACATAGGGATGATCAAATAAGGGTGGAGTGCTTTTGCATTTCAAGTATACGAAGATGTTGAACGGCCATCAAAAAGAAGCCCAGGAACTTCCGAATGTTGTCGGTGTACTAACGCCAAACGTCGTGAAGTCGTATTGTTCCAACGGGAACTTAAATACTCCCCGAAGCAACATTTTTTCATATGAATGGTAAGCACACGTTTGGCAAGTGGGTAAAACCTCCTGGGCAACAAGCTGCCGTCTCAGCGGGACATAAGCGCTTGTCCTCGTCGACAGTATAGCGAATAAGAAAGAAGCTGGCTGCGCAAAAAGAAGTCCAGTCGTCGGGGCCCTAGAGTTACCACGCTCTAACGCAATCTCTGCCTGCCTGCTTGTTTTCCCGTGTAAAGACTTGATTGAATAATAACGTGTTGCTACAGAGAGAATCATACTTTCTTCCATTCGAAGGCATTTGAAGGCTCGCGTTTGTTGGCGCTATCCTGAGCTGAAATTGCTCGTTTGAATCTTCGTATAAGCAAATAACCGTCAGTAACAATGTTAGGACGTTTCGAGTGATACAGTACGTTCTCTTGTGGAGTCTTGACCACCAAAGGACTTGAGTTGTGGAAGGCGTCCTCGAGACATAGAGCCGAATGACATGTCGCACTGGCGCACGGTATCTCCATTCTTGCATTTTAATGGCTTCAGTCATGACCTCTATTCTAACCATTACTCATGGTTAACCTCTTATGCACGTTATCTTGAAGTTGGAAGGCTATGTGCAGAGAAAGCGGCATCGATCCATCGAAGCTAATTAATGCTCATCAGCCCTATGAACACCTTGGTTTTCAATAGAGTGAATTAGTAAACCTGTTGGATTATTAACCGATGCGGCTCTGCTCTATGATTGTGCTATATACAGTGTCTGTTCGTCTCTATTCTTCTTGGTCATAGGGTTAGCGTTGTACCTTTTCCCGAAACTTCTGAAACCGCTACCGTGGCGGTAAGTCAAAATCCATTTTCTCAGCTCCTACTCGGGTACTGATTGTAGAATGGGATGGCTGTCTTCAAGGGTGAACGGGGATACCGTTCAAAGTGATTCATGACATTGCGGTTGCTCGCATCAAGCTCGCATGTGTAATGTGTACTGAACTCTTTTTTGGATCCATTCTTCCCTCGGCCTGAACAGACCTTCATAGACATTGGCATGATAAGGGAATCGTCGTGCTCTGTTGAGCCGGTCTAAATTCGGAATTCCGTTGTCGATCATCCTAAGACATATCGGGCTGTGTAACGGGACCTGAACAGCCCCGCGTCATATAGTATACTTTGTTTCATTGCGCTTTTGCCTAAGCTAATATTTAGCCTACATTACCTGAGCAGCTACTTAGCAAGTATTCACACCGACCCCACTCCACGTGAGCGACCGATCACCGTCATAAGCATCTACGCATGAAGGGCTGTAAGAACATCAGAAATGAGCGAATTATTCGGCGATAAACTCCCAGAAGTCAAACCTTGCTTTTATTTGCGTCTGTAACGATGGGCCAGATCCTTTTACCCATTGTATGGGTATTGGAGAAATGTCAGTCTTAGAAGTGGCTGGACGCATGGCGCTGAACTGTGTCGACGAAGGGTGTATCTCCGTACTCTTTTATGCCACTTTCCAAGACCGATGTCCTTGGTAGTCGAGAAGGAGCGATGACACGGCAATGTTAGAAGTATAGATCAAGTCGAAAGAATCAAACTCTGGAAGGTTCTGTCTTTTACCGTCACAGACTTTGGAATGGAATCAGTACCCTCTTCGCTACAGATATCTCACCAAGTGGAGTGGGTGCGGCTACTCGGTCGTTCGGTCTCATGGTGTTCTGGGCAAGTGCTTTGCATTCTGAGGAATGGCCTTTGTTGGCTACGCTTCAATTTGCCTTGAATGCTAGTTTTCTTTAAGTAGTCCAGACTTGGTAACGTACCTATTACTAGAATACTGTTTAGACGAAGAACCGTAGCAGGATCGCTGACGCACTTCATGTCAAGTGGGACCATTACCATCAAGGCACATATGAAGAAGCGCCCGTATATCAACGGTCCAGGTAGTCAAAAATGTCTGAGCGACAGCTGTCGTGCCTAGGAGTTAATGTCCTGACAGAACCGACGATGCAGCAATGGGAAGAAGAAAGTAGGCGTTGTGGACACCCCGAAGCAAGTCCGCTGCATCATCAGCGGCGAACTTTCACGCTACGCCGAAGGAATAGGAATGTAATAACGACGGTTTCGGCGTCCTGAATTGCAGTAACCAAGTGTAAGAGAAGGTTCTCTGAGCGAATACCGGACAATCAGTCATATGGCCGTCGAGGGAAAGGAAGGGGAGGGAAGAAGAGAATACTGAGAAGGCGAAGTCATCTTATCTTTCTTTGACTTGAGCGTCATATCTTTTTGACCACCGATACTTGGGTGATAGAAACGATGTATATTTCTTGCACGCTTCATGGTTTTGGGGCAGCGGGACTCTTCATGCTTTGATTCCGCCCAGGAGGAAGGGGAAGCCAATGGTGGTCCGTAAAGTCTTCCAGCTCTCTCTATGAATTAAGCAACCATCTGCATGACACTGCATTAGCGAATAAATCAAAAGAATTCTTCTCTTAGCTCTTCGGAAATTCGTCTTCGGTGCCTGCGTTCTGTTCCAAACCCAAACTTTCAGTTATAGACCGTTATAGGTCCTGGTGGATCACAAGGCAGATCTATTATCAGTACACGGTGACTCAGAGGAGGATACAGGCAGACAGGTTCCTTTCTTGTACCGAATGTCGCTTAGGCGGGACCGATAAATTCAAAATTATCGGAAAATACGGGAATCCTTCCCATTCGAAATTGCTTCGCAACAAATACAAATCTTCGGTCTCTATGCAGTCCTAGGTGGCTCAAGAAATGCCACATACGGAATATTTGGTGACGTCAGTTGCTGCCCAAAATGTCGAAGCGAGGTCGAGGAGATAACCCCCGCATCTGTTATCCCATTAATATCATGGTATGGGGAGAACCATTCATCATACGATAAGCGTGCAGATTGACTTCCTTTCTGAATTCCTCTCCGACTAACACGCCGCGCACATGAGCCATTGATGCAGATGATTCTTCGCTTCCAAAGTATTTAAAGCTAATAATATAACGGCGACTCAATCAACAGAAGGAGGTAATTATGACTGATGTGATCATTTCCCCGGGTGGATAATCAAGCGTCTAAAAGATTCTACCGACGTCAACTTGAATTTGTCTCTGGGGTGTGTTCTTAAGATGACCCGGGAACGGCGAAGAATGCAGGGCATGGGAAAAGCAACACGATGCACGGCTAGAAGCGCTCCTATCGATGAACATGAGACTTGCCGATACCACCATTAACCTACATGAGACAAGGCGCCGTACAAGGCAAACATACGATCTCAGTTCGGTTTCGAGCGGCCTTGCATCGAGGACGCCACGAAGGTAGACTTATCCTAAGTTGGGTGTCTGTTCTTCGCTGCCAAAAAATGGCTTCCATCCCTCATTCCTGTTAATGAAGAAGCGAAGTACAGAAGTCTTAGTATTGGGGGTGCCGCCGGTCCTGCATCGCCGCTGAGTTCTGAAGGTCCGGTGGGCTTGAACTCTACACAAAATTTGCTGGGGTATATTCTTCGCGCTTTCAAGATTGTTCATCTACTGGACAGTATAAACGCGTCTAGAAGTCAAAAAACACCGACAGCCCGAAAATTCAAATACCGAAGCCCAGAAGCAACACAACCTTGGAATTGAGACGGGTGTCGAGAAAAATCCTAGGAAAAAAGGATAAATAATTCAGCGAAAGATAACCTATGGAAGCCGTTCTACCATCGAAAGTCGCAAAGACTTCCCGGCGGCGTTTAAAGCTTCGTACTTTCTCCTTCCGGCTTCTTCGACCCGAGCCAGTGGCTTGTGGATGCTTGTAGGTCCTCACCGCTGCAAGATTTGCTCCAATGTATGCTGCAGTTCATGCATATTAGCCGTTTCGACGGACTTCAATGTCAAACCGCATCAGGGGGCTATAATTGGAGGCGCATCCCGTTGATGACGCCCCCCAGACGAGTTTCTTTACTTTTGGGAGACACGGAAGTATTGTGGATGCCGGAGCAAATGTTATTGAAGATGTGTCGAGCATTAATTGAAAGCATGCTTTGAATGATCAAGATTCTCTTCATGCACACGGGGACAGTCACCCTGTGAGAATGATGGAGACAACAAGAACATATGCGTTTAGTGAGTACTTTCCTAGTTAAGTTCGCCCGACAGAGCACATACGCACACGCCTCTTCGATGATTCTTCGCTTCCGGAGGATCCACAGACTAGCAAGTATCGTAAAGGATGATCCGTAGATATGTAATAATAGGAAATTGGGACGATCGACAAGAAGTATCTCCAAACGGATACTGAGCTTTCCACCTACTGGAGAATCGTCCGCATGATGTAAAGATTAGAAGATTAATGCGAACGATAAGGTGGTCGTTCCTGCACTGGACATCAATGGTACCTGCAGCGAGGTACATACCACAGTTTGACAAGAGACTGAGGACGGGACAGAAAGCCACTGAACACTAATGAACATAAACCGCTAAGGCATTGATGACCGTGGTGCCGGGCGAGAAAAGGCGCTCCATAGCACTTAACTGGTTAACATCACTTCGCAGTCATTACATGTCGCCACCGGATTCTTCGGGTGAATCAGCGGTCTAGAACCCCATGCGGCGCATGGCGAAGTCTATCCAGAATCGGGATACTTTGAACTGATTGTCAGCATTCTTTGTTAATGAAAAGTGGTACGAGGCACCGTAGGTGTGCGGGCGTTATCGGCCGATACTCGCAGATGTTGAGAGGAGAAGATTTTTGAATGTACACGGATGACAACGGACGTGAGCCGTCGGTACGGGGAATATATTGCAGGGACTATCATGAATCTGGGCCCCACAACGTCAGTGATATCAGGGAAATCAGTGTACGCAACGTACGTTTCCTAGTCAATAAAGTGAACTCAAAACGGTAAAGCTAAGAAGAAAGCGCAGCACCCGGTGTTGGAGTGGATGACTGAGGGAATGGGCTTAGCTTGCCGTAGTACTTACGATACGTGATAATTCCTGGACAAGATGCGGTAATATTCTCTCGGCAAGACGGAACGATTTCATGATGATTTCATCACCATTTGACCCTGACACAGCCACTTTACTCTCACCACCTCGTTCCTGCCCTTTTTATCACTTCCTATTCCCTATGGGTGCAGCGTCCCGACTTGAGTGGAAGAATCCTAATACGAACGGAAGTGCCTCGCCGTGTTTCCCTCGGAACACATGCAACAAGAACACGAGCGCTTGCCTATGAATACACTTTGATGATGTTCGGCGACCAATACGGATGGTACGTTTTTATTACCCGAGAAAACGCTCGTCAAACGTTAATTGAACCCAGGGAGCACATGTGGGCAGAAGAAAAAATACGGTATGAATTGACAGGTTATTTAAGGTATCGGACCGAACAACGCGGAAAAGGATGGTTCAGGCGTGGTGGTGGCAGGGTTAGTAAGTTATTGTCGATCCCGACCATAGGCCGCCCAGTATAAGTATTACAGGCCCGACCCCTAAGAAGAGTTACCCCCTATTCCTACGACCTCATGTCTCCCCTCCTCCTCGTGTCGCTTGCCCTTCTCCTCGTTATTCTCCTCCTCCTCCTCCTTCCCCGTCGAAGTAAAAACTCCTTCCCAAGACCACCCGGCCCTAAAGGCCTCCTTGTTATTGGAAACTTGCTCGAAAGTCTCTCACTCTCCCCCTCTTCCTTCGCAAAATGGACCGCCGAAACGGGGAGCCCGATAGTTTCGCTCAATGTCTTTGGGCAGACGATAGTCGTTCTGAATTCATGGAAAGTTACCTCTGACCTACTCGAGAAGCGCGGATCGATTTACTCTGACCGACCAAAACCAGTGTGGTGCGGAGAATTGATAGGATGGAAAAGCGTCGTGTTGTTTGCCCCGTATGGCGAGCGATTAAGAGAGCAGAGGCGGCTGGTGAGGGGGCTCATTGACTGCAGAGAGCATATGGAGAAGATTCTCAGCGTCGATGAGATGGGACGGCATTGGAGGGAGTTCCTTGGCAACTTGCTGAGAGAGCCAGAGGGATTGGATAGACATATTCATAAGTGAGTTCTAGTATTTCCCTCTTTTGCTGCCTTTGTAATCAAAATTTTTAGCACCTCTGTTGGTATCCTCCTTCAGCTTTCGCATGGTATTTCTGTGGACGATCACATCCAACAAAATACCGACTCTGCAATGAAGCAGTTCAGCATTGTTACGGCTCCCGGTGCATCAATAGTAGACCTCTTCCCCCCGCTGCAATACTTGCCCAAATGGTTCCCGGCTTCGTTCATTAAGCAAGCAGCTGAATACGCACGCGTTTTAGCGGATATGGTGGATGTACCTCATGGTATTGTTAAACGGCATCTGGTGAGTAAGCACTTGTTCACTGAGACTAACCGCTAATGTGCGAAACAGAGTGAAAGTACGGCTAACCCGAGTTTCACGTCAACTTACTTGCAACAAGACAATGTTACCCCGGAGCAGGAGGAGCTCATCAAGTGGACTGCTGCGTCAATATATTTTGGTGGTTCTAACACTGTACGTCTTCTTTCCCTATTCTTTTCTTGTTACTAATCCAGATTTGTAGAGCGTTCCAACCCTCCTTACATTCTTTCTTGCGATGTCATTGCATCCCGAAGTGCAAAGAAGAGCACAGGCCGAAGTCGATGCTGTTACTGGCGGAACGCGTCTTCCGACACTCGAAGATCGTGCGCAAGGTCGTCTGCCGTATGTCGAAGCCATCGTGCAGGAAACTTTCAGATGGAATCCTGCGACGCCGATAGGTGGGAGTTCTTCGTACTCTATCATGTTCCACACTTCTGACACCCGTCATCAGGCTTCCGCGAAACTACAAAAGACGACGTGTACGAAGGTTACCTTATCCCCAAAGGGTCCATCGTTATGCCGAACATTTATGGCTTCTTGCATGACCCTGAGACGTACAAAGATCCGATGACATTTAATCCCGACCGGTTCATGGGCAAGGACAGGGAGAGAGATCCGAGACCGCCGTGCTTCGGATTTGGAAGGAGAGCGTGTCCTGGTGAGTTGGCTCGTTCTGCCTTGGATCAAGCCTCGTACTTACGCAACCGCAGCACTAGGACTCGGTGAAACGAACGTCTTCCTTGCTGTCTCCGCCACTTTGGCCACATTTAACATTACTTCCAAGTCGAAGATAAAACCTCCGTCACCATCACCCGAATATTTTACGACCGGTGGGACAATAAGTAGGCCGAAACCTTTCGACTGCGACATAAGGCCCAGGAACGAGCGTGCTGTTGCCCTTATAAGGGCAGAAAACGATTAGGGGATGCCCTATTGCTATGCATTGAACAATCTTTATTATGACTGCATCTTACCACTACTATCTATGTATTCATTATCGTTACCGTACTGTATATGACCTAAGTCCTTATTACTTACGTGCCTACTAAAAGTTCTTTACTTACTAGACCTACCTTATCTAGTCTAGAAATTCGACTTCGCTTTTAGGATTGTTACAATACTCGCATTCAGATTAATTGCATCCACTTTTTCTCACAATGTCGCGCAAGGGGTGACAACTAGCGGCGCAGACGCGTCGGCGTTCCAGATGACTTTTATACAGCTCCGGTGGAGGCAGACATTTAATTTACAATTGTATGATGACCGGAGTCATTAACAAATCTGGACTTGAGAGGTACCCAAGCGAGAAGGATCGCTACGTATATTAAGTGAGCGAATATTTCCCCTTTTAACGGTAACAACGTCATGTATTGTGGCGACCGTACGCCTCCTGACTGGAATACGACAAGCCGCCACAGAGGCCCGAATCTTCAAGTTTATCTGGCACCGTTGGAGGTTCTTCGCTTTCTGTACCTAACGGTCCGCTAGCTTACAATCAATGATGGCCTGTCGGGGAAGGGCTGGATGTTGTCTGGGTGTCTCGACGTCGAATCGATAGCGTGCGGCGAGTGGATGATGCATTAGGAATATGCAAAGAGTATACGGAAGAATAAGTCTGAACTAGCATCCATTCGTGGATACCTCCACGGCTCGAATCATTCCTAGATCATAGCGACTAACGTCATGGTTGTGCGGCTGCCTCGTAAATGTATAACCTAAAAGAGGTTATAGTAGGAAAAAGACACGCACGAGCTACTGAATACAAATGAGACGCCCGTTTAGAATGACTGCGTGCACCCGTTCAACAATCGTACAAACATGAGGCGCAACATGAATCCAGAACGCTCTCATAGTACGTAGCTTTTCTTTCCGTGGGTTCGAACACGACTCGTGACACGGGGACAACGGTGGGAGCATGTCCTCCAGAGGATGCATTTGATCTTTACCCGATGTTTCAGGTAGGTGGAGTTGAATAGGATAGCCTAAAAGGCGAGAGAAAAACTCCGGCTCTCCGAGGAAGACTACGATGCCTGTACTGACGGTCATCAGCGATCAGGATTCCTACATGATCATCTTCATAAGAAGCAAAACTTTTTCAGCAAAAATTATTGAGACGACAGTCTAATATCTTCTTGATAATGCTCACCAGCAGCAGAAGCAGAAGATCACTACGCGCATGGATTCTCCTTGTGCAAATGAGACGATGGGTCATAATGGGCTTTGTAGCCGGAGCATCTGAGTGGCGTCAATCACTACTTGCAATATGTGATTACACACGCATCTTCCTGAATAGAGTGAGAAGACACAGCACAATCAAGAATCCGCTTATTACTCTCGCGGTTCGCGCTTTCATGTTTAGCTCGTCCCCTCGGAAAGAGCCGTGGATGTACCTACTTATCATCACCAGAACACAATCATTTAGGTCCAAACGGTGTTCTAGAGACTCCGAAATCAGCTGGGACGCTGCACTGATAATGCAGCACGAGTCCTAGCTATGGGTACTGTCTCATCGCGCTCCCCTTAGATAACGCGGAGGAACGAAAAGTGCTATCTGGTTTGCTGGTGTAATTTCTCGAGGACACACATGCACAGCGCGAGGTTCCATATGTACATCATACAAGAGTCCGACTGACGCGATAGATACAGAAGGACCCAGCATCAAGGTTATGACGGTGTGGACGCGTGCTTGAATTTTAGTTTCAAGGTGAGAAATAGGAACTATGTCACGTCCCAAGCGGCCGTAGATGAAGGTCAGAATGCGTATGAAACGTGATTTCGTTCAATGATTCCAAAGCCTCTATCTTCAAATAGAACACGGCGATGTTTAAAGGTTCATTCCTTGAAGATGCATAGGCTTGGCAAAGCTAGGAATCATCTCGATTTGTAATAGCCTGAGAAGTTTACATATGATAGGCTGGCATTTGCAAGTCCGGTCAGATATCAAAGGCGCTGTAACATTGGGAAGTGACTTGCAAAGGTAGAATTCACGAGCGTGAGAAGCTACGTCTGAAAATAGACCTAACCTTAACCCCAGGCGTCGTGAGCCTGCCCCGGTCCTTCGGTCATTGTGCAGTTACACATACAAACCACACACCACCGTCTTAGGTTTCCTCAGTACCACGGAATTCAGACCAGTGGCCTAGGAGAAGGACTTATCAGGTTAAGCGATTCTCCCTGTAGGCCATGTACTAGATTGTAACCCTTGGCACACACTCTTGCGAAGGCCATCTCGGTGAAGAGAAGAGGCAGACGGCGTTATCGTCAATCTATCACACACATGGGGATCAGGTGTCTGTCGAATGATGTTTCGGCGAAGGTGCGCCGACATGACCGACAGTGACAGAGGTAGTGGTCAGAAGAGACTGATATTCCTCCGGGTCTATGGTTTAAGCAACCTTATCAATAGTTGCTATATCATAATCCTGAGCGACTAGAGGATGATTTCCGACCGTCTATATTTCTCGAAGATTGGTCATCGTGATTCATCCGTGAAACAAAAATAGCAGATAACGTGGGGCTGAGAAGAAATCGAATTCGAGATACAGTAGCTTCTTGACAAGCGAAATGCGCTTGAACGTCTGGATGAATGTCACTCTGCAGGGCTGAATCGTGGTCAGGACGTGGTACAGACGTCCATGCCTCATCGTCCCTGCAATAGCAAAACTCGGCTCTCCTGCAATGAACCGTGAGGATGTGTCACGAACAAGAGAGAACAAACGAACACGCACATCCCCATAAGTCTCGCCTCGTCTGGTAGGTCGTTTATTCGACTTCCTGCAACACCGCTCAGAGTTGCGCTCATATGAGGAGTCCTCTGGAGGCCAATTTATCATTTCAAGCCTTCCCGTCGCAAAAGGAGACATCGCCGCTAGCGGGATGTATTCGAACGCTGGGCAATAACTGCATTGCACGAAACCACACGTGAATAGTTTCTTCGGCCATGCCCTTGACCGACCTCGCTGGACCAAGGTCTAGCTAACCAAATTGAACGTCGTCGATAGCCGGCGATGATGGCGAAGTGGACGGTAGGTAGCGGGCCGTGAAAAACCCTTCGCCCCGGAAATGCTACTATTCCCGACTGCTCCTCGAAGGGGATACAGGTTTCCATCAATGACCATCGCCCAAGTGCACAAGCAGCTCTCTATGTACGTCTTGAAATATAGGGGATAACGAAACATGCCGTGAACTAGCAATTGTGATAACCCGGAGATCGCAGACCGATAGTATCTTTCGAGACGGTACCGCGTGCACCGCGCAGTGCACGGATGAATAGATGGTTTGACCCTATGAAAGAAGCTAGCCCGATACTGCAGCATCGTTCCGTGCTTCTGGTGTCTCGTAAGGGCCTTTCTAAAGTCGTCCTGAGCGCTGATTTGCATTCTCAGCGGGTTTGATAATCGTTTGCTTCATCAAACCTGTTATGTGGCCTGTGTTCGAAGTTCTTCTGTAATGAATCATGATTAAAATGCATCAAGGATAAAATATAATGTCGGAACCTATTATATCCGCCGAGGTCCCCCTCCTCCCCGTGAAGCCGGCTACACAGGGCAGAGCAATAACAGTCCTCCAAGCCTAAGATGCATTTGTTCACGATGAGTCAGGTGTAGGACACGAACAGCGAAGAAACTTACGAAGCATGATGGCCGATGATACTAGATCGTGATGGCACGGTGGCGTATATTTACGATTTCTACAAAGGTATTGTGTCGTCGGGAGAAGCTGGTAGATGCGTTAGAGCGGAGCACTGGCTTCAAAGCAAACGCATAAATTAACACACGGTTCAGAGTATTTTAGAAAATTCCTTTCCAGTCCAGCCGACGTCGGGTGCAAGAAAGGTTCACAAGTCTTCGTCAAGAAAGGAAGGTGATGATAATGAGAATGGAGCCGCGGTAATCGAGATATTTGCCACCCTCCGACTGTCACGCTGCCATATGGAAAAGCACACTCTGCAATGTCGTCAGGCGGAGAGGACTCGCCGCGTTGGAAGTGAAAACCTTTCTCAAGTAGTCATTGAAAATGAAAAATGACGAGGATGGCTCGGAACCAATGGCAGGACCATTTGATGGCGATTGATGATCAATCTGTTATAGGTACCGACAATATCCAACGAAACAACCCATGATTCGAAGGTTTTGGCTTCCTAATTACCATGAGTATGGCAAACCCCGCAGAGTAAAAAAAGATGAACCGCCGTAGCATCAACGATGAAGAGTTACAACGACACGTAGAGTAACTTGCAGCCCTGGTCTCATGAGATCGGTCGTCTCCCTGAAATTGAAGACGTAAGGGGGAAGTATCTTTACAGGAACGATGTGATCTACAAGATATGTTCGATCCTGGAGCCGATCCGAGTCAGCATCTCTCAGCAAACTAGACGCAAAGGCTTACATACAATTTAGCGCACAAACCCCTTCAAGAGGCAGTACGCGGCGATCGTATGTGCGCGCTGGAAATCCTCGTTTTACGAGATCGGCTCTCTCTGCAAGCGACGTTCTGGATCGAACCCTAAGTTCTCCATCCTCTTCGGTAAACTAGGCAACCTCGTCCGGAACTAGTTAGCGGGAGATGACCACCGCCGAGAAAATAGAAATGCGACAAGGGCGTAAAAGAGTTTTTTTTCAGTTACGGCAGTGAATAGGTATCAGATGGAACAGTGTTCCATCATGACGAGTAGCCACAACACAGGCTGAAACTGCTTATGAGAAATATACGAGGATAAGAGGGTCTTCTCAATCCCCGTTGCTCCAATGACGCCCGAATCAGGTAGATTTGGACAGGGGCAGATATCACGAGCGCTTCCCTGATACCGTTATCCGCGAAGATCAGAACCGAACCTGTAATAAACGTCGTGGTTATATACAAATCAACAGAACACCCTCGGCTTGGATGTCCCTGGATCTGTACATGTGAAACCTTTTCATTGAAAGAATGACAGTATCTTCACCCCAAAGTGATCTGTATGGCGAGACCTAGAGGAGAAGTCATGATTTAGAAACAACATTAACAAAAACCGAGGACGATACCATTGAAGATGACCGAAGGCGCTTAATTGTTTAGGCTGCGACGTCTATCTCTCTGCTGGTGTAAACTGTCCGCCTTCGCTCGAGAAGAGTCACAAAATACGTGCAACAGGCAGACTTCGATCCTGATGAGC